ACGCAGAGGCGATGGCCGGTCCCTACTCCTCTCAGTGGCAGTCAGCCATGGACACAGAGATGGCTTCCTGGAAGTCCACAGGCACCTACGTCGACGAGGTTCCCCCGCCTGGGGCGAACATCGTCAGTGGCATGTGGATTTTCAGGGTGAAGCGGCCGCCGGGTTCTCCGCCTGTCTTCAAGGCGCGTTACGTTGCACGAGGCTTCAGTCAGCGCGAGGGAGTTGACTTCTTCCAGACCTTCTCCCCGACCCCGAAGATGACCACTCTTCGGGTTCTGCTGCACGTCGCCGCTCAGCGTGACTACGAGCTCCACTCGCTTGACTTCAGCACTGCTTTCCTGCAGGGCAGCCTGCACGAGGAGATCTGGCTGCGCCGTCCACCTGGCTTCACTGGGTCGTTCCCTCCTGGTACCCAGTGGAGCCTCCGACGGCCAGTCTACGGTCTCCGCCAGGCGCCTCGTGAGTGGCACGACACACTGAGGACTACGCTTGCGGCTCTTGGGTTCGCGCCTTCTACTGCTGACCCGTCGCTGTTTCTACGCACCGACACCTCACTGCCGCCGTTCTACGTCCTTGTGTACGTCGACGACTTGGTCTTTGCTACTGCTGACACTGTGGCACTCGCCCACGTGAAGTCGGAACTGCAGAAGAGACACACGTGCACAGACCTGGGTGAACTGACAAGCTATCTTGGCTTGCGGATCACCCGGGACAGAGCACGCCGCACCATCACCTTGACTCAGTCACACATGGTGCAGCAGGTCCTTCAGCGCTTCTGCTTCACGTACTCCTCGCCTCAGCCCACTCCTCTGCCTACCGGTCACTCGCTCTCAGCTCTGCCTTCGGATGAGTCCGTAGAGCCGAGTGGCCCGTATCCAGAGCTTGTGGGTTGCCTCATGTACCTGATGACCTGCACTCGACCAGACCTTGCATACCCTCTCAGCATTCTTGCACGCTATGTCGCTCCCGGCCGTCACCGGAAGGAGCACATGGATGCAGCTAAGAGGGTGTTGCGTTACTTGTGCAGTACGTCGGGCATGGGGCTAGTGCTTGGAGGGCGAGTCCCAGTTGTTCTCACTGGGCACTCAGACGCTTCTTGGGCAGACGACCAGGCTACTCAGCGGTCGTCTCAGGGTTACTCCTTCAGTCTTGGCTCTGGTTCTGTTTCTTGGCGTTCTACTCGCTCTTCTTCTGTTCTCAGCTCCAGTTGTGAGGCTGAGATCTACGCCACAGCCATGGCGGCCCAGGAGCTACGCTGGCTCACCTACTTGCTGACCGACCTTGGAGAGCAGCCTCGTTCTCCTCCAGTGCTGTACGTCGACAACAAGGCAGCCATTGCCTTGTGTGAGGAGCACAGACTGGAGCACAGAACGAAGCACATTGCTCTGCGTTACTTCCTCGCTCGAGAGCTGCAGCAGCGTGGTCAGCTTCGCCTGCGTTACGTGGCCTCTGAGGCCAACACTGCTGATGTGTTCACCAAGGCGCTTCAGCCTTGTGACCATCAGCGCCTTTGCACTCTTCTAGGCCTTGTGCCTACTGGACCTCACTTGCTTACTTCTTGAGTCTGTTGTACTGTGATCTCTATATATAAACCTGCATGTGAACTGGTCTTGTGACCACTTGCTTGTGCTCGGAATTTGTGTGGTATCCTTGAGATCCACCCTGAGCTTGTTTTGCCTTGCTTTGCCTTGACTGGTCTTGTGACCCCTAGTTCTCCTCCACTTTGCCTATGGGGGTGTGTCAAACATTATATATGTTGTGTTAGTTTAGGCTACAGTGGGTTAGCCTATAGGGGGTACACAATTCTAGGGTTAGGTACTTGTACTCTTTTCATTGCTAGTTCACCCCATTCCTGTTCAGTGATTCCAACAGGCCGTTGCCGCTGTGCCGAGTCCTGGGCCTCCCAGTGTGGGGGGGGGTGTTAGCAAACCTGCACTGTGAGATCCCCGATTGATCCTAAGGGGGTTACATGTGCGTTCGTTTGGGGGGTTATGGGTGTACAGACCCGCTACACAAACAAGCCCTTTTATCCAAGTGGTCTAGTGGCTGCGATTCTGACACGGGAGTGCGCATTCTGTATATGAGACTAATGCACTATTGCCATACTTCGGGGATGCAAAAGGTAAAATTTCAGGTTTTCCAACTTACTCCTTCATTCCTGAAAGCATGGCACGCAAGTTCAAGTTGTATAAAGAATCAGTTCGGGAGCATCCGTTCTCAACATCTCCAGCGTGATCAGCATCAACGTAGATTAGCAGCTGGAAGGTAGATGTCACGTTTGCTGTGTAGGTTAGCTCGACGTCTTGTGTTGAGATAACGTACTGCATAGCTCGTCGTAGATCTGCCATATAATCCCATTAATGTAGTAAAAAAGAACCGAGAGATCTGAATTGTGGTGTGGAAAGATAGGATCGGCACGTGACGGTCGTGTAGAGAAGGCAACCGAGCTGTTGCTGGTAGAGCCGGTGGTCGGATGCGGACAATGGCTTGGCGTCGGGAGTGTGTCCCGTGGGAGTTGTGCAAAACGGTGTGGAGAGATTGATGGGTGCGATGTCGAATTTCTTACTGAGAGTATCGACGTACTTAGCGGCAGAGAGGCGATTCGGCGCACTGGAAGATGTTTAGCCCGATAAAATGAGTCACGGAGTGGGAGAATATGACGCTCGATGAATTTAGTAGCTCGACGCTCGTTCCTGTGTAGAGGAGGTACTCGACACAGGCGACGAGAAGAATGTAATCGTCGTGGTGCTTGAGTCCGTACATGCCTTAGTCGTGGAGAAGTTGATGGAAGCCGATTGAGATGAGGATGGTGTGTAGGTACCGCTATCGGAGACGCGGGGCCCGTTTGATGCTGCACAGGGACTTCTGGAGTAGACAGACATACGAGACGTCGTCTTCGAATGCGTGCGGTTGCTCAACATAGAGTATGGCGTCGACGATTGCATAGAGGAAGACGTTATTTTTACGTATGTTTGGCGCAGGCCCAGATGCCTGGCAACGTGATGTAAAGGAAATGCAGATGGAGGTGTGGCGACTAGCATGTGCGAATGTTCGATTGTAGTCAATGCCGGCATTTGCTCGAATCCGCGGACCACCCAACGAGCTTAACAATTGTATTTCAATTCGTTTGCGCTGGTTGCGATTCCGAAGATTCCTTTGCCAGTGAGAATGTGATTCTATGTGCTACTAAACGCCACAATGAAATACTCCTTCACATCCAGACTTGGTTTAGTGGACACTTAGCATGCGCTTACATAAGATACGGGTCGACAAAACTCCACTTGCCATACAGGAACTGATAGGTAGGGTTAAGATTCGTTGTGGATGTAACTTGGTATTTACACTGAAAAGGTTGTCAACAATACTCGACGAGATTGTCAATTTATTTGGTAATATTTGGCTACGATGCTACAAGTCACAATTCGACTAGGCGACATGCAGCTGCAGGGTGCAATCTAGGGGTATCTAGGTCTCGATACTTCGCTGGTGCTCGACTGGGCCCCAACGCCAATACCATTACGATGAAAGGGACTTTGTCACACGTAACACAATATTGAAGTGTTGCATTACGAGTTACAGATAATTGCTTTCGTGGATTGGGGTGTAGAAGTTGGAATTCATAAGAGGGGAGTAGCAACGGGCTCGAGAAGTGATGGCTCGGCAAGTACTACGTGAGTTGGGCATGAAGAAGGCGAGAGGGGGTGAATGCCGATGCATGGTGTTATGGTTGTTGATGCTATTGTTGTCATTGTATATGCTGGTGGTGATTGTGCAGTCGAGCGCGGAAGGGATTCGCGCCCAGGAGTTGGTGTAAAGATTTAAATAAAATTGTTGTGAAGCTATCAAGTTCATTTGTGAAACGCTCTTGGGTGAACACTGCAAGTGAAATAAGTTCAGCCATGGCAAGAAGTGTCGGCGAGTTCAATGTGCAGTCTTGATCGAGGCTGTGTCCGCTAATGAGAGGTGATGCGCCCCCCCTACCCCCCCAGATGAGAAAGTGGTAATGGAAATGAATGGGAGAGATGCGGATCTACAATGTTGTATGCTGAATGCTAGATGACAAGAATGAGTGGATTCCTTACAATAGTAGGATTTAAAGCCCAAGATCAGCATGGTTTTTGCAACAGCGACGCGAGGGCTTTAATCGTGTTCGCGAAAGGCATAAAAAAAAACATTTCGAGAACTGAACAGGTGCGAAAGCGAAACCAGGCAGCGACGAGTTTCAGCACTCGTCACCCAACTGTGCGACACTGCACCACGAGTTTGGTGCTTGGAGGGGGTTAGAAAGCGAAGCCATGTGCGTAGATTGGTTTGAAAATGCACGCGACTCGTCGCCGTCGCCTACGTTCACTCCCCTCCGTCGCCCACGCGACCATTCTCCCGTCAATGTCTCACACTTACCTCCATCGCCATAGCTCACTCCCTCTCATCGCCTTCGCGCACTCCCCTCCCGTCGCCTTCGCGCACTCTCCCCCGTCGCCTTCGCGCACTCCCCTCCCGTCGCCTTCGCGCACTCCCCTCCCGTCGCCATCGCGCACTCGTCTCCCGTCGCCTTCGCGCACTTCCCTCCCGTCGCCTTCGCGCACACCCGTCCCGTCGCCTTCGCGCACTCCCCTCCCGTCGCCTTCGCGCATTCCCTCCCGTCGCCTTCGCGCACTCCCCTCCCGTCGCCTTCGTGCACTTCCCTCCCGTCGCCTTCGCGCACACCCGTCCCGTCGCCTTCGCGCACACCCGTCCCGTCGCCTTCGCGCACACCCCTCCCGTCGCCTTCGCGCACTCCCCTCCCGTCGCCTTCGCGCACTCCCCTCCCGTCGCCTTCGCGCACTCCCCTCCAAAGAGGATGATCACTCCCTCCCGTCGCCCACGCTTCCTTCCTGACGCACGATCACGCTCCCTCCCCTCCCGTCGCCTTCGCGCGACGCCTCTTTCGCCCTTCCTCACTCTCTTCCGTCGCCCACGCTCACTCCCCTCCCGTCGCCCATGCTCACTCCCCTTACGTCATGTACGCGCACACCCATCCGTCACTACTAACGCTCCCTCCCTCCCGTCGCCCACGCTCCCTCCCCTCTAACGAGAATGGGGACTCCCCGTGCCTTGCAACTCCCCTTCCTCCTGCTACGCCACACCCCATCCCTCATCTCCCCTTCCCTCGTCTCCCCATCCCTCGTCTCCCCATCCCTCATCTCCCCATCCCTCATCTCCCCTTCCCTCATCTCTCCATCCCTCGTCTCCCCATGCCTCATCTAAACCCATGCCTCACCTCCCCATCCCTCATCTCCGCATCCCTCATCTCCCCATCCTGCATATCCCCATCCCTCATCTCCCCTTCCCTCACCTCCCCGTCCCTCATCTCCCCATCCCGCATCTCCCCATCCCTCATCTCCCCATCCCGCATCTCCCCATCCCTCATCTCCCCATCCCTCACCTCCCCATCTCTCACCTCCCCATCCCTCATCTCCCCATGCCTCACCTCTCCATCGCTCATCCATCCATCCCTCATCTCCCCGTGCCTCACCCCATCTCCGCCGCACCCCGTGGCATCGTCACACGTCGCCATTTCCCACCTCTTCCTACTTCCCATCCCCCTCTTCCGCCCTTCCTACCCCCTTCTCTCAATCCCTTCCTCTCGCCCTGCCATCCTACTTCCCATCCCCCTTTCCTCGTTTCCCCAGACCTCCTTTCCCATACTCCTAACCCCATCTCCTCCTCACCCCATCTCCTCCTATACACATCCGCTTCTTTCCCCTTCCCTCGTCACCGCGTCCCCTCCTCTCCCCATCCCCTCCTCTCACCATCCCCTCTTCTCCCCACCCCCTCCCGTCCTCTCCCCATCCGCCCATCCCACCTCACCACTTCCCTCCTCTTCCCATCCATCCTCTCCTCATCCCTCCCCATCCGTCCTTTCCCCATCCGATCCTCTCACCCTCCCCTCCAGGTGTTTCCCACACCGCCCTCGGCCCAGCAGCACCTTTTCATCCCCTGTGCTTTTCTGCACCAGGGAGCTGCTTGGGGCGCTGTGGGCGGATGGCGGTGGGCAGAGTCACACAGCAGAGGCAGACGTGGTGCTGCCTGTCCTCCCTTTCCCCCGTCCTCCCTCCCCATCCATCCTTCCCTTCCTCTGTTCCTCTCTTCCTCCATACGTCCCTTCCTCCGTTTCTCTGTCCCTCTTTTCCCCTGGTCGTCCTTCTGTTTGTCTCCTACCGTTCCAGGAGTGTCTTTTTATTTCTTCCTCTTCGTGTTGCTTCCTTGTCAGTTGTCATTCTTTTGTATGCTTACCGGCTGGAATGTTGGTTGTTTGATAGTACCACTAGGTATGATACATGGCCGTGGGAATGTTGTATGTTTATTATTATAAATAAATTTTGATCCATGGAGGAGAGTGACCATTGTTGGAAACAATCAGTCTTAAGCGCCTCTGTCGTGTCGAAACACCAAGACACAAGCGAAGCAAAGCATATCGAGGCACCAGCGAGTCAACCCTCGGAGGTTGAAGTAACCGCTGGAGGTTACACGAAAGTCAAAGGTCAGCGACCTTTGACCTGACAAATACAGCGCGACAGCAAGGACACACAACTGACTCGCTACAGAGCAGTTGCCCGAGTCGTCACTGTATCGAACCGCAACAGCAACAGTAAAACAGTTATAACCGTATCCCTTCATATTCCTTGTACTCCTATATAATCTTGTATCTCTTTGTCTTAATCAATCAACTTTGCCCTCACATACTAGCGCAAGGTGGTTCACAATACTTCATTAAAACGCTTCCGCTAATTACAACAAGTCCTACCTAGAGTTCACTCCTGCAAAGATCCTAAGGGCTTCTTCTCAGCCCAACATGGTATGAGAGCTATCAGGGGGAACTCAACTATCAAGATACCTACAACATCAACAGGCATGGCTACACAAAAGGAAAGGAGCTCCTCCAATGGCTCCCAGGGCACTACTCCTACTCCACCTCCTGCCTCTGGCCTACAGACAGAGGAGGGTACGGCAACAAGACCCAGGGCAACATCCACCGAAACTCCCGCAAACCAAGCCGCGGGCTTCGACCCAAGCATGATGGAGAAGTTCTTCTCCTTCATGTCTTTCTACGAGCAACACCAGCAATCGGCACCTGCGCAGTCACACAATAGCAACAACAACGGAGCAACTCCCATGAGTCTCGACGGCTCATCATACGCACGAGGAAATCAACAGCAGCCTACCTTTGCTCCGTACGAGCGCGGGTCCATTAGCTTTATGCCACACCCGCAGCCTTCACCTGGACAAGAAAAGCCACTGGACGCATTACAAGTTCAGTCGCAGTTCGCGCACGTTCTGAAGATGCAGACGTCAAGACCTTTCGATGGAAAGGATTTCTTCACCTGGTCGTTTGAATTCGAGCTAATGATGGAAGGCGCGCAGATACTTGGCTTCTTCGACGGGTCCCTGCCATACCCAACAAACGGCACACAGTATGAGAAGCAGCAGTACACCTATCAGTCGATGATGGCGTACACGATTCTACTGAGAAACATCACCCCGTCTCAACAGCAGAATATACGATCTTACCGGGGTTACGGCAACTCCGCGGAGCTCGCATACAACCACTTGAAGAGCCTGTATCAAGCAACAGACAGCGTAAATCAAAGTCGGTTAATGGCGCAACTGACAACGGTCGAAATGAAAGCAGGCGAGAAAGGAATGGCGTATATCAGCCGATGTCGCGAGTTGCGCGACAAGCTTCTTCGATGCGGAGGGTCGATTTATGAAGACGCCTTCGTGACAGTTATCATTGGCGGCCTCGGTCCTCAATGGCGCGCCACAAAGGCCATTCTCCGAGCCCACGGAAGAATCTCCGAAGCAGCGCTCTGCGCCGAAATCCACGCCGAGCAGCAAGACATGGACCTGCAAGAAGAACGACACAAGAAGAAGACATCAGCACCGGAATTTGCATTCCATACTCAGCGACGCTACAACAACAACAAACAACAACAACCGAAACCCGTACCTCCGTTCTGCCACATCTGCAAGACGTCAGGGCACCCGCGCACGCACTGCCCGAATCGACAACAGTCAACGCCTTCATAGCGACAGCTTCGACCTTCAAGCAGCCAAGTCACTTCAACACAAGCGAACCCCACCGCTCAAGTTCAAACGACACCGACGGGACAACCTGCACAAGGAGCAAGGAACATTGTCAGCTGCATGGCAAGACTGTCGGATTCCTGCATCACTGAATCACCACCGCACTACTCACCAGAAGAACAACTTGACGAAAGGACTCCGCGCCGCGAGACACTGGAGCCGAATCCAACGTACGCAGCTATCGCCCAAAGTGAGCCATCCGGGAAAGACACCTGGTTCTTGGACAGCTGCTGCGGACAACATATGTGCTCCTCGGGTCGCTTCGTTCAACGCGAACACCGTCTCCAGCGAGACGTCGTCATCACCATTGCCAACAACCAGAACTTGCGCATACGACGACAAGGCGTAGTGCAACTTCAGTCACGAGAAACAAACGTCATACTACAGATGTCCAAGGTTTTAATAGCAGAGGGGCTCGGATACAACTTACTGAGCGTCAGTCAATTGATGGCGAAAGGAATCCACCTCGAAGCAGACAGCACAACACAGGAGTTCAAGCTGTACCACGGGAAGGGTGGCCTCTACATCGGCAAGGCAGTACTGAAGAACAACGTGTTCGTCCTCGACTTCGTTCCAGACCTCGGCACCGCTGACAGCGACGGAATCGTCACCTTCACCTCCTGGACGCACCCACCAGATCTTGATCCAGACTTCAGCCCCGGAGGTTTCTGGTATTCGCACACCATTCCTGAGGCAGAACGAACAAGAGCGTTAGCGACGATTCAACATTCGGCAGCAGCAGAGACAACACCAGCAGCAGCAGAGACAACATCGGCAGCAGCAGAGACAACGACGGCAGCAGCAGAGACAACACCAGCAGCAGCAGAAACAACATCGGCAGCAGCAGAGACAACAACAACAGCAGCAGAGACAACATCGGCACCAATCGCGGGTTCTTCAACTGCACCAGCTCCGATCGACGACAACACTCCACCGACCCCTGCGCAGCAACTGAATCCAACACCTCGAGAAGTACACCGAAGCGCAAACTTCACCGCCAGCTTCTACTCCAACTCCGACGAATACCGACGCTCACCCGGACATCGCGCTGACGAAGATCTCTGGCACAAGCGACTGGGACATCCAAGCAACACGACGATAAACAACACGATACGAGCAGGCGTTCTTGACAAAGATTCACTACTCTTACCCGACGGCAGAGAACTTCGACGAATGAGAGGAACTTGCTTCACCTGTCCAGAAGCTGACTTACCGCATCAGCCCTTCGTCTCTCACCACAACCCGAGCGCACCCGCTTACGCACCACTCGAGAAAGTATACAGCGACATCCTGTATAATCGCGAACCTGGACAAGAAGCATACAACTACACCATCACGTTCATCGACGCCGCCACGCGCTATGTCTGGCATCTCAACCTCATAAGCCGCGACATGGCCTTCCAAGCTTTCGTCGCATGGCTTCCAGTAGCTGAACGAGAATCAGGCGTAAAACTAAAAAGCTTCCAGTCAGATGGAGCAGGAGAATACACGTCCCAGCAGTTCAAAGACTACCTGGCGGAACGAGGAATCAAGCGGCTCATCTCTCTACCCTACGCCCATCAACAGCAGGGTGTAGCAGAAAGAATGAACAGGACCCTTCAAAACACCATGCGCAAACTGCTACGTGGCATGCGGCTACCCAACCACCAGTGGCCCGAAGCAATGGACCACGCCGTCATGCTGCACAACTTGCTCTCGTCATCATCGCTCCCGAACAACGCATCACCGCATCTGCTGTGGACAGGAAAACAGGGCAGCACCAAAATGTTACGAAATTTCGGCTGCATGGTACAGTACCGACCTCCATCTGCACGCGCTGGTCGTTTCTCACAACGGGCACAGTGGGGACTACACCTGGGCATCGAAAAGCACTACAACGCGTGGAAGATTTTTGACGTCCACTCAAAGGAAACAGTGGCAGCACATGACGTCATTTTCTACGAACGACTCACTCTTTCGTCGTACCTGTACAACTTGGAGACCTCACGAGATGTCACAGGTGGATTTCGTGGGGACCGAGCCTTCGCTTCGGCAGAAGATGAAGCTGACCTGGACGAGCAAAATGTGGAAGGAGCCTCGGAGGAAGCCGGACCTCTCCCCTACTGCTCCGTTGACGTGCCAATGGACGACGAAAACCCACGCGAAAGCATCAACGCCGACGCCTACTACCATTTCGCTGACAACGGTTACGTTACACCTGCACAAGTCAACACCGACGAAGCAGAACGCGTAGGACCTAATTTCGCACCTGATCCAGAAGCGGGAGACGAAGCAGTTTATCCCGAGGACATGTCACTCCCCCGCTACACACCGAGTGGACTCCAGATACTCGGGCTCGTCACCGCAGTCCACGGCACGGCCATTCCTAAGGAGCCTGCCACAGTTCAGCAGGCTCTGGGGGGGGAGCATAGGGAAAAATGGCGCGAAGCCATGGACAAAGAACTGAAGGCATTAGAGGAGCGCAACACGTGGAAAATTGTCCCCATCGGCGTAGCACGGAACAAAACCATTCTCACCGGAAAATGGGTTTTCCGCGTGAAGACGAAGGCCGACGGCACCATTGACAAATTCAAGGCACGCTGAGTCGTGCGCGGCTTCGACCAAGAACACGGGCGAGACTTCACCGAAACTTTCGCTCCGGTCAGCCGACACACTTCGCTCCGAATCCTTCTCGCGATCGCCGCCATGAAGAAAAAGAAGCTACGGCAAATCGATGTCGCGAACGCTTTTCTCTACGCACCCGTTGACGCAGAAATTTTCGTGGAACTACCGCACGGTACCAATGGGGAGCCCAACCAAGTCTGACAGCTGCTAAAGTCGCTCTACGGGATCAAGCAAGCTCCGTGGCTATGGCAGCAGTACCTGCACGCCCGCCTCATTCGCATCGGCTTCAAGCAATTACCACACGATCAGGGGATGTACCGACTCACGAAAGGCGCAGATTACATCCTGCTAATCGTCTACGTAGACGATCTCCTCTACATCGGCTCAACCGACAGCGTCACCACCTGGTTCGAAGGGGAGCTGCAGCAGGACCTCACACTGACAGTCTCATCTACCGTTACACAGTACCTCGGGCTCAACATCCGGGAAGAGGAAGACGCCATCTACCTCAGCGCCGCGAAGTACGCCGACACCATCGCCAAGCGCTTCGCACTTACACCAACTGCTATCTCCACACCGTACCACTACACGACTGGAAACAACAAAGAAGGCTCCGCTCTGCTCAAGCCCGCCGGCATACGCGACTACCAGAGAAAGCTGGGCTGCCTTCTCTTCGCAGCTGTCACCTGCCGCCCAGATCTATCGTACTCTGCAAGTCAACTCGCCACCTACCTCAAGAGGCCCGAAGCGGAACATCTAGCAGAACTCGACCGTGCTCTTCATTACCTCATTAGCACCCCGACGATTGGTCTAACTTATTACAAGAACGCAACTACGCCGCCTAAGTTAATCGGCTACGTCGACGCCGATCACGCTGGCGATTCCAACAACAGGCGTTCTCGCACTGGCTACATCTACCGCCTCGAACCTATCGGACCTATCTCTTGGCAGTCGAGCAAGCAGGAATTAATCGCCCTCTCGTCAGCTGAAGCAGAATATATTGCACTCTGCTCAGCCACCAAGGACTTTACCTTCGCGAACTGCTGGAAGAAGCGAAGCTGGCTCAGTTACCCAGCTTCACTCTGTTATGCGACAACCAGTCGGCAATTCGCATTGCCAACAAGAACGGCTTCGCGAACAGGACGAAACACATCGCCCTGCGATATTTCTTCGTGAAGGACGAGATCGAGAAAGGGAGGCTCGAGCTGTCATACTGCCCCACGTCCGAGATGGCAGCTGACTACCTGACCAAGAAGCTCGGAAAGCAGAAGTTCGAGTACTGCATGCTGCTGACTGGACAGAGCCACGTCACCAGCAGCGACACTCCAGAAGCGAAGGGGAGTGTTGGAAACAATCAGTCTTAAGCGCCTCTGTCGTGTCGAAACACCAAGACACAAGCGAAGCAAAGCATATCGAGGCACCAGCGAGTCAACCCTCGGAGGTTGAAGTAACCACTGGAGGTTACGCGAAAGTCAAAGGTCAGCGACCTTTGACCTGACAAATACAGCGCGACAGCAAGGACACACAACTGACTCGCTACAGAGCAGTTGCCCGAGTCGTCACTGTATCGAACCGCAACAGCAACAGTAAAACAGTTATAACCGTATCCCTTCATATTCCTTGTACTCCTATATAATCTTGTATCTCTTTGTCTTAATCAATCAACTTTGCCCTCACATACTAGCGCAAGGTGGTTCACAATACTTCATTAAAACTCTTCCGCTAATTACAACAAGTCCTACCTAGAGTTCACTCCTGCAAAGATCCTAAGGGCTTCTTCTCAGCCCAACAACCATCGACCACCTACTAAGTGCAACAATCTAGTAAAAAAGAACCAAGTTACTCAATAATATGTCTTTTCCCACTCTTGTCTGCATACACAGCAGCAAAAAAACAGGACTTGTGGGTCCCTCCCTACACCTGGTGCTGGGGACCTGTACAGAATGAGCAGGAAAAAACAGAGTGCAGGGAAGACATTGAGCAGGGGGGAAAGAGAGTGAGGAGGGGGGAAGAGAGTGAGAAGGGGGGATAGGGAGTGAGCAGGGGGAAAGAGGGTGGGCATGGGGGAATGGAGTGAACAGGGGGGGAACAGAATGAGCAGGGGGAAACAGAATGAGCAAGGGGAAAGAGAATGAGCAGCGGGGAAGAGAATGAGCAATGGGGAAAGAGAGTGAGCAGGGGGAAAGAGAATGAGCAATGGGGAAAGAGAGTGAGCAGGGGGGAAGAGAATGAGCAATGGGAAAACCGAGTGAGCAAGGGGGAAACGGAGTGAGGAGGTGAGAAGAGAGAGAGCAAGGGGGGAGAGAGCAGGGGGGAATAGAGCAGGGGGGAATAGAGCAGGGGGAAATAGAGCAGGGGGGAATATAGCAGGGGGGAATAGAGCAGGGGGGGATAGAGCAGGGGGGAACAGAGCAGGGGGGAATAGAGCAGGGGGGAATAGAGCAGGGGGAAATAGAGCAGGGGGGAATATAGCAGGGGGGAATAGAGCAGGGGGGGATAGAGCAGGGGGGAACAGAGCAGGGGGGAATAGAGCAGGGGGGAATAGAGCAGGGGGAATAGAGCAGGGGGGAATAGAGTGAGGAGGAGAGCAGGGAAGGGGACATGGGGAAGCAGGGAAGGGGATGGGGGGAAGTAGGGAAGGGGATGGGGGGAAGCAGGGAAGTGGACATGGGGAAGCAGGGAAGGGGATGGGGGGAAGTAGGGAAGGGGATGGGGGGGAGCAGGGAAGGGGATGGGGGGAAGCAGGGAACGGGACATGGGGAATCGGGGAAGGGGATGGGGGGAAGCACGGAAGGGGATGGGGGGAAGCACGGAAGGGGATGGGGGGAAGCAGGGAACGGGCCATGGGGAATCGGGGAAAGGGATGGGGGGAAGCAGGGAAGGGGATGGGGGGAAGCAGGGAAGGGGATGGGGGGAAGCAGGGAAGGGAATGGGGGGAAGCAGGGACGTGGACATGGGGAAGCAGGGAAGGGGATGGGGGGAAGCAGGGAAGGGAATGGGGGGAAGCAGGGACGTGGACATGGGGAAGCACGGAAGGGGATGGGGGGAAGCAGGGAAGGGGATGGGGGGAAGCAGGGAAGGGGATGGGGGGAAGCAGGGAAGGGAATGGGGGGAATCGGGGAAGGGGATGGGGGGAAGCAGGGAAGGGGAAGGGGGGAAGCAGGGAACGGGCCATGGGGAATCGGGGAAAGGGATGGGGGGAAGCAGGGAAGGGGATGGGGGGAAGCAGGGAAGGGGATGGGGGGAAGCAGGGAAGGGGATGGGGGGAAGCAGGGAAGGGGACATGGGGAAGCAGGGAAGGGGATGGGGGGAAGCAGGGAAAGGGATGGGGGAAAGCAGGGAAGGGGATGGGGGGAAGCAGGGAAGGGGACATGGGGAAGCAGGGAAGGGGAGGGGGGGAAGCAGTGAAGGGGATGGGGGGAAGCAGGGAAGGGGATGGGGGGAAGCAGGGAAGGGAATGGGGGGAAGCAGGGACGTGGACATGGGGAAGCAGGGAAGGGGATGGGGGGAAGCAGGGAAGGGAATGGGGGGAAGCAGGGACGTGGACATGGGGAAGCACGGAAGGGGATGGGGGGAAGCAGGGAAGGGGATGGGGGGAAGCAGGGAAGGGGATGGGGGGAAGCAGGGAAGGGAATGGGGGGAATCGGGGAAGGGGATGGGGGGAAGCAGGGAAGGGGAAGGGGGGAAGCAGGGAACGGGCCATGGGGAATCGGGGAAAGGGATGGGGGGAAGCAGGGAAGGGGATGGGGGGAAGCAGGGAAGGGGATGGGGGGAAGCAGGGAAGGGGATGGGGGGAAGCAGGGAAGGGGACATGGGGAAGCAGGGAAGGGGATGGGGGGAAGCAGGGAAAGGGATGGGGGAAAGCAGGGAAGGGGATGGGGGGAAGCAGGGAAGGGGACATGGGGAAGCAGGGAAGGGGAGGGGGGGAAGCAGTGAAGGGGATGGGGGGAAGCAGGGAAGGGGAGGGGGGGAAGCAGGGAAGGGGATTGGAGGCGGCATGGAAGGGGATGGGGAGAGTGGGAGAGGTAAGCAGTGTGGGGGAGATTTGCGATTATTGGGGGGAGGGAAGGGCGTGTGTAGGGGTAGAAAAGGGAGGGTGACCAGTGTGCGCGATGGGATGGGAGACGGGAGGGATGGCGAGGGCGACGCGGCGTGGATGGCAGGGCGGAAGGGAGGGCGACGGGCGGGAGGGAGGGCGACGGGCGGAAGGGAGGGGCGGAAGGGAGGGCGACGCTTGGATGGGAGGGCGACGGGCGGAAGGGAGGGCGACGGGCGGAAGGGAGGGCGACGGGCGGATGGGAGGGCGACGCGCGGATGGGAGGGCGACGGGCGGATGGGAGGGCGACGCGCAGAAGGGAGGGCGACGTGCGCCAGGGAGGGCGACGGGCGGAAGTGAGGGCGGCGTGCGGAAGGGAGGGCGACGCGCGGATGGGAGATACAACGCGCGGATGGGAGAACGACGTGCGCCAGGGAGGGCGACGGGCAAAAGGGTGGGCGACGAGCGGATGGAAGGCGACGGGCGGAAGGGAGGGCGGCGAATGGAAGGGAGAGACGAGCGGAAGCGTGTGCGACGAAAGGAAACGTGAGTTCCGTAAGGAAGCGCGGGCGACGTAAGGAAGCGTGGGCGACGTAAGGAAGCGAGAGTGACATAAGGAAGCAACTACCGGGAGTGAAGGAACCGAAGGCGTCGCGGGCTGGCGAAGGCGACGGGGGCACCTAAGTGACGAGCGAGAATGTTTTACAACGCATTTCTATCTCGTCCTGTGATAAATCACTGGCAGAAAAAGAGATAGGGAGTGAACTACGTAGAGTATGACGTGCATTTAGTACCAGATGGTTTTCAAGTTCACTTCAAGTGAACAGTGCTGCCTTGCCAGGTCAACCTCCGCTCGGTAAGACTTTGAGTGTCGCTGGCCAATCACGGATCACTATCGTGAGAGAATGCTAGACTTTAGGTGGTAACTTGGTTTTTGGCGAATTCATATTCAAGAATCTTGAATATGAAAACAGCCATGTGGTACTCGGGCTTTAAGTATTGCCCAAATCCTGATCCAGGGGTACACATCATGCTCAACCCCTTCCTGCTAATTTTCCCTTCACCTAATGGAAAGTCTGCACCCGAGATTTTTGCGCCAGGCAGTTGCACACAGTTTACAAGCCCCTCAATCAATTGCAGTGATGATGAACCAATGATAAAAAATGCTGACAGATGTCAACTGTCAATGCAGTGTTGATGAACCAATGGTAACGAGGAGACCGATGTCAACTGTCAACGTGTAACTACTGAGAATTTTATAAGCCCTTTTTTGCTAGCTGCGACGTTGACTAAGCTTGCGAAATGCAAGAATCACTTAAAAGCCCCTTCACAAGGCAACCTTGGGGGGCTCAAATAGGCATCAGCTGGATTGTGACTGTCTGGCGCACCTGAGATTGATGTCAGACACTCCAAGCCACAAAAGCCCGCCCGGTGACAGTTCCCTCCCTCCCTCCCTCTCCCCCTCCTCGGCCAGCCAGCCCAAGCCTGATTTAGCGGAAACTGTGGGTGAGTCAGTCGGCCCAATGAGAAAGATTTGTCCGTTACTAACAGTGATTTGACACTGCCGTTCATAGTTCTGTCTAAAGCTGTATTTTGAAGTAACCTCGAAACTGTAGAACAGGAATGATTCTAGACGATATTAGTTCCTCCACCCTTCTATCGTTGCTGCGTTGTGTGATTCTAGATGCTGGCGTGCGGATGTACCCCACGACCACTCCACAACCACAGTTCATTCTTTCATTCTTTCAACACGTACTGTACACCCTGTTTTATCCAATACCTCTATTCTCAGCCTAGAATTGCTCCCAGCAGTGCCAAACAGAGCACATGTGAACCCGCACGTATCCGGACCCCCACATGGACAAGCAGCATCTTGCTCATCCCCTGGCAAGTAAAAGCTGCCGAACCGTGCAACTTGGCGTGCGTGGGTCACCTCACCTTGCTCTGTTTGCCTCGATTCTTCCCTTGCAGTCCCCCACACCTCCACGATTCGGGGCGTGTCACGCTTTGGTCATGTAACCATTTTATCACGCAAGCGACACAGACCACTCTGATGCGATGAAGTACGGTTTCAGTTAACTATAGAAGTTTACAGTTCGGTAGTTGGACTACACCAAGGGTTTTCCGTCCTCGGTGGGGGTACCCCTAAGCCACCCACTGCAGCTCCCCGTCACAGGGTCAGCTTCCTCGCGGGTCACTCACATCACGTGAATGTGCTCCGAAGGTGAATGCAAGATGCAAGTCTAGATCTCAAGTATGTGGATGTGTCCAATTGACCATACACGAAATTAGTTTTTCTCGAAAACCCTCTTATTAGCTGGGAAGTTCCCACCCCTCGCGCATTTGTGCATATGCCGCGTTGTGTGAGGGGCGTTCTTCCCACCATGGGTGCATCCCAAGAGCCTCGAGCAATAACAAACCCGGCGCTATCGATTTTGTCATTTTTTTTTTCGGAATATCAGTCATACGCGGTCAGTTCTTGAAAGGGACAGCAGATGAGGAGGCACAACATCACTCTTGCATAGACTGCCACACAACAACACTCAGGCTTGCATACACTAGCATGATACTCCGCCGCACTCTGCGCTGTGGTTACCTCACTGAGGTGTCTCCAACGAGCACTAGAAGTTGCCTCCTGTAACTTCACTCACATCTTTTACACCGTCATTTCCGCTCACAATCAACTACCAAAGGAATATCTTCAACGCCCGGCGCGGCCCCGTAGACTATTCGGTCGCCCACAGAGGTTCGCGCCGCCACAGTGCTGCTGCACTCTGCAACCGCATTCTGCGCGCTTCACTAACGAAAACCTACCACTACTGTACGGTATCCGCCAATCGTAGCAATTCTCGCCGCTAGATAGAAGTAGCGGAATTTATGTAACGGTGGAGTAGTTCCCGACTCTACCGATTCTCTGCGACGGTGGGGCGATCTGCGACCTCGCCACAAACTGCTCATTTTCTCGCTGGTCCAGTGCCGTCAGTACTGGGGAGACGGGGCCTACCGGAACTACATTCCACGTCACATGCGCTAGCCGTGCGTCATCATCATCGTCATCCCAAATATATTCCTAGAAAAGACTCTATGCCGCCTGGCAATATCATCGCACGTGGGGTTTGACGCCCGAGTGACAAGCGGCGCCTGTCCTTACCGGTAGGAGGACTCTTTCTCGGCTAGAAAGAGCAACAGCGACGCCGCCGGCGTCTCTTCTAGCACTTCGAGTACCGCACTCGTTTCGTAGCACGCCCTAAAATTCTTACCAAAGTAACTCAAGACCACCCGCGCTCCTCCCCCCCTTTTTTGAGCCGAACAATTTTTGGGGAAGCTTCGCGAAGGGAAGGTGGCCCATTTGTTTCAGCAAATCAAATCCGAGAGTCTATCACAGGGATTTGCTCCCGCGGTGACCACGAGGCTTGCGTATTCCAGGCCCTGACTCAGAATCGTTGACGTGGGTCCACCGTATCCTTTTCGCTTTAGCCACCCCCGTTCCGCGCTTTCGCGGTTTTTGCGGCTGAAGAGCTTACTACTACCAGATCCGTAGCAGCAGCAGCAGCAGCAGAGCAGCAGAGCAGCAGCAGCAGCAGCAGAGCAGCAGAGCAGCAGCAGCAGCAGAGCAGCAGAGCAGCAGAGCAGCAGAGCAGCAGCAGCAGCAGCAGAGCAGCAGAGCAGCAGAGCAGCAGAGCAGCAGAGCAGCAGAGCAGCAGCAGCAGCAGCAGCAGCAGCAGCAGCAGCAGCAGCAGCAGCAGAGCAGCAGAGCAGCAGAGCAGCAGAGCAGCAGAGCAGCAGAGCAGCAGAGCAGCAGAGCAGCAGAGCAGCAGAGCAGCAGAGCAGCAGCAGCAGCAGCAGCAACCTGCGTGTGGCAAACCGCTGCAGGGGCGATGTCGGTGCTACTTGCAGGCGTCCCCCGCTCTCTCCAGGCCAGCTTCGCGATTAACATTTGCAGACCTAGTATCCTCCTTGCCGTTATCGTTGCCGCCGTGGTCAGCGCCAGCGCGAAGCAAGCTTCTGCCGTCGTGCTAAATCCCGCCCACTGTAAGCTTCGCTTGACCTATTCCGAGCTTTGATGGGCTGAAGTCGCGAGTCTCGACAAGCACCATTTTGCTTTGAGATTCCAGTCCGGTCCGGTCCGCCGCTGCTGAATACTCTCCCTCCTCTATCTCCTGCTCCTCCTCCTCCTCCGCCTCCACCTCCTCCTCCTCTTCCTCCTCCTCCTCCTCCTCCTCCTCCTCCTCCTCCTCCTCCTCCTCCTCCTCCTCCTCCTCCTCCTCCTCCTCCTCCTCCTCTTCCTCCTCCTCTTCCTCCTCCCTCCTTCTCTTTCTTCCTCCTCGCCGTTAGCCCCTACCCTTTACATCTGTCATCAACCCCATCCCAGTACATCAAGTTCTGCACCCTTCCGCCTTCTTTCCTTCTTTTGCATCCTCCTCTCCCTGTCGACTCTCCCTCTCCTTGCTCTCCCTATCCGTCCTCCCTCTCCGTGCTCTCCCTCTCCGCCCTCCCTCTCCTCGCCCTCCCGATCCCTCCACGCGCGGGGCCGTGCAGGGGCGGTGGTGGATGCGCTGAAAGGGGAGTGGCTAGACTTCGACGGGCGCTCCACATGGCTCGTCACGAACACGTGCGAGGAGATGCAGGGCATCACGTGCAGCGTCGATGGCTTCATCACTGACATGTATGCCGCGTTCCGTGCCGTGCTGTCCCGCCCCGTGCCGTGCTGTGCTGTGCCGCCCCGTGCCGTGCCGTGCTGTGCCGTTCTGTGCTGTGCCGTACCATGCTGTGCCGTGCCGTGCCGTGCCGTGCCGTGCAGTCCCGTGCCGTCCCGTGCCGTACCGTGCTGTGCCGTGCTGTGCTGTGCCGTACCATGCTGTGCCGTGCCGTGCTGTGCCGCATCTTTCTTCCTGCACTCCGCCGCACGCTTTGTTTATGCAGCCGGTCGCCTATGAATGTGCATGCTTATCATGTGTTTGCTGGTTTGCCCGCGTGTTTCTTGACCCTTACGTGCCTTTGCTTTCGTGCAGTAATCTATCATACAAGACCCTGTCGTCATCCATCCCAGTAGCCATTGCGCGACTCGAAACTCTCCAATACCTGTCAGTGCCATGTCAGCCCATTATGGTGTGTCATGCCGTGCCATGCTATGCCGTGCCGTTCCATGCCGTTACCTGCCATAGCATTCGCCATGCAGCACAGTGCATACCGCGTCGTGATGTGCCATGTGCCATGTGCGACCTTGTTCAGTCGTCTTCCATTTCGTTGAAACCCACCCACAAGGCCTTGCCATACCGAACGAGGTGACTTTTGAGTCGACTCAAAAGCCACAAGGCCTTGCCATACCGATTGCTCTCTCACGATCGCCCATCCTGCTTTCTGCGACTCACATCCTCATTTCCCCTCCCCTCCTTTTCCCATCTCCCTTTTCCCGTTTCCTCCCTTCTCCCCTCCCCTTCCTCTTCCCTCTCCGCCATTTCCCCTCCCCTTTTCCCCTCACCTCCCTTTCCCCTCCCCTTTCTTTCCTCTCTCCTCCATTCCCCTCCTCTCCTTTCCCCTCCCTCCTCCTTTCCCCTCCCCTCCCTTTCCCTCCCCTCCCGCCTCACCCCTCCCATGGTCTCGCCGTGCATCCCTGGCATCACTGCAGCGATTTGCACAACTGCTCGCTCTCAGGCTCCATCCCCTCCTCCCTGGGCTCTTTAACCCGTCTAAAGAAACTGTAACCGCACCTCCACTCCACCTCCTCCTGCCTTCCTCCTTTCAGCCACACCCAAATTCTCCCCCCTCCTGTTTTAAAAATCAAGCTCTCTGCTCTGCTGCGTATTCCCTCCCGCTCTCTCCAGATCTTGTCCCTGCTAACCCTCCCCTCTCCCCGCCTCTCCTCTCCTCTTTCCTCCTCTTCCGTCTCTCCACCCATACCTCCCTCCCCCTCCCTCCCACCCCTCGCCTCACCAGAGCTGCCCACATGAATGCGCTGTCTGGCAGCATTCCATCCACGTTGGGGGACATGGCTTCGCTACAGTACCTGTATGCTGCTCCGCTGCCCATCCCGCCGTCTCCCCTCCTGCCGTCGCCGTTCCTGCTATCGCCGTTCCTGCTATCGCCATTCGTCCCACCGCCATTCCTGCTCTTGCCGTTTCTGTCACCTCTGCTGTTGATGTTATCACTCACTCCCATCTTCCACTTCTTCTTCCTTCCATCATCTACCTACCCTCCACTCTCCCGCTCCTCCCGGAAATCCTCTCCCCTCCTCCCTGTGTGGTAAATACTAATGTCTAAATTTCCTCCACACCTGTAACAGGAAGCTGAGTGTCAACGAGCTATCTGGATCGCTCCCAGCTTCCCTTGACCGCCTTTCCAACCTAGCCGCCCTGTCAGTGGCCGTACCAACCCCACCACACCCACACAAGCACCAAGGCGCCGTTACCCATTGCTGCCCACCCATTCGCTTCCATCCAATTCCACCCGCCCATTGCCGGCCACCCACTGCCTTTCACCCTCCCTCGCTCCCGCCCTCGTTCCCTCCCTCACGCCCTCCCGTCCTGGCTCCCCTCTCTCTCCGCCCTTCCCTCCTGCAGCTTTCTCGGCATGAATCAGCTTGAAGGCTCTTTTCTTGCCACCCTCACTGGTCTCACTCAACTGGTCAACCTGTAAGCTCCGCCCACACACCCCACCGCTGCTTGCTTCTCCTCTCCTCCTTTTGTTAGCCCTACCACGCTACATGTATCTTCCTTTGAGGCAGTTGAAGAATGTGTGTTTCCCGAGTGCCTGGTTTCTTTTATTCATTTTTTCCAACTGTTATTTCGTGTCACCATTGGTGTTGGCATGCATTTCCGTTCACATTGGCGCGTGCGTTGGTCTCGGCATTTCTATCATAGATTTGACGGGGTTTGCCTTTCTGTTTTCCCTCTTTTTTCAGTCTAAATACTGTACTGTTCGTCATCCAATTGTTGGTGCTTGCGCCTGCTCATGTGTGCATGTGTGTGCTTGTGTGCGTGTGCGCACAGGGATTTAAGTTGGAACCTGTTGGAGGGGCAGATACCTACAGAGATAGGATCTTTCCCCGTGCTGCAAGACCTGTGAGCCTCTCTCTGCCACTGGCACACATTCTCACATGCGGACGTGCATACATGCATGCATGCATACATACACACACATGCACACATGCACACATGCACACATGCACATGCACACATACACACATGCCCACATGAACACACACATACACACACATAGAATGCACGCATGCATGCGTACTTGCATGCACGGACGTGCGCAGTAACAAACCATCATAAAGAACCTTCACATTACACCCCTACTCCCAACATTCCCTGCTCCATCCCTAGTCCCTCAGCCCTCCATTCACTGCTGCCCCACGGAACCCCAACCCCAACTCCAACTCTGATTCCCCCTCCAGGCGCCTCAACGGCAACCGCTTCTCAGGGCCTGTGCCCTACACCATTGGCTCCATCCGCACCCTGCGCACCCTGTACGTGCGCCCGCCCTCCGCCCTTGCTACTCTGTATAGCCCTGCAACCATGTGGCCCTGCAACCCTGTGGCTGTGCAACCCTGTGGCTGTGCAACCCAGCGTGGTCCCATGAACCATGACCAGGGTTGAGCCCCTTACCCCCTGGCCTAAACTCACAGTCACAGTAGCCCCGCCCTCCATTCTCTCCATCCTCCTCTCTTCCGTTTTTTCAGCTCCCCTTCTCAATCACTCCCCTCGTTTTTCCATCCTTACTTACCCCTCCTATCCCCTCTCCCTCACTCTCTCTCGCTCCCCTCCTCCCCGTCCCGTCCCCCTGTCTCCCCTCTCTTCTCCCCCTTCCCTCCCCGCCCCTCCCCTTCGCCACGGCTCGGCGCCTTACAGCCAACTGAGTGACAACGAGCTGTCAGGCCCACTGCCGCCCACTCTCGGCTCGCTCACGGCCCTCGATCAAATGTATGTCACCACACCACACCACGCCCTCCGATAGAGCCCCAAGTAGCACCCATGTCTGTACGTACGTGGCAGCGACTCTCGGCTTGCTCACGGCCCTCGATCAAATGTCAGCACAGCACACCACGCCCTCCCTCCCTCTCGCCTGCCGCCCTCCTTCCCTGCTTCCTGCCTCCTGTTTGTCTCCCTGCACATGCCTTTCCCTGTGTGCGCTCGAACACATGCTTGTGTGTGTGTGTGTGTGTGTGTGTGTGTGTGTGTGTGTGTGTGTGTGTGTGTGTGTGCGTGTTTGTGTGTATGAGAGGGGAGACTGGAGAATGGGAGGGGAGGTAGGGGAGGGGGATGCAATGCATGTTCATGCGCGCACGCGCCCACACCCTAAACCCGTAGTCCTAAAGGCTGCTCCGTTGCTGCTGCTCCCTTGCTGCTCCCGCTCCCGTGCTGCTCCCGTGCTCCTGTGCGTCCACTGCGCTCACCAGGTTGATATCCAACAACCAGCTGTCCGGTGACCTGCCTGCTTCCATCGGCAGTATCCCCTTCATCATCACCATGTGCGCTCTCCCCTCCACCCTCTCCACTGCACCTCACCTCACCTCACCTCACCTCACCTCACCTCACCTCACCTCACCTCACCTGACCTCACCTCACCTCACCTCACCTCACCTCACCTCACCTCACCTCACCTCACCTCACCTCACCTCACCTTGTTAAAATATATATTGTGTAGCATGCCAACACATGTGACTGTACACCAATTGTGGTGTACAGTTGGGTTGGGACTACACCCAACTTTGGGTGTAGTCTTGCACTTTGGGGTGCCAATCCACCCAATTGTGGTGGAGCCCCCAAATGCAACCCTCTTGACTTGTGGGTACCTCACTTCCGACAATTGAGGTTACCCCAAGCCAAGTGGGCCTAGGGTTGCCTCACTTCTACAAAGTGTGGGCAACCCAACCCACTTGACCTATGGTTCCCTCACTTCCCCAAGTGAGGTCAACCCAACCTATGGTCACTTTCATCCTTCCCTTCCAACCTTCCCTTCCAACTATGTATGCTAGGTTGTTCCTCTAATCTAATTACTTGTTCAATTCACAATCTTCACATGGTATAGAGCTAGTTGTTCCTAAGCCTTTTCTCTCCCTCCCTCAAAGTTTTTTCTTCCCCATGGGCCCACCCCACAGCCACAAACCCCCTACGTGTGGCTCAACCTAGCATCTCCTTGGCACGACCTACGTCGTCGCCGCCCTCCCCTCCCTCCGCCGTGATTGCGCCCTCCTCGCCTGCGGATCCCACCGCCGCGAGTGCATCACCGCCCCCCGTCGCCGCGACACACCGTCGCTGCCCCCCCCCCCCCCCCCTCCCCCTTTTTTCCGCCCCGCGCCTTCTCTGGCGCCGCCTGCACATCCCGCCGCAACGCCTCGTCGCCGCCTCCTCCTCCCCCTGCCGCGACCCCCCGTCGCCGTCTCCCTCCCGCCGCCGCGCCTACTTCGGCGTCGCCCGCGCATCCCTCCGCCGCGACGCCCCGTCGTCGCCTGCCCCTCCCGCTGCCGCGACGTCGCGTCGCCGCCTCCCCCCACCGCCGCCGCGCCTTCCTCGGCGCCGCCTGCGCATCCCGCCGCCGCGACGCCCCGTCGTCGCCTCCTGTCCCGCCGCCGCGACTTCGCGTCGCCGCCTGCACTCCCCATCGCCGCGACCCCCCGTCGCCGCCTACGCATCCCACCGCCGCGCCTTCCCCGTCGCCGCCCGCGCATCCCTCCGCCGCGCCCTCCTCGTCGCCGCTCGCTCATTCCGCCGCCACGATTCCCTCGTCGCCACCCGCGCATCCCGCCGCCGAACGTTCCTCGTAGCAGCCGCCTCATCCCGCAGCAGCAGCGTCATTGGCAGCAACAGCTTCGCCCACAGCTACACCTGCGTTCTCCCTCCCCCTCCCCCTTTCCTCCTCCTCTCCTCCCACGCAGCAGCAGCCGGGACAGCTCAGCAGCCACAGCAGCAACAGCGGCAGCAGCGGCAGCATCAGGAGCAGCGATAGCAGCGGCAGCAGCTGCATCCACCATCTTCCTCCCCCTCCTCCCCTCCCCCCCCCCCCTCCTCCCTCTCAGCAGCGGCAGCAGCGGCAGCAGCGGCAGCAGCGGCAGCAGCGGCAGCAGCGGCAGCAGCAGCAGCAGCCGGAGAAGAACTCCACTCCCCGCAGCAGCACCCCCCCCCCCCCCCCTCCCCCCCCCCCCCCCTCCCCCCTCCCCTCCTCCCTCTCGGCTGCCGCGGGTCCACCCGCCGTCGCCCTCCCACTTGACCGCCGCGGGTCCACCCGCCGCCGTCCACCTCGAGGCCGCCGCGGGTCCACCCGCCGTCGCCCCTCATGGCTACCACTCCTCCCCCTCTCCCCCCTCCCATTGACGCCTCCTCCGTCGACAAGCTTCAGCTTGCCGCGGACCGCTCGGCGATCAACTGGCATTCCTTCGTCGGGAGCATCCGCCGTGTTCTCCAAGATGCATTCGTCGGACCCTACTGCGTCCTTGACGTCCTCCTCCGCCGCCCGCAAGCCCTCCAGCCCACGGCACCCAATCACCCCGGCGAACCCCCTCCACCCCCCATTCCTCCTGGTCCTCCTCCTCCTGAACCCACCTTGGAGATCGCCACTTCCCCAGCGCTCCAAGATGCCGCCGATGCCGCATTTCTCCAAAATCGCCGCGAATACCTCATCCGCAAGGCGGAGCATGAGGTTGCGGTACATAACCACGACTTCGCGGTAGCGGAACGCGCCAATCGCCTGGCGCTCCTTGATGAGTACAATACGGCCATGGCGGACTACCTCCCTCGGAGCATCGCATGGGCCACTGCTGACAACCGCGCCTGCACCATCCTCCTCGGCGCACTCCCTGATACCCTCATGCGCCGTTTCCAAGCTCGCGAGATGCGCGCCTCCCTCATCTGGGCCGAGCTCCAGGCCATGTTCGAGCGTCGCGACATCAGCTCCGTCGGCGCCCTGTTCCAGGAGTACTTCTCCATCACCCTCGCCACTTGTGATGGCGCAGTTGACTACGTGGGGCGCATGCAGGAGGTCGCTGATCGCCTTGCGGCACGCCAAGCTGCCCTCCCCGAGCCCCTGCAAATCCACCGCCTCCTCTACAACCTCACCCCGGACTACGAGTCCCGCCTCCATGCCTTCACTGAGGCCAACCCCATGGCCGGCCTCGACGACGAGGTCCAGTGGATCATTGACACGGAGGTCAAGCTCCGCACCCCCGTTGTCAACCTTACCACCCCTCAGTCCTCCTCCTCCACCTCCCTCAACGCTACGCAGCCGCGCAACCAGGGTGGTCGCAGCGGCGGCGGCGGAGGCCGTGGAGCGGGTGGCGGTGGTGGTGGTGGAGGCCGTGGTGGTGGCGGTGGTGGTAGTGGTGGCCGTGGTGGCCGTGGTGGCGGTGGTGGTGGTGCTGGCAGCGCCCCTGCTGGAGGTGCTGTGACTCGAGGCGGACGCCCTGGCACTCTCCCCCCATGCACATATGTGCGTCGCCATGGTCCCCATGCAGGTACCCCTTGCGGCCAGACCAACCATCCCCCCACCACATGCTTTAAGGCACTCGACGACGCCTGGTTTGATCGCGGCAACACTGGCACCCCTCCTCGCTGGAACTCGGTCACACCTCGCCCCTCCTTAGTGGACATTCAAACCCTCCCCTCTTTCCTTCCTGCTCACCTCCGCATGGTTACCCCCTCCCCACCCTCACAGCTGCAGCAGTTTCAGCAGCACCAGCAGCAGCAGCACCTGTACTTCCACCAGCAGCAGCAGCAGCCGCAGTTTCTCCAGCCCCAGCAGCCGCCGCCGCCGCAGTTCTTCCAGCCACCGCCGCAGCAGCAGCAGCAGTTCCTTCCCCCACCCTGGCAGCAGCAGCCACTCACCTTCGGCACAGCGGCCATGGCCGCTCATACCTCCCTTCCTCCTCCTCCCCCCTGGGGTTCCCTCCCCTCTGCCCCCCCCAGTGTTCCCGACACTTCTGGTAGTTTCCTTGGTAATATCAGTGTTGCACCGTCCGTCGCTGCCATGTATCCCTCTGCTATCAATGAGACTTCGTTTCAGTACCCCGTCCCACCCCCTCCTCCCTCTTCTCCCACCCTGGACTTTGTCCTTGACAGTGGAGCCACTGAAACCGCACTGAAAGACGCTGGCACTCTCACCCCACTACCACTTCCCACTCAGGTTCATGGGGCTGATTCCAGCTTTTCCATTCCATGCACTCACCTCTCCACCCTCCCTTGCACTGCCTTCCCCTCCGGTAAGGTCACAGGTCTCCACATCCCCACTCTCCGCAACAACCTCCTCTCCCACCGTGAGCTCCAAGGTGTTGGTATCACTGCCATTTACCCCGGTTATGCCAATTACTGTGATCTCTACCAAACCTCCTCCGGTCGCTTCCTTCTCCGCATTCCGCTTTGCCCCCGCACTCGCCTCTACACACTCCGCACGCCTCGCCCATCCTTCTGCCACGTCACCACTCGTTCCGGTGCTTCCACCGGTCCACCTCCTCCTCCTTTACTTCCCCCTTCCCCTCCCCCTCAAGTATCCTCTTCTCCCTCCCCACCATCCTCCTCCTCCCCTCCCGTTCCTTCCATCACCCCATCTCCCTCCTCCTCCACTACCCTCTCCCACCCTGCTGTCCTCTTACACCACAGACTCGGCCATCCCAACTTCACCGCCCTTCGCACCACAGTCACCTCTCGCCTCCTCCGCAGCCTTCCTCCTGTTTTACCTCCCCTCCCCTCCTCCCCCTCTCCCCCATGCCCTTCATGCATTCACGGCAAGCTCAAACAGTCCCCCCACCACAGTCATCCCACCTTCGCCGCCGCCCCCATTGACCTTGTGCACATGGACCTCTGGGGCCCCTATCCCATCCGCTCCCGCCAGGGGCATCGGTACATGCTCGTCCTCGTTGACGACCACAGCCAGTACTCCACCACCTTCTTCCTTCACACGAAAGACCAGGTGCCGGCAGTGGTCATCAACTGGGCCGAACAGTGCCGCAATCACTTCAAACGCCCCATCGGCCGCCTTCACTCTGACGGTGGGGGTGAGTTCATCAATAACACCCTTGCCACATACTGCAACACCTACGGCATCCACCAGACCTCCACCCTTCCCCACTCCCCTCAGCAGAACGGCATTGCTGAGAGCCGCATTCGTGAGATCACCAAGATAGCTCGCTGTCTCATTGCTCATGCCTCCACCCCTCCTTCCCTCTGGAGCTATGCCCTCCTCCACGCCGCTCTTCTCCTTAATCTCCGCTCCCACCCTCAGCATCCTTCCTCCTCCCCTACAGAGCTTTGGTCCAACGCCAAACCCGACGCTGCCGGCCTTCGCGTTTGGGGCTGCAAGGCCTTCGTTCTCATCCCACCCGCCGATCGCTCCCGCGCCGCTGGCAAGCTTGCTCCTCGCGTTTACCTTGGGCACAATCGCGACTCCTCAGGCTACCTCTTCCTCCACCCTCCCACCAATCGCCTCATCCGCAGCGGCGACGTCGTCTTCGACGAATCCGTCCCCTATTACTCCACTCCTCCCCCTGATCCTTTCCCTCCTCCCACTCGTCCCCTTGCTTGGACCGACACCGTCCTCCCGCCCCTTCTCCCTCCAGCCCCTCTCCTCCCACCCGTCGCAGCTCCGCTCCCGCCCTCCTCCTCCGCCGATGTCTACGACCCTGCCGCACCCGCTTCCCCCGCTCACTCGGCCGCACCCCCTCCCCCCCCTCCCTCCTCCTCTCCCTCTCCCTCCTTCCAGCAGCCGGATCAGCAGCAGCAGCAGCAGCAGCAGCCGCAGCAGCAACAGCAGCAGCAGCAGCAGCCGGGACAGCAGCCGGGGCAGCAGCAGCAGCAGCAGCAGCCGGGCCAGCAGCAGCAGCAGCAGCCGGGCCAGCAGCAGCAGCAGCAGCGGCAGCCGGGACAGCAGCAGCAGCAGCAGCAGCAGCAGCGGCAGCAGCAGCAGCAGCAGCCTCAGCAGCCTCAGCAGCCGCAGCACCAGCACGGTCAGCCGCAGCCGCAGCAACAAGGGCAGCAGCTTCCGCAGCACCAGCAGCAGCAGCGGCGTCGTGCCACTTCCCGTTCCTCCCCCTTCCTCCTCCCTTACATCCATACCCGCTCTGTGGACAAAATCCTTGGGGCTCCTCCTCCTGCCTCCATTCAGCTCCTTGAGGACTCCCATGAGGAGTTTCTTAACATTCGGGAGCACACTCCATTCCTTGCCGCCCTCTACCTTGACTTCCTGGGCTTTCCTGTCCTTGGCGCCACTACTACCCCCACCATCTTCACTCCCTCCACCTTCCAGGAAGCCATCACCTGCCCTGATGCGGATAAATGGATAGCAGCGATCTTCCTGGAGTGTGAGGCTTTCATTCGCAACGACTCCTTTGTCGATGTCCCCCTCCCTGCTGGCGCTAATCTCGTTGACGGCAAATGGGTCTTTCGGGTGAAGCAGCTGCCGGGCGAGGAACCAGTGTACAAGGCCCGCTACTGCGCCAAGGGGTTCACGCAGACTTGGGCTGAGGACTACTGGTTCACCTACGCCCCCACCGCCAAACCACCCACCCTTCGCGCCGCCATGGACATTGGTGCACGTGACGACATGGAAATCGACTCCATGGACGTCTCCAATGCGTTCCTGCAGGGCGACCTGCATGAGCGCATTTTCCTCCGGCGACCCCCCGGGTTCCACGCAGCCTTTCCTGAGAACACTGTCTGGCAGCTGCGTCGCCCCGTCTACGGCTTGAAGCAGGCACCGCGTGAGTGGCATGCGAAGCTGGCTGCCACCTTGGGGTCCCTCGGCTTCTCTGCTTCCCACTCCGACGCCAGCCTCTTCATCCGCTCCTCCCCCCGCCGCTTCTTCATTCTGGTATATGTCGACGACATGATCCTGCTCTCTGACACCAAGGCCGACATGGGGCAGGTGAAGCTGTCCCTGCAGCAGCGGCTCAAGTGCAAAGACCTTGGCGCCCTCACTCACTACCTCGGCATGACCATCACGCGCAACCGCCCTGCTCGCACAATCACCCTCTCCCAGTCCCATTACATCGGCCAGGTCTTGGAGAAGTTCGACATGGCGCAAGCCAAGCCTGTTTCCACCCCGCTCCCCTTCGGTCACCAACTCGCTCCACCCACCTCCCCCACCTCCTCCCCCCACCCCTATGCCGAGCTCGTTGGGTCCTTGATGTACGCAATGATGTGCACCCGCCCCGACCTCGCCTACCCCATCAGCGTGCTCGCTCGCTTTGTCGGCACCGGTCGTCACTCTGAGGAGCACTGGAAAGCTGCCAAGCGGGTCCTCCGCTACCTTCGCGGGACCAGGGACCTTGCCCTCACCCTCGGCGGCCCTTCCCGTCCCCTTCTCTCGGGCTTCAGTGACTCCTCATGGGCTGACACGCAGCCGGACCGCCGCTCCTCCCAGGGCTACGGCTTCACCCTTGGCAGCGGCCTCATCAGCTGGCGCTCCACCCGCTCCTCCGCCATCTCTCTCTCCACCTGCGAAGCCGAGCTCTACGCTGGCACCATGGCCGCCCAGGAGTCGCGCTGGCTCTGCTTCCTTCTTGCGGAGCTTGGCGCCCCCCAGACGTGCCCCACTCTCTGGTGCGACAACGCCAGCACCATCCATCTCACTCAGGACCCCGTCTATCACGCCCGCTCCAAGCACATCGAACTCCGCTACTTCTTCGTTCGCGAGCTCGTCCAGAAGGGCCTCATTGCCGTTCGCAAGATTGCAACCGAGGCCAACTTGGCCGACATCTTCACTAAGGCCCTCCTTCGCCCCGCGCACTCTGCCTTCCTCCGCCTCATTGGCCTTGCTCGCCCGGGCGCCCCTTGATTCAGGGGTTGTTCTCTTCTTGTGTTAGCATGCTAAGGGGTTGTGTTAAAATATATATTGTGTAGCATGCCAACACATGTGACTGTACACCAATTGTGGTGTACAGTTGGGTTGGGACTACACCCAACTTTGGGTGTAGTCTTGCACTTTGGGGTGCCAATCCACCCAATTGTGGTGGAGCCCCCAAATGCAACCCTCTTGACTTGTGGGTACCTCACTTCCCACAATTGAGGTTACCCCAAGCCAAGTGGGCCTAGGGTTGCCTCACTTCTACAAAGTGTGGGCAACCCAACCCACTTGACCTATGGTTCCCTCACTTCCCCAAGTGAGGTCAACCCAACCTATGGTCACTTTCATCCTTCCCTTCCAACCTTCCCTTCCAACTATGTATGCTAGGTTGTTCCTCTAATCTAATTACTTGTTCAATTCACAATCTTCACACACCTCACCTCACCTCACCTCACCTCACCTCACCTCACCTCACCTCACCTCCTCTTCTTACATCACTTGGCCGAATATCACCCCCTCACCTCATCTCGCCCACGTCTCATCCCATCCCATCCCACCCCATACTTCTCTTCCATCTCGCCTAGCCCACTCCACGCCTCCATGCTCCTTTTATCTCATCCTTTCACCACCCGACCCGATCCCCCCTGCCACCATTCTCTCCCCTATCCGATCCTATCATAAACCCTCCTCCCCCCCCCCCCCCCCCCCCTCCTCCGCCCCCTATCATCTGCGTGCATGCAGTGACCTGAGTTCCAACCTCTTCTCCTCCTCTCTGCCTTCCCAGTGGTCCTCCCTCTCTGTCCTGCGCAAACTGTGAGTCTCCAAGCATTCTCAAAGTGACTCCAACTCTCAAAAATGTTCTCAAAAGTGCCTCGCTGCCTTCCCAGTGGTCCTCCCTCTCTGTGCTGCGCAAACTGTGAGTCCCCACTCCCCATCACCGCAGCTACCCTGCCGTCTCTTACCCCTCCCTCTGTCCTCTCTCCTTATACTCTACTTTTCTCCCTTTCTGGCCCTCATTCCCTTCCCCCTCGCCTCTTCCCTCCTCCTCTATGCCTTCCTCCCGCCCGCCCAACTGCACTTGCTCTGTTTCTGTCCCTCCCCCTCTCTCAAGTGGTCCTCTCTCTCTCCAGCACTCTGGGCACGCATGCAAGCATGCACATACGTGTGCTTGTGCTCCTGCGGGGTGTTTTTTTTTTTTTTTTTTTTTTAGATTCTCTACACCACCCTGCGCACAAGCACACGTACGTGCACACGTGTGGGCACACGGACACGCGTAGGCACGCAAACCTGGCATGCATGCACGCTCCCGCACATTTCCACGCACGGCTCATGCAACATCTCTTGCACGCCCCATACAGCTGCCGCATCCATCTCTTCTCGTCCCCACCCCATGACTCCCAGACCCCCCCCTCCTCCCACTCCCCCTCTTTCCAATCCCCCTTGTCCCCCATGTCCAACTGTCCGCCTCCCACAGCCACATCCATCACACGCTCCTCTCTGGCGCCCTCCCTGCTGCCATCGGCTCCATGACCAACCTCCGAGACTTGTGCGCCGCCCTCCCTCTCTTGCTCTCTGTCTCTTTCTCTCTTTCTCTCTCTTCTTGCATTCAAGGAGCTTCAGAAATTGGCCTCGTATTTCTCTCTGACCTTTTATGCGTCCCCACGTTCCCCTCCCACAACCACTCCATCTTCTCATCTCCTACCACCCCCACCGCTTCTGCCTCCTTCCAACTCCCTCCCTTGCCTCTGTGCCGTATCTCGCCTCGCCCTGCCATGCATTCCCAAGCTGCAGTAACTCTTCTGTGTGTTAACTCCTTGTCCCTATCCTCCCAACCCTGTCCCCGCCCCCCATCCATTCCCCCCGTCCATTTCCCCCGTCCATTTCCCCTGTCCCTGCCCTTGCTACCCTCCCTGTCCCCATCCCCGCCCGTCCCCTGTGCGACCTGCAGGCGCATGTGCTGCAATATGCTCACAGGCTTTCTGCCTACACAGATAGGCCTCCTCACCAAGCTAACGCACCTGTGAGCCGCTTCGTCACCTTGCATCGGATTCCCTGCCCTGCCCTGCTCTGCCCTACCCTGCTTTACCCTGCTCTGCCCTGCCCTGCCCTTACCTGTTGCATTGTCGCTTGCCCTGCTACTCCATCCTCTGCCCAATTTTCCGCCTTTGTCCTTCCCATGCTCACTCCCTCCCCTCCCTCCCCAATTTCCTCAATGCTCGCTGCCCTCCCGCCCTCCTGCACTCGCCGCGCTTCCTCCAACACCTCCGTCCCCCATGTGTTCACTGACCCATCTTAACTTAGCTTGAACCACTCATGCCCTCCCCCTTCCCCCACCAGCAATCTCACCTCCAGCCACCTCTCTTCCACATTGCCCTCAATCTGCCAACTTTTGAAGCGTCTCAAAACGCCTCCCCTCCCTCCCTCCCTCCCCACGCATGTTCCCTTCCCCCACCAGCGATCTCAGCTCCAACCGCTTTTTTGGCCCGCTGCCGGCCACTCTCTCTGCCATCCAGCAAGCCACAGCCATGTGAGCCACATACACGCAACCGCCACATCAGCGTGCCAGGTCGTGCTGAGTCAGACAGACGGCATGCCCCTGCCTGCCTGTGTGTGTCGTACTCGCTGTCGTTGCCGTGCCACACCCACACTGCTTGCCATAGTCAACGATCATCACCCTGCCTCCACCGCTCGTCCTTCCCTTTACTCCCCTCTTCATCCCTCTTCCTCCTGCCACCTCTTCTTCCTTCCCCACCTCCTCTCCCCCCTGCCTCTTCTCCCCCACCTCTTCCACCCCAACCTCTCCTTCCCTCCTCCTCCCGCAGTCTTCTCCGAGACAACCAGCTGAACGGCACAGTGCTCCCCAAGCCATCAGCAGCCGTGCAACAATACCAGCTCGACTCCAACTTCTTCTCCTCCTTCATCCCTTTTCTCCCCAACCTCTTCTCTCACACATCTTCTCCCCTCTACCTCTTCTCCCCCCATCCATCCCGCAGTCTCCTCCGAGACAACCAGCTGAACGGCACAGTGCTCCCCAAGCCATCAGCAGCCGTGCAACAATACCAGCTCGACTCCAACTTCTTCTCCTCCTTCATCCCTTTTCTCCCCAACCTCTTCTCTCACACATCTTCTCCCCTCTACCTCTTCTCCCCCCATCCATCCCGCAGTCTCCTCCGAGACAACCAGCTGAACGGCACAGTGCTCCCCAAGCCATCAGCAGCCGTGCAACAATACCAGCTCGACTCCAACTTCTTCTCCTCCTTCATCCCTTTTCTCCCCAACCTCTTCTCTCACACATCTTCTCCCCTCTACCTCTTCTCCCCCCATCCATCCCGCAGTCTCCTCCGAGACAACCAGCTGAACGGCACAGTGCTCCCCAAGCCATCAGCAGCCGTGCAACAATACCAGCTCGACTCCAACTTCTTCTCCTCCTGGTTCCCCTCCGCCCCCTCCTCCTGCGCCGGCACCACCCTCTGGGCCAACTGTCTCCCCGTGCCCACCGTCTTCTCTTCCGTCCCTCTGGGGTACCTCTGCCCAGTGGACTCCTTTCCACCGGGGGCGTACCGCCAGCGGAGCGCTGCTGCGTGTGCTGCGTTCTGCGGGCTGTGGTTGGGGCCGGAGTCGGCGGTTGTGGAGAGAGTGGTGTGTGGGGGCCACGGGAGCTGCTTCTTTGACGGGCCCAACCGGGTTCCCACGTGTGTGTGTGACGTGGGGTATCAGAATGGCGAGGACCCGGGCACGTGTGTGGACTCCGGAGGTGCGTGCAGGGGTGGAGGTGGTGGAGGGAGAGTGTTTGTGCGTCTGGGATGGGGTGGGGAATTGGGGTTGTCGTCGATTCAAAGGCAGCATGGAGAGCGCTGGGGGGTGTGTATGTGTGCGGTGGGGGTGATGTGGGTGGGTGATCGAGTGTTTCAGGTCCCTTGCTTGCCTTGCCATCATGCAAACCCTCGACTCCTTCTGACACATATTTCCCCTTTTCTCCCTCCCTCCCTCCCTCCATCCCTCCGCACCCCTACCAGTGGACCCCAACGCGGTGAGTCTCAACTCCAAGGAGCACCACAAATCAATGATGACATACGGCAAAGCATTCATGGAGAGCGATGACGGCACAATCACGCTCACGCCCTCGCTGCCGTCCGTGTGGGGCGCAGCCCTCCTCTCCACGCCCATCCGCCTCTTCTCCTTTGACGTCAAGGCTGCCGAGGCCGGCCGCCAGCTCGGATTCACCGCCGCATTCTCCTTCCGCCTTTTAGCGGAAGGCGGGAACGGGACCAGCGGCTTCGCCTTTGTGATCTCCGCGAATGGCGTGCCGACAAGTGGCGCCCCCGGGGCGAATGGGGTTACGGATCTGGGATACGCAGGGATGGACGCGAGGAGCGTGGCAGTGGAGTTTGACACGCGGATGGACGCAGCATCGAATGACCCTAGCAACAACCACATCGGGGTGGACATTGCCGGGTCTACCTCCTCGCTCGCCACCACCACGCTCCCACCCTCGCTCACTCTGAACGACGGGGAGGCGAAGCAGGCGTGGGTGACGTACTCGCCGCTCAAGGGCGGGGTGCTGGAGGTGTTTCTGACGACCGCTGCTGCCGCTGCCAAGTATGGCAAGCCGGCGGCGCCGGTGCTGAGTGTGAAGATTGCGCTGTGGAAGGTGCTGAAGCCGGGGGTGGCCCCGGCGGTCAGTGACTCGTACTTCTTTGGGTTTGTGGGCGCGTCGGAGCAGCCGCCGCAGGAGCAGACGATCCTGTCGTGGAGCGTTGTGACCGGTGCGTGGTGGTGGTGTGCGGTGGTGTTGGGCGGTGCGCGAAGTGGGTGGTGGGGGAGGAGAAGAATCGTTCGGTGGGCGAATCAGGAGCAGGGGTAGGGCTGTAATCGTGCGGCGAAACATAGAATTTAGCTGAGGCATAGTGTGGGTAGGGGGGAAAAGGAAGAAAGGCAAGTGGGCATGGAGGGGAGGGAGGGTAAGCGTGGAATGGGCTGCTCTGTCACACAGGCCTGTGTGGCCTTTGACACGCCTCAAAAGTGCCCTGTGTCACGTGTCTATGCCTGAGACAAAGCGGGGCGTCAGTGTGTTTCTTGCTTTAGGTTTTTGTGTCTGGCAACACACTCTGTATATTGACTCTCCTCTTTGTGTGTCTGTACTTGTGTCTGTGCGTGTATCTGTGCATGTGCATGTGTGATTGCATGATTGCAGGTTTCCCGAGTCACCAGATCACGACAGGTACGTGCTGTCCCGTGCATATGCATTTCCAGCATTCTCAACCTTGTGCGTGTGCGACACAGACAGTGCATGTGCATGTGCATGTGCATGTGCATGTGCATGTGCAGCAACCTTACCCCATTCTCGGCGTTTCTGCAGTGTGTGTGTGATCTCCCCTCTCACTCACACCTCCTCTCACTTCAAGTCTCTGACACTTCTCCACATCACACCTCATCACAACCATCACTAAACCACACCACACCAAACCGCACTGCACACCATCCATGCGATTCTCCTTCAATCTTCACCACTCCACACCCATGCCACCTCCCTTCCGCCTTCCCCATACCTGTCCACACCACCCTTCCTCTCGCCCTCCTTCCTTCCCTTCCCTTCTCCCAACACACATACCCTCCCAGCACCATTCTCGAGCCGCCTCAAAAGTCCTTCCCCCTCCCCCTCCCGCTTCCCAACACACACACATGCGCCCGTCGCCCGTCACCCGTCACCTGTCACCCGGCACCACCAGGCTTCCCGCTACGCCTCGTGCTGGAGAGCAAGCACCTGGCGACAGCGCCAATCAACCCCTTCTTCCGCTACGCCAGCGTGTTTTGGAGAACCCTCACTAACTCTCTGCTCCTCTCCTCCCCACCCCTTCCTTCCAACACACAAATGTCACCGGCCCGGCACCACCAGGCTTCCCGCTAGGCCTCGTGCTAGAGAGCAAGCACCTGGCGACAGCGCCAGTGAACCCTTTCTTCCGCTACGCCAGCGTGGGCTACCAGGCCACAGCGCCCTTGGGTGCTTCCACTCACTCCCCGCTGGGAGGGGCAGCGACGGTGCAGGAGGAGTCGTGGGTGGTGAGTGCCAGCCAGTCGTGGCTGCAGCCGTCTCTGCACTGGGAGCTCCGCGACCAGGGCACCTGCGGTCAGTGCCCTCTGCGCTCTGCGCTCTGCTCTCTGCTCTCTGCTCTCCGCTCTCTGCGCTCTGCTCTCTGCTCTCCGCTCTCTGCGCTCTGCGCTCTGCTCTCTGCGCTCTGCTCTCTGCTCTCTGCTCTCCGCTCTCTGCTCTCTGCCCTCTGCTCTCTGCTCTCCTCTCTCTGCTCGCTGCCCTCTGCTCTCTGCTCTCCGCTTCCTGATTGCCTAAATCTCTCTCTTGACCTATCCTTACTCCTCGACTCGACCCTTAGTATGGTCGTCCCTCGGCAAATCCTCCCCCCCCGCCCTCCCACCCCACTTTCCGTTGATCATTCCTCTCCCTGTTCTGTGCGTCGTCCTTTTACCCTGCTGCAACCTCTTCTTACTGATTGGAGTAAGCTGCCTCCCCTAACTGCTCACTCACGTTCTCATCAACTTTCACCTCTTCCCAACTCCTCCCTCCCTCTCACCTGCCCTCCCTCCCCTTCTCCTCCCTTCCCCCCCCCAACCCCCTTCCTCCTCCCCTTCCCCCCCCGTCTGATCCAGGCGACTGCTGGGCGTACGGGGTGGTGCAGAGCATCGAGGCAGCGTACGCCATCCTGCACAACCGCTCTGCACCGCTGCTCTCCGTGGAGCAGCTACGGAGCGATGTGGGCGCGGACTGCAGCGGGGGCTCGCCCTTTGTGGCCTTCCAGTACCTCACGTTCCTTGGCAAGGCTGGCAAGGGGCTGTTAGAGGAGAGCCAGTTTGTCGCTCCGAGTGGTCATGCCGGGGGGAAGGGAGCGGCGGGAGGGGGGGGTGGAGGCCGCCGGGTGCCGTTTCTTGAGAGGCTGAAGCGGGCGCTCATGCGGTGGCGGTCAAAGGGAAAGAAGAAGGGCAAGGTGTGTGAGGGTTTGGTGGATGCACGGATGCATGGATGCATGCATGGATGGATGGATGGATGGATGGATGGATGGATGGATGGATGGATGGATGGATGGATGGATGGATGGATGGATGGATGGATGGATGGATGGATGGATGGATGGATGGATGGATGGATGGATGGATGGATGGATGGATGGATGGATGGATGGATGGATGGATGGATGGATGGATGGATGGATGGATGGATGGATGGATGGATGGATGGTTGGACGGATGCATGGGGTGGGGTGTGGAACACCGCGTGTGCGATGGTTTGGTTCCGTTCAAGTTGGTTGGTGGGGGGATGAGAAGTGACAGAAGTCTCATTTCGAGGAATGTTTTTAGTTGGAGTTGGATGGAGGAGGGGAAGAAGGGAAGGGCGTAGGGGGGTTGGGTTGGGGAGGAGGTGTGGATCTTGTGGAAAGGCAGACATGCGAGTGGATGGGTGAGGAGGAGGAGGGTCGCTTTTGAGAATTCTCAAAAGTGGTTGTTGTGGAAAGGCAGACATGCGGGTGGATGGGTGAGGAGGAACGTGAGCAGTTAGCACCCCAGCATAATTCATTTGCTGGTCTCTTCTTGTGTTGTTCAGGGTGTTACGGAGCCTTCTTTCTTGCATTCATGTGTTTTTGTGAATGTGCCTGTGTGTCGATGTGTGCACCTGTGTGCACTTGTGTGTATGCATGCATGTGTGCATGTGTGCATGTGTGCATGTGCGAGCAGAGGAAGGCGACCAAAGGACTGAGAATCAGCGGCTTTGAGCGCACATCCTTCTACGGCTGGTTTGGGCTGCTGCTGGCCGTGCAGCGGCAGCCAGTGGTGGTGCATTTAGAGGCATCTGCTGACACATTTGTGAACTACGATGGGGTGAGTCGCCGCGTCTTACCCTCTTTCTGACTTTCCGTCATCCATCTCTCCTCCACACCCGCACATGCCTTGGTCCGCCTCCCCCCCCCCTGTCATTGAAACCAGCTTCCTCAACCAACCAAGATACTGTTCTCGTCGGTGGTTGCAACTCAGATCAATATCACACCCCTCCACACATCATGCCATCAGCTCAATCTCTCCTCACAGAAGCTATCGTGGTGGCATCTATCATCATGCCAACAAGGCTATGCCATTAGCTCAATCACTTAACCTTACAACAACCATACTCTTAACTACAGGAAATCCAACACCACATATCCTGCCTACACTGCACTCGACTCCCTAAGCCCTATCTTGCTGGTCATTCCCTCCCTCCCTCCCACCCATAAACCGTCCAGTTTGGCAAGTACCAGGACCCGGCGTGCTTCACGTACAACCTGAAGTGTATTTTGAGGCGCCTCAAAATACACCTCAATGCACGCGGATTCCCTCCCTCCCTCCCACCCATAAACCGTCCAGTTTGCCAAGTACCAGGACCCGGCGTGCTTCACGTACAACCTGAACCACGTGGTGCTGCTGGTGGGGTACCGCCTGGTGGGGTCAGATGAAGCCTTCCCCCACATGGCGCCACCCTTCTGGATCATCCGCAACTCATGGGGGCCTGACTGGGGCGATGGCGGCCACATGCGCATGGACATCCAGGGGGGGGATGGTGTGTGCGGCATCAACACTCTGCCGGGCCTGTACCCTGTCGTGAAAAGTACGTATCTCACCCGCCTGTGTGCTTCTCACCCGCTTGTGTGTTTCTCAACCGCCCGTGTGTTGTTGTGATTCACACCAGGTAGTAGACATTGCTTCATATCCCACTGTAACATCCTATCTCACAGCAAGGCTAGTGTGCGGGAACAGTACTCCTGAGTTGGATCCCCTGCCGTGCGCTGCTGTGCTCTGCTGTGCTCTGCCGTGCGCTGCTGTGCTCTGCTGTGCTCTGCTGTGCTCTGCTGTGCGCTGCTGTGCTCTGCTGTGCCCTGCTGTCTTCACTTGCAAACCCGCCGGAACCCTCCATCCTAGTTCGCCTACCAAACTATGGCACTGTTACCCAGTTTCTCCTTTCCCACTCACACACCTCGCAACTCCTCCTCACACATTCCGTATCTCATCACGGCACCACCACCCTCCATCCCACCAGGTTCCACCGACCCATGCAACGGTGCCGGCACAGCAGCAGCAGCAGTAGGATCTGGCAACGGAATCGGTGCGCTGCTGAATCCGTGCGGGGGCTTCCCGTGTGTGCGGGACGGCGCCCGCAACAAGTGCCAGTGCACGCTGCCGTTCGTCCAGGCCACCAATGCGGACGGCTCCAGGACGTGCGCGTACGGTGAGTGAGCGCACGTTTTTTGAGTCGACTCACAAAGTCACCTCGTTTGTGCAATGCAATCAATCAACAATCCTGACGGCTCTGGGACCTGCGCTGCGCGTATGGTGAGCACAGAGCAGAGCCTGGCAGGCCACTCATGCTGATGGTGGTGCTGTGTGGATGGTGTGCGGTGGATCGCATGCTGATGGCATGCTACTGAGCAGGACAAGCATCACAAGCGCCTTGTAATACCGTTTCTGCAAGGACGTTGAGTGCAGGCAGGCAGGCAACGTTTTGAGTCGACTCTTGAACCATCCAAATGTTTCTCCCTCCCTTGCTCGCACTCCTCTCCCTCACTGCAGTGGACGTGTGTGGATCCAGCAACGGCAACCCATGTGCGGTGGGCACGTGTGTAAATGACGGGGCAGGGTCGTACTCGTGTGTGTGTCCACCGGGCTTCAGGCAGGGCACCACCGTCGACGGCACCTTCTCCTGTGCTCCAGGTACCTTCGCCTCTGCTCGAACACCTTTCGTTGGGTACAAAGTACCTGCTATGTGTTTTGTTCATACACTGCCACGATGATTAACAAGTGTGGCTAGTTTCTGTTTTGACCGGCAACCACGCCCTTGTGAGATAGATACCACAGGCTATCACAAAGATATTGCATCCCTAGCTGGTTTTTCAGAATTCTCGAAAAGCAACCACGCCCTTGTGAGATAGATACCACAGGCTATCACAGAGATATTGCATCCCTCCATACCCTCCTCCTCTTCCTTGCATCCCTCCCTACCTACCTATCACTCCCTTTCTTTTTTGTCGTTGGAAGAAACGTCAATCACCCTCCTCACTCTCTCTCCTCTGCTCTGCCTGTCCCCCCACCATGACAGGCAGCACCAACGGCAGCTACACGGTGATGTCCGATGGCATAGCATGCACGGACGTGCACGGCATGTACGGGCTCACGCTAGCGCAGTTCCAGGCACAGAACAAGCAGGTCAACTGCGGCGAGCCCCTGCCACGCAACACGCGCCTCAACGTCACCTCCTCGCTGCCGCTCTGCTCCGTGTTCTACACTTCCGTGCAGGTAGGAAGCTCTCGTTGCTTTCTACACTGAGTCGACTCTAAGGTTTGCCACACTGTTGTGTAGGTAGGTCGGTGGCTCTCGTTGCGGGCAGGGAGACAGCAGCTGCAGTGCTTTACCATGCTCGTGGTCTGCTGCTGTATGTAGCATGGCAGGTGGGGGTCAGCAACTTCACCCTTACCTGCCGTTCCCAACCTTCACTTGCCCCATCTCCCATGAACCCCTCCTCCCTGCAGGGCGACACGTGCCTATCCGTGGCAACCTATTTCACTCTCGACGACTCCTGCATCCCTGTAGGCCAGCCGTGTGTAGCAGCCTTCCAGGCACTCAACCCCGGGGTTGACTGCACCAGCAACTCCGGAGCCCTGTCTCCCAGCCAAGTGGTGTGCGTGGAGCGGGATTCCTCACCTCCTGCCGGCGGCGGTGGGAATGGGGATGGGGGAGATGCGATGGTGCCGGTGTGCACGCAGACGTACATGGTGCAAGGAGGGGAGAGCTGTGAGGCTATACGTAACGTGCCGTCGCCCCCGCTCTCCCGCCTCAACTTCTACCGGCTTAACCCGGGGATTAATTGCGATAAGCTCGTGCCGCCCAATGGCGTGGGCGCAACGACTGGGTTCGAGGTGCGCTGGTTACTGTTGCTGGGTTGCGAGGGGTAGTTGGCCTCATGCTCGTGCTGGTGCCGTTGCTGCATGCTAATGTGCTGCTGCCATGCCTGCTAGTTGCTCATCTCTTTGTCCTCCTCACCACCACCCTTACCGACAACATACTCATTGCATGAGATCTGTTCCTGTCTTGCAAATGCAGGTGTGCATACAGTCGGCGTCTTCCTACAGAGCAGGGTCCTGCCCTCGCTCCAACTTTCATATTGTTGTCAACAACGATCGATGCGGCACGATTCAGTTTAAGTACTTCAAGGGAATAAAGAGCTGCTACAAGCGGATTAATGGATATGATTGCCTAGACAAGCTGAAGCAAGGAACTCGGATTTGCTTACCTGACCCGGCTAAGATGAAGAGAGGTAGATGTTCTATCTAGCTCCTATACTTATTATTATTCCTAATAAAAAGCCCAATTCTATTTTCCTGTTTAGCAATCCTGCAAACTCTGGTACTTGGCAGACTCGGCAGGGGAAGGGGAGGTATGGGAAGTGGGAAGGTATGGGGCGGACGAACCTGGCTACAGTGAGCAGTCACTCATTCACCCCGTCCAAAGAGGACAAAATCAAGCGGCTGGTGCAGATGAAGATGGCAGGGAGGGAGGGAGGGAGGGAGGGAGGGAGTGGAGGTCCGTCCGCTCTGCTCTCTGTTACTGATTCCCAAACTCCCCCAAGGCTCGACAGTGTCCTCTGGTCTGGGCCGGACCAGCTTGATTTGGAGGGCGTGGCGGTCGAACTGGGTTTGGCTTGGGCTGGAGGGACAGACATCCTCCACCTCCACCCCACCCCCAGCCGCTACAGTAGTTCCCCACATCTCTGCATTCCGGTCTGCTACTTTGTCGGTTTGTGTGTCAGAACGTCAGTGGCTTCGTTTGTCGGTTCGCGGAAGAAGGATCTGGTCTGGTTTGGTGGGTGGGGAGGGGAAGGGAGGGAAAGAGCCACACTGAAGCGTCTGGCGTTATACAGACGCACTGTGCAACACTTGCAGTGAGAGGAAGGGGCCACTAAAATACTGTACAGCGTGACCTGGGTTTTGCTCGCGAAGCAGAAGCTCGGTACAGTACGGCGCTGTTCTTTTGGCAAAAAATGGCCTTCGCGGATTCTTCCATCCGCACCAGTGGTGCGTCGGTTCAGGTTGGGCATTGTCCGAAGCTAGGCGCATCAAGAAAACCGAGAAAACCTGCAGAACGGCACTTTTGTGACACTGTACCAAAACCGCCCGTTTGTTCCACGCCATTTCCTCTACAGGCAAATGGTCCGCACCACTGGTTCTACCTCTCGAGGTGGAATCACCTCCGCACCACTGGTGCGGGGCAGAAACCATCAGCCCAATTTTTTGCTCGTGGTAGGCTTGAACGCCCAACACTTGACCGCGATCAAATTTCAAGAAAATCTTCTCAAGAAAATATTCTTGCTGCTCGATAGTCTTTCATATATCGATCAAGAAATTCATATCGTTGCCTTTACAAAGATGAGTAACCCTCGGTTCTCATTTCGCCAGACCGTGTTAAAAAGGGCAGACCCGAGTTTGGCTGAGCTGTTCACACGAGAAGTTTACCTCGGTTATAACTGAACCTTCATGAGCTGCCAAGTCAACCAAAAAGGCGCCTGAAGTTAATACGAAATTTACCAAATCACCAACGGTGCGGCGATGAGAACTCCAACAGAACAGCACCTACAGTTCACTAGCATTGCAGTGACACGAACGAACCGTCACACCAAGCACCACTCTTCTCCACCACTCCATTCCATTCCAACCTGTAAATGGGATACAGTACGGGGATTGGGTTGAAAAAGGGAGTGGGGAAGGGAGAAGGGGGGGGTTCAAATCAAAGTTCAAAACAAGCCATACCACTTCTCGAAGTCTTGCTAGTGTACTGTAGTATAGTGCAGTGCAGGCGGTGTAGGGATGGCCCAGAGAGAGTGGCACCTTCCCTCCATTCATGACTTGCCAACCACGGAGTCCCCCCTCCCCCTCTCCCGACCGACGTTCGTTCCAGCAGCAAAGTTCTTCGGCCGTCTCCCTTGCTGCAGCTGAGAGCCGCAGATCTAGTCCGTACCGCAGTTTGCGAGAATACTCCCATTCACTTCGTGTCATCCATGTCTCCGTCTTCGTTAAGACTTGCGGGGGACTACTAAACGCGGCACGCCTTGCCGAAACGGGGAACGTGGAATGGGAGTTTTCTCTGAAACAAAATCAAAAAGCAAAACGCCTTGGATGAGACCCGCGCCCACCCCGCTACGTGTTAGGGCAAAAACGCGCCACCGCCTTACCGCAGCCTACTAGCGCCATCCACCTTACCGCCGCCTTGCGCCATCTACCTCACCGCCGCCTTGCGCCCATTTCCTAACCGCCCTCGCGCCATCCGCCTTGCGCCGTCCGCCTTGCGCCTTCCACCGTACCGCCGCTGCCTTCCACCAACCGTAAGGTGACCGCCGCCTCGCGCCATCCGTCTTATCGACCCACCCCGTGCCGTTTCGGCCCGACGCGTTTCGAGCCGTGCCGTTGAACTCCGTTCGTCCCGTTCGATGCGCGCCATGGGAGTGGAGCCGCGCCCCCGCCTCGCGCTCAAAGTCATGCGGGCAGCGCTCGCTCTTGCGCTGCTGCACGCCATGGCGGAGCTTCCGCCACCGGGGGAGGCCACGTGGGACGGCGGAGGCGGAGGGGGAGGAGGCGGGGCCGGGTGTAACGGAGGAAAGGGGGGAGCTCGTGAAGGGAGGATAGCGACCGCTGCGGAACGGAGTTACTATCCGTGCGAGACTACAACTAGTACTATTAGGCGTCGGTCGACGTACTCCCTCTTCGCCTCCGCGCAAATCATAAGCGACGCAGACAGTAAGGCCATCGAGAAATCCCTAGTACTCATGGAGCTACTTATATACTAGTAGTGTTATTAGTGCCCATACGTCTTGTGCAAGGATTTATCTACCACCACTGATGCTCTAAATGCGATAGTAGTAGCGATAGCGCGGCTCGTGGAGGGTGTGAGCGTCTCGCGACGTGGCACGGCTCTCCTTCTTTCCGCGCAACTTGCGCAAGTTGAAGGCTTAGTATGCTTCCCCCGTACATCCCCACCCGCTTCTTCATTCCCCATTTGAATCCTCCCCACACCACTCCCCCTCCCCCCCTTCCGCCTCACCCTTTCGCCTTGCCTTAAACTGCCCCCAACATCGGCTTTCTTTTACCGCCCCGCGGTCCCTCCCCTCACCGTGTTCCGCTTCCCCCTCCCCTCCCTTCCTCGTCGGCAATTCCCTTCTCCCCGTCAATCCGCCCATGCCCTCTTTTCCCCCCGGCAAGCTGTCCATGCTCCCATTTTCCGCTCCGCCCCCATTGTCTCCCCTTCCGCCTTCCCCGTCCGCGGATATCTTGCTCAAATCGGCGCGCAGTGGCGGTGCTGGACGATCTCAAGGCGGCGTGGGGCGCGTTTCCGGGGAGTGCCACGTGGCAGAGCGGCAGAGAGTGCGCGCGGATGGCGGGCGTGACGTGCGACAAGAATGGCAACGTGCAGAAGCTGTACGTGACCTGGCATGACCTGGGATTAGCTGGCATGGCATGGGCTTGCATGGCACGGCACACGGCATCACATGGGCTGACATGACATGGCATGGCATGGCATGGCATGGCATGGCACGGCTTTGTATGGTCGTGATTTGGAAACCGTGTTACATTACATTGCATACGTGCATGCATTCACGCCATGTGCGTCCACGTCCTACGGATTTATGATCCACAGGGTTCAGTTCAGTTCTGCTTCCATTCGAGCATCGTGCATGTTCAATCCCAACCGACGTGCTGTTCTGTTACCCCTTTCTTACTGACAGCTCCTGCACCAATCTTTTTCTGCCTCCGCAGCCCACCTGTCCGCTACTAACAATCCCAACCGACGTGCTGTTCCCCCTTTCTTATCCCGACTCCCCCCTCTCCCCGCCCTCCCCTCCTTCCCCCTTCCCACTTTCCCATTCCCCCCTTTCTGTTCCCCCCTTCCCCGCACTCCCCACACACCTCCCTCCCTCCCCGTTCTCTCTCGCTCTCCGCATCACGGCTGCGCTGGCCGTGCGTGTGCGCTGTCGTCTGTGCTGCTGTGCTGTGCTGCTGTGCTCTGCTGCTCCTTCGCCTGCGTGCGCAGCGCTGCACTACCCTAACCCCCCCCTCCAATCTTCTCAACTCTCTCCCTGCGTGCGTGCGTGCGTGCGTGCGTGTGTGCATGTGTGTTGTGTCGCCGTGTCACGAGCAGCATGTTGAGTCGCAAGCAGCTGACCGGTTCGCTGCCCACGTCCTTCGCCAGTCTCTCCTTCCTCGAGCAACTGTGAGTGCGCACGTATCGCAATATACACATGTGAGAGCCCTCCCTTGACACTCCAAAGTCTATTTGAGAGGCTGCGAGTCTACAGTCTAGAGTCTAGAGTCGATTCCCTTTCATCCTCCAGCAACTGTGAGCGCTTGCTTGTGAGAAATTCTCCGTTGAGGAGAACCGCTTGTGGGAGTTCTCGAAACGGCTCCGTTGTATCTGTGAGAAGAAAATATCCAAAGCTCCTTTTGCGAAAGTGGCTCGTTTGAGAGCTCTCACTAGTGGCGCGCCAGCCCGGCCTGAAAGATTTATGAGCTCTCACTAGTGGCGCGCCCTTATCACCCGTAGTGGGATGAGACGATTTATGAGACGCCTTAAGATTTCAGAGGCGAGACTCGAGATGCTAGAGGTGAGAGGCAAGAGGAGCTCCGTACCCTTTGCCTTGCTGCTCCGTATGGAATCACACGCATCATCCATGCCTACTTGCGCCATGCACCATGGCTCCCCTCCTTCCATGTACTCATCCTGCATTGCACTCCCATGGATTGCTGTGCGCGTGTGTGCGTGTGTGCGTGTGTGTGTGTGTGTGTGTGTGTGTGTGTGTGTGTGTGTGTGTGTGTGTGCGTGCGTGCGTGCGTGCGTGTGTGTGTGGGTGTGCGTGCGTGTGTGGGTGTGCGTGCGTGTGTGGCCATGGCGAGCAGGGATCTGAGCAACAACAGGCTGTACGGCCCAATCCCTCTCTACCTCACCACACCCCTCAACCTGCAGCTGCTGTGAGACCCCTACTCACTCCTCTTCGCATTCTCTTCCTTCTCCTCTTCCCACTCCTCTTCTCACTACCCTTCCCACACCCCTTCCCACTCCCCTTCCCACTCCCCTTCCCTCTCCCCTTCCCACTCCTCTTCCCGCTTCTCTTTCCGCTGCTGATTTCACTCCCTTCCCACTCTTGTTCACATCTTCCCACTTCTAGTATTTTCAGAAGCGAGCCCTACCTTTAGGAATCACAGCAAGAAGAGCATGGCGAAGGAAGGAGAGGTTGGAAGGGGTGGCGAGAGGTTAGGAGGGTGTGTATAGGGAAGCTTTTGAGTTGCTTATTAATTCATTGTAGCGGTGGGAAGGAGGGTTTGTATGGGGGTGGAAAGAGGAGAGAGAGGTGGGAGTGGAAGAGAAGAGAAGACGGCGGAAAGGGAAGAAGAGGGAATGAAAGGTCACTTATGGTGTTTGCGTAGAGCTCGAAGCAGGGGTGATATGAGAAGCTAGATACCAGGAGATCATTCTATCCCTGCTCTGCGTCTGCCTTGCTCCGGTGTCCCTTCCCCACTTGTCCCCTCCTTCACGTTCCTCCCCCTCTCCGTCTCCTCCTTCCCTGCTTCCCTCGTCCCTTCCCTGTCTCCCCGCGCGCCCCGCCCTGTCCCACCCATCCCATCCCACCAGCAACCTGCGCAACAACCAGCTCTCCGACTTCTCCTCCTTCTCTCCTGCCCCTGTCCCCTCCCTGTCTCCGCACCCTCCCCGCCCTCCCCACCCCGTCCCACCCCATCCCACCAGTAACCTGCGCAACAACCAGCTTTCCGGCTTCCTCCCCACCGACTGGCCACCGTCCCTCGCCACGCTCCTGCTAGACAACAACTACCTCTCCGGCGAACCCGCACTCTCCTACTGCCCCGCCACCCTCTCCCTCCGCTCCAACTGCCTCTCCTTCCCTCCCCCCACTTCCTCCCCCTCCTCCTCCTTCCGTTGCGCGCGCCACCCCCAGCGTCCCGTCGCCGCCTGCTCCGCGTTCTGCGGCCTCGTCTCCCCGGATCAAACGCCCTGTTCGGGCGTGGGCACGTGCCGGCTAAACAAGGCGGGGAAGCCCGTGTGTGAGTGCGAGGAGGGCTACGTGAACCGCGCTTCGCCGGGGTCGTGTGTGCCCGAGGCACAGACTGAGTCCTTCTCGCTCTCCCTCACCGACTCGCCCCCTGTGCGCCTCAAAGGCTCTGCTTCCTTCTCAGGAAAGCAGGACTCTGGCGTTGCTGCTGTTGCAGGGGTTGCGGGGGTTGCAGGGTTTGCTGGTGTTGCAGCGGTTGCGGGTGTTTCTGGAGCTCCTGGGGGGGGTGTGTCTGGAGAAGCATCATCAGCATCTGATCCAGGCGTGGTCCCGATATTCGACGTGCCACTGCCTGACAGCCCCTCACAGCAGCTGCTGGTGAGCCCTGCTGTGCGCGGTGCATGGGGCGCCGTCACGCTGCTGCCGCTCGTCACGCTCTTCACCTTCTCCACCCCGCAGGACCCCTGCGGTCGCCAGCTCGCCTTCAACTTCTCCTTCTCCTTCTCCATGTCTCCTGGGTTCACTAAGTCCGACTCCACCGCCTTCTCCTCCTCCTCTTCCTCTTCCACCGCCTACTCCTCCTCTGCCTCTTCCTCTTCAGTCTCCTTCCCCTTCCTCTCCCCCACTACAGCTGCAAGCACGGCAGGCAGGCAGGCAGCCGCAGCGGCAGCAGGAGGAGCAGCAGGAGGGGGATCGGGGGACGGGCTAGCCTTTGTGATAAGCGCAACGGAGCCGACAGGGGGGCCAGGCATGGGGTACAAGGGCATGGGGAAGAGGAGCGTGGCAGTAGAGCTAGACACACGAAAGGACGCCAAGAACGGTGACCCGGATAGCAACCACGTGGGGGTCAACGTGGGGGGTAACAGCCGGTCGATAACCACAGCTACTGTGGATGGCCTTTCTCTGAACAACGGTGAGCTGCGATACGTTTGGATTATGTACGAACCTGATGCGCCTCCTGCTGGCGCTGGTAGCAGCAGCAGCAGCAGCAGCAGCGGCGGCGGCAGCAGTGGCAGCGGCAGCAGTGGAGGAGGACAGGGGGGTTGGCTGCGGGTGTTTGTGGCAGCAGCAAAGGTGCGGCCAGCGCGAGCGTTACTGGAGGTGCCTCTCTCGCTCTGCTCCGTGCTCAAGCCGTCCCCCGCACAGCCCTCGGTGTTCCTCTCCTTCTCTGCCTCCTCCTCTTCCTCCCCCGCACAGGCACACCGTGTGCCTTGGTGGGAGCTGCAGACAGGTGTGTGTGTGCGTGCGTGTGGATGGGTGTGCGTGTGTGTGTGAGTAGGTGTGGGTGTGTGTGTGGGTGTGTGCGTGTGTGTGCATGCATGTGTGCGTGCGTGTGCGAGCGCGAGTGCGTGTGTTGTGTCAAAGAGTGTGTGTGAGATTGTGGGTGGGTGGGTGAGTGCGCATGCATGCGTGCATGAGTCGCGGTATGCGCTTTCGTGCACAGCTCTATCTGTTAACGTCCCTCCCTCTATCTCCCTCTCCCTCTCCCTCTCCCTCTCCCTCTCCCTCTCCCTCTCCCTCTCCCTCTCCCTCTCCCTCTCCCTCCCCCTCCCCCTCTCCCTCTCCCTCTCCCTCTCTCTCTCCCTCTCCCTCTCCCTCTCCCTCTCCCTCTCCCTCTCCCTCTCCCTCTCCCTCTCCCTCTCCCTCTCCCTCTCCCTCTCCCTCTCCCTCTACCTCTCCACCATCAACCCAACGACCCATGCACACGCGCGCTCCTCTCCCATCGCTCCACCACCCCCCATCGCCGCCTTCTCAAACCTCCTCTCTCAACGCACCTCTCCACCACCCCACCAGGCTCATCGGACCCCTGCTTCGGTGTGTCTCGCCTGTCCCCTACCAGCGTCTACTGTCGCTCCGACGTCTCCTCCTGCCCCGTCAAAACCACAGGCTCTGGCACTTGGGGGGGTGCTGGTTCCGCTGCTGGTGGTGGTGCTGGCGATGGTGGGTTCATTGCAAATCAGTTCGCACCAGGAGAAGAACAGGGAGGAGGGGGCGGAGGAGGAGGAGGGGGGCAAGAGCAGCAGGGCGGGCTGACTGGAGGGTGTGAAATTGGTGAGTTTGGAGGGAGCGTCAAGCATCAACCGTGGAGCATGAAGAGCTTTTGGCAGGGGGCATTTGGCAGGGGGCATTTGGCAGGGGGCATTTGGCAGGGGGCAGTGAGCAGTGCGCTGCATTGCACTGCCGTCTTGCGTATTCTCGCCGTCCCGCCCTCTTCCCTCCCGCTCTTCCCTCCCGCCCCAAGCTTGCGATGCCCTGTCTCGTGTATTCAACGTCTTGAGGCCTCGCTCGCCCATGTCTATGTTGGCACTTATCTGTGTGGCTCACAAGCGCCAACGTGGCTCTCCCACCTGCGTCTGCTGACAACTGGGTGCATGTGTGCGTGTGTGCGTATGTGTGTGTGCGTGTGTGCGTGTGTGCGTATGTGCATGTGCGAATGTGCATGTGTGCATGTGTGTGTGCATGTTTGCATGTGTGCATGTGTGTGTGCATGTGTGCATGTGTGCATGTGTGCATGTGTGCATGTGTGTGTGCATGTGTGCATGTGTGTGTGTGCATGTGTGCATGTGTGCATGTGTGCATGTGTGCGTGTGTGCATGTGTGCGTGTGTGCGTGTGTGCGTGTGTGCGTGTGTGCGTATGTGCGTATGTGCATGTGCGAATGTGCATGTGTGCGTATGTGCGTATGTGCATGTGCGAATGTGCATGTGTGCATGTGTGTGTGCATGTGTGCATGTGTGTGTGCATGTGTGCATGTGTGCATGTGTGTGTGCATGTGTGCATGTGTGCATGTGTGCATGTGTGTGTGCATGTGTGCATGTGTGCATGTGTGCATGCGTGTGTGCATGCGTGTGTGCGTGTGTGCATGTGTGCATGCGTGTGTGCATGCGTGTGTGCATGTGTGCATGTGTGCATGTGTGCATGTGTGCATGTGTGTGTGCATGTGTGTTTGCATGAGTGTGTGCATGCGTGTGTGCATGCGAGCAGATGCATGTGGCGTGGGTGACAAGAATCCCTGTGGCGTGGGCACGTGTGTGAATGACGGCTACGGGGCATACACCTGCGTGTGCCCACCCAACTTCTACCTCGGCACCTCAGAGTTCGGAGCTCCCTCCTGCGCCCCCGGTCAGTACCCTACCCCGCACTCCCTCCCTCCTCCTTTTTCCACTCCTCTCCTGCTTATCGCGTCCCGCTTCCTGCTTCCTACTCCCCTCCTGACTCTATGGTGCTTCAGTCCCTATCGTTATTTGTCGAAGGGACCTCACATTATGCCGCCTAAAAACAAATCGTGACCAGCAGCATTTCCGTCCCGTCCCGCCCCGTCCCGCCCCGTCCCGTCCCGCTCCGCCCCGTCCCGCCCCGCCCCGTCCCGTCCCGTCCCGCCCCGCCCTGTCCCGTCCCGCAACGTCCCGTCCCGCCCCGTCCAGCTTGGGTTCCAGTCTTGTGAGCCACCGATGAGACGCTGCAACAGTGGCGCAATATCCAACACCCTATACCCCCCCCCCCCACACCCCACCCCCACACCCCACCCCCACTCCCCGCTCCCCGCCCCCCACTTCCCCACACCTCCACACCCCACACCCCCACTCCCCACACCCCACAACCCCACACCCAACACTCCTCCAGGCGAGGGTGATAGCTTCTTGACAGTGGCGGTGAGCACCATGTGGTGCTACCACTTTCGAGAGGTCTCAAAAGTAATCCACATCCCCCATCCCGCACCCCCCATCCTGCACCCCCCATCCCGCACCCCCCATCCCGCACCTCCCATCCCGCACCCCCCATCCCGCACCCCCCATCCCGCACCCCCCATCCCGCACCTCCCATCCCGCACCTCCCATCCCGCACCTCCCATCCCGCACCTCCCATCTCACACTCCTCCAGGCGAGAGTGACAACTTCTTGACAGTGACAGTCAGCACCATGTGGTGCTACCACGTGCACCCGCTCTTTGGCCTCACCCTCGACGAGTTCCTCGAACAGAACGACGTGCGTGTGGGCATGGGAGCTGCAGCGGTGGGGTGGGGTGGGGTGGGGTGGGGTGGGATGGCAGCGCTGGTCCACTGCATGCACAAAGCGAATGAAGTGAGTGGGAGAGTGCGAGAGAGGGTGGGGGGTAGTTGGGGAGGGGGGGGAAGAATTGCAGGGGCTGGGGTCGACCACCTCTTGCTCCACAGCGATGCATCTGCCCGTTCCAACCCCACCCCTTCCCCCCCCCACCCCTACCCCCCCCACCCCTTCCCCCCCCACCCCTTCAACCCTCACCCCTTTCCCCCCCACCCCTTCCCCCACCCCTTCCCCCACCCCTTCCCCCACCCCTTCCCCCACCCCTTCCCCCATCCCTACCCCTACCCGTCCCGTTCACGCTTTTCCCACGCTGCTCCCTTACACCAAGTGCTGGCACCGGTGTGTGCCAATCCCCTGCCATTCAATCTGAAACCTGCGGCCAGAGAGAGAAGTCTTTGAGGCGTCTCTCCCCCACCACCCTTCCCTCCCACTCCCCCACGGCCGACAGAGTGCAGGCGGTGCTGTGTGACAACCCCCTTTTCTTTCTAGGCGCCCGAAACATAGCCCCGCTCACCGCGCCTCTCCCCCACTGCCCGTCCGTCCCTCCCCACCCCACTCCCCCACGGCCCACGGGGTGCAGGCGGTGGTGTGTGACCAGCCGCTGCCTGTGGGCGCAGTGATCAACGTGAAGCGCCTTGTTTTGAGCGCCTCAGTAATAGCTGCGCTCACCATGACTCTCCCTCACTGTCCCCCTTTCAACGGAGTGCAGGCGGTGGTGTGTGACCAGCCGCTGCCTGAGGGCGCGGTGATCAACGTGAAGCCCAGCCCCGACTACTCGCCCTGCTCCGCCTTCTACACCACCGTCCAGGTAAGCACCTGCAGCAGCGCTCCTTGCTTCTTGCTTGTTCAGGGATGGATTGACGGCTGTCAGATCAGATCAGATCGTCTCGACCTCTGCCCACGTTGCCCAGGTCATGTCCTGTCCACCACACGCGCTTGTCTGCCTGCCCGCCTATCCTCCCATGCTGCTTCTTCTCCCTCCTCCCTACCTCCTCCCTCCTACCCCCTTCCTCCGTCCCCCACCCCGCGCCCCTTTCCCAACCCATGGATCATTTGTCTTTCTTCACCTGCTCCCAACCCATGGATCATTTGTCTTTCTTCACCTGCTCCCAACCCATGGATCATTTGTCTTTCTTCACCTGCTTCCATCCCATGGATCAAATTTCCCTCCTTTCGCTCACATGCTTTCTCTGTCTTGCGCATGCACTTGTGATAGGCGGTTTCTCCTGTTTTGTTTTTGTTTTTCTTCTTCTTGTTCTTCTCACCGCCGCTCCATCCTGCACTTGTTCGCCGCCGTCTCTCCCCCATCCTCTCTCCAGCCACCCACCCTTTCTCCCCACCTCGTCCCCGTTCCTTCTCGCCTCCCTCTCCCCTCCCCATCCATCTCCCCCCTGCACACTCGATTCCCAGCAGCCCTCAAAACTCCCATTACTCCCAACTCCGCCTTCACTCCCCAAACCCACCCTTTTCTTCCCCGCCCTCCCCACTCCCTCCCTCCCCCACCTCCCCCACCTCCCCGGCCACCCCACCAGAACGACACGTGTGAATCCATAGCCGCCACGTTTTCTCTCACCGGCTCCTGCCCGGACCCCTCCCAGCCCTGCGCCATGGACCTGCTCCGCTTCAACCCTGGCTTCGACTGTACCATCACCGCAGCAACAACTGCAACAAAAACACCAACAACACCGTTAGGCGGTGGCAGCAGCAGCAGCAGCAGCGACCTTGACAGATCTCTACCCACTGGGCTGTCCATGTGTGTGGAGCGAGCCACGTCACTGCTGCCCGTGTGCGGGGAGACGGTGACGGTGGAGAGCGCGGGGAAGGCGACGTGTGAGGCGGTGCTGGCGGGGATGAAGCCGCCACTGAGTGCACTGGAGCTCTACCGCATGAACCCCGGCATCTACTGCCACCGCCTGCTGCCGCCCTCCCGGGACACGGGCTTCCCGGGGTCAGAGGTACATGGGGTGGGGTGGGGGGTGTGTGTGGTGTGGTGGAGTGGAGGGGTGGGTGGGTTGGTGTAGTGGGAAGTGGGGTGGGGTGTAAATGACAGTGTGGTCGAGGGTCCGGCATTTGGCATGTGTTTTCGAGCATGTATCACACATCACTTAGGCTTGTCTAGTTACCTGTCCCTTCCAACTCCCTTGTCCCCTGGTTGGACTCCTGTTGCTATTGCAGGTCTGTGTGGACATCAGTATGAGCATGACAATGGGCTCATGTCCACGCTCTGAGGTGTACCTAGCAACAGATAATGACAGGTGTAGTGCCATTCAGTTCCGGTTCTTTAAGGGCATAAAGAGCTGTTACAAGAGAATAAATGGCTATGATTGCCTAGATAGACTAAATAGGGGGACAAGGATATGTTTACCAGACCCTGCCAAGATCAGGCAAGGGAAATGCTCTAGTTAGGATTGGTAAACAAATTATGTGGTTGTAATGATTGTAAAGTCTTTGTATTCATTTGTATGCTTGTAGGAGAAGATACTGTTTGTTTACATGTTTCATTCCCATGATTTGCTGGGTAACCAACACACCTACAAAAAGATTGGGGCTGGAATGAACCTGCACACTGCAGGCTCGGCAGAAATACTGTTGTAAACGAGCCTGGTTTGTTGCTCAGTGCTCAGTGCTCACTCCCTTCGAAGGAGACAAATGCCAGGTTCAGACGCATGAGCGAAGCTGGCAGTAGACAGGTCTCTCGTCCGCACTCCTCCCGAGCCGAAACCTTCCAGCTTGGTTGGTTGTGTGGGCTTGTTTAAAACCGAATAAGGCCAATCCCCGTGCGTGGTGTCCTGGTTTGGCTTCCTCCCTTTGGTGGCTTGATTTGTCGGTTGCACGTTCAAGCATCTGGTCGGGACTCGGGACTCGGGTCGGGTCGGGCGGGAGGGAAGATGCTGTTGCGTGAAAGCAAGATTTGAAACTTCTGGTACGGTACTCAAAACGCCCAAATTTTAATGAGGGTACAAGAAGAATGATCGTCACACTGGGTAGCGGGACACCGCGTCCAAACATCACTCGCCGAACTCTCCAAACCGACTTTCCAGCAGCAGAATGCCCTCCCTTAAATACAGTATTGACTTCCCACGCAAAACCAAAATGTTGCGGCGATACCGAAAACACAGTTTGTCTCGCATCGCATGCCTTTCTCGTCCCCGCCTTCTCTGCTCACGAGTTACGAGTCTTGCAGGAATTCTAGTAATAATCGCGGCACCGCCTGCACAAACCGCGGACGTCGGATGGCAAGCCCCCGCTCCTTCAGGGCAAGAATGGACTGCCAGAGGAGCAGCGCAACATAGTCACTAGTAGCGAAAGTACCATGACACGGTAATATTCAGCCTTCCGCCATCCGCCTCCCATCCCATCCCCTCCCGTCCCGCCGTCCCGTCCCGTTGCGCGGCATCATCATGGGAGTGGGCCCGCGTCGCCACGCGCTCATCGTCGCGCGGATAATTCTCGCCCTCGCGCTGTTGCACGCCATTCCGGACCTTACTACACCATTTGGGGGATCTTTTGCGGGAGGAGGAGGCGTATTAGGCGGAGAAGGCGGGGGAAGCGGAGGAGCCGGAGAAGACGGAGGACATGGATTAGGCGGAGGAGGCGGAGGAAACGGAGTTGGTGAAGGAGGGATTGCGGCGGAGCGGAGCTATTCGCGCCTTAGTAGTACTAGCCGTCGTCGGTCGGCGTATTCCCTGTTCGCCGCCGCGCAGATCATCATAAACGAGACAGATAGTAAGCCGTCGGAAACTTCAACATTGAAAACTCCTGTGTCACTCGCTAGCCTAGGGTACTCTCTCCTATATCCTGTCAAGAACTAGAATCCAACAGTTCATGGCATCGAGTTCGTAGCGCGCGCCATGCCAAGATGATGCCATGCTAAATAGGGATGCAAGGATTCTCTCGTTCCCCATAGATCCGCACCTAAATTCCCCTCCCTATCGTAGGGAAGAACAAATTTGCAGATGACTCAGCCCCGTCTCCCTCCGCATTGACCCCAACCTCCCCAGTTCCCCGGTTCCATCCCCCCCGCTCCTCTCTTCCCCCTCTCCCCCGGCCTCTCCCCCCTCCTCCCGTCGGCCTTTCCCCTTTTCTCCCGAAAATCCGCCCATGCCGCCCCCCTTTCACCTCTTTGTCTCACCGCTCGCCCTCCGCTTTCCCCCGTCCCCCGGGGATCCCTGTTGAATCGGCGCGCAGTGGCGGTGTTGGAGGATCTCAAGGCGGTTTGGGGCACATTTTCGGGGAGTGCCACGTGGCAGAGCGGCAGAGAGTGCGCGCGGATGGCGGGAGTGACGTGCGACGAGAAGGGCAACGTGCAGAAGCTGTACGTGACCTAGTAGTAGGCCAGGGCATAGCATTCCATAGTAGTTTGTGGGGTCTTCATGCCTTGTGCGTCCTCTCCTCCCTCCTCCCTACCCATTCCTCCCTCCTCTCTCTTCTCTCTCCACTCCTCACTCCTCCCTCCTCTCTCCTCTTTCCTCTCTACTCTCTCCTCTCTCCTCTCCTCCACTCCTCCTCTCTCCTCGCTCCTCCTTCCTCTCTCGTCTTTCCTCCCTCCTCTCTCCTCTCCTCCTCTCCTCTCTCTCGTCTCGATGACAGTGTTCACTGCCACTCGCTGGTAGCATCGTGCATGCATGTTCACCTATAGGCTATAGCAACCATCTCCGATGTTTTTTTCAGTCGAATGTACAGTACTCCATGCATGTTCACCGTCCTTTCTTACTCCACCACTCACCCCCCCTCCCCACCCCACCTTCCCCCCCTGTCCCTGCCCCTGTCGCGCTGGCCGTGCAGCATGTTGAGTCGGAGGCAGATCACCGGCTCGCTCCCTGCGTCTCTCGCCAAACTCTCGGCCCTCCAGCACCTGTGAGCGCGCCCTGCCGTGCTTTGCGCCGGGAGTCGTACGAGTGAGAATCAATCGAACCGGCCGACCACAGCACTCTTGTTGCATTTCCGCTCTCACCGAGCCCTGTGTGTGTGTGTGTGTGTGTGTGTGTGTGTGTGTGTGTGTGTGTGTGTGTGTGTGTGTGTGTGTATGTGTGTGTGCGTGCGTGCGCGCGTGCGCGTGCGCGTGTGCGTGTGCGTGGGTGCGTGCGGGAGAGACACTGCTAGTTGCGCTTGTGGTCTTCGTGCTGTTGTGCTTGTGCTCTGCATGGACTTTGCGAGGTGCCGAGGTGAGAGGCGAGAATTGAGAAGTCAGAGGCGAGAGGCGAGAGCGAGAGGCGAGAGGCTCTCCATGCCCCTTGCCTCGGCTTCTTGATCCATGCCTGCGTGCGCCATACGCCATGGCCACCTTCCTTGTCCAGTCCTCCTCATGTGTTTCCTCACGTTCCCTCCCATTCTTGCATGCGTGTGCACCACGTGCAGGGACCTGAGCAGCAACAGGCCCAACCTGCAGCTGCTGTCAGTCCTCTTCCCTCTCCTCTTCTCACTCCTCTTCTCACTCCTCTTCTCACTCCTCTTCTCACTCCTCTTCTCACTCCTCTTCTCACTCCTCTTCTCACTCCTCTTCTCACTCCTCTTCTCACTCCTCTTCTCACTCCTCTTCTCACTCCTCTTCTCACTCCTCTTCTCACTCCTCTTCTCACTCCTCTTCTCACTCCTCTTCTCACTCCTCTTCTCACTCCTCTTCTCACTCCTCTTCTCACTCCTCTTCTCACTCCTCTTCTCACTCCTCTTCTCACTCCTCCTCCCACCCTTCTTCCTTTCAAAATGAGCCACCTTTCAGTGCTGTAGGTGTAGAGTTGGGAAGGGATGGGTTCTAGAAGCTTGGTAGAAGAAACAACTCGAACCACTTGTGCGTCCCACTTGTTCCTTCTGGTTCGTTCTAACTCGTAGCTCTCTCATTCTCCTCTCCAATTCACATGCAGCCTTTCCGTCCTCTCCTCCCCTTCCTTCCTTTCGTTCCTTTCCTCCCTTTTCTCCTTCCGTCCGCCCGTCCTTCCTTTCTTCCCTCCATCCCTCCATCCCTCTTTCCCTCCGTCCCTCCTTCCCTCCGTCCCGCCGTCCCTCCGTGTCTCCTCGCCCTGCGTCCAGCAATCTCCGCAACAACCAGATCTCCGACCTCCTCCCCACCGACTGGCCCCCGTCCCTCGCCACGCTACTCCTAGACAACAACTACCTCTACGGTCTAGCCCGTCTCTCCTACTGCCCCGCCACCCTCTCCCTCCGCTCCAACTGCCTCTCCTTCCCCTCAGACCCCTCCCCCTTCTCCCCTTCCTCCTCCTTCCGCTGCGCGCGCCACACCCAGCGGCCCCTCTCCTCCTGCTTCGCCTTCTGCGGCCTCTCATCGGAGCACCCGGATCAGAAGCCCTGCTCAGGCGTGGGAACGTGCACCCTAGGCAAGGCGGGGAAGCCCGTGTGTGAGTGCGAGGAGGGGTACGTGAACCGCGCTTCGCCGGGGTTGTGTGTGCCCGAGGCACAGACTGAGTCCTTCTCGCTCTCCCCCACCGACTCGCCCCCTGTGCGCCTCAAAGGCTCTGCTTCCTTGGTGGGAGGGGACGTGGTGTCTGGTGGGGTCGTGCCGCCGTCGCTGTCGCCCAACCCGCTTCCAGGGGCAAGCACAGCCAATGCAGCCAGCACCGTCAGCACTGCCAGCGCCGTCAGCACTGCCAGTGCCGTCAGCACTGCCGGCACCGTCAGCACTGCCGGCACCGTCAGCACCGCCGATCTCGTAGATACGTCTGACCCAGGTGGTGCTGACCCGAGTGCGTCCTTTGACGTGCCGCCGCCACCGCCTTCCAGCTCCACAGATAGGTTGCTGGTGAGCCCTGCTGTGCGCGGTGCGTGGGGCGCCGTCACGCTGCTGCCGCTCGTCACGCTCTTCACCTTCTCCACCCGAAAGGAGCCCTGCGGCCGCCAGCTCGCCTTCAACTTCTCCTTCTCCTTCTCCATGTCGTCCCAGTCTGATAAACTCGACGCCAAATCCTCCTCTTCCGCCTCCTCCTCCTCCTCCGCTTTCTCCTCTTCTCCCTCCTATTTTTCTTCCGTCTCTTCCCTCTTTGCCTCCTCCGTTCCAACCGCAGCAGCAGCAGGAAGGGGATCGGGGGACGGGCTAGCCTTTGTGATAAGCGCAACGGAGCCGACAGGGGGGCCAGGCATGGGGTACAAGGGCATGGGGCGGAGGAGCGTGGCGGTAGAATTTGACACACGAAAGGGCGCCTGGAATGGTGACCCAGATGGTAACCACGTGGGGGTGAACGTGGGGGGAAACAGCCGGTCGATTGCCACAGCTTCGCCGGACGACTACTTGCTGAACAGTGGAGAGCTGCGGCATGCATGGATTGTGTATGAACCTGATGCTCTTGCTGCCAGCACCAGCAGCAGCAGCAGCAGCGGTGCCAGCAGCGGCGGCAGGAGCAGTGGAGCTGGAAGAGGGAGGGCAGGGAGGCTGCGAGTGTTTCTGGCAGCAGCAAAGGTGCGGCCAGACAGAGCGTTACTGGAGGTGCCTCTTTCTCTCTGCTCCGTGCTCAAGCCGTCGCTGTCGCAGCCCTCGGTGTTCCTCTCCTTCTCCTCCTCCTCTGTCTCCTCGGGTGTGCCTCAGGAGCACCGTGTGCTCTCGTGGGAGCTTCAGACAGGTGTGTCTGGGTGTGCGTGCGTGTGTGTGCCATGTGTTTTTGTGTGTCTACGTGTTTGTGTGTGTTCGCGCATGTCTGTGCGTGTGTGTGTGTGTGTGTGCGTGCGTGCGTGCGTGCGTGCGTGCGTGCGTGTGAGCGCGCGCGTGTGTGTGCGCGTGCGTGCACGTGCTTGCGTGGGCGTCTCCGTGTGTGCGTGCTGGCACGGTATGTGAACATGCTCATGTGCGTGCTGGCATGGTATGTGAACATGCGCATGTGCGTGCGTGCCCGTGCGTGCCTTTCCATGTCTTCTCCATCCACGACCATAACTCAGCCAGTCTCCCCATCCACTTTCCCCCATTTATCTAGATCCTCAATCCTAATACAAACCTGTTACAAGCGCACCCACCTCTCCACGACCCCTCCAGGCCCATCGGATCCCTGCTTTGGCATCTCTCGCCTGTCCCCTACCAGCGTCTACTGTCGCTCCGACGTCTCCTCCTGCCCCGGGGAAGCCATGGGGTCGGCCGGTGATGGGGGTGCCACTGCTGGTGCCACTGGTGGTGGCGCTGGTGGTGGCGCTGGTGGGGTGTTTACGAAGGAGTTTGCACCAGGAGAAGGAGATGGAGGGGGAGGAGGAGGCGGAGGAGGGGGAGAGGGAGGGGAAGGAGGAGGTGGGGGGCAGTAGCAAGGAGGCAAGACTGGAGGCTGTGACGTTGGTGGGTTTCTGAGGGAGCATCAGGCGTCCACCATTGAGCATCAAGTGTCCACCATTGAGCATCAAGTGTCCACCATTGAGCATCAAGTGTCCACCATTGAGCATCAAGTGTCCACCATTGAGCATCAAGTGTCCACCATCGAGCATCAAGCATTTTACCACTGAGCATTGAGCATTGAGCATTGAGGGCGGAGCGTCGTGAGGTTGGGGGCATATAGTGCTCCAATGCATTGCATGGGAAGACGTTTCCTATATAATGCCTTGCCCAATTCAACGCTGCGGTACTCAACAGTGCCGCAGAGCTTCTCCCGACTGACTGCCGCACCGCACTGCACTGCACTGCACTGCACTGCACTGCACTGCACTGCACTGCACCGTGCCGTGCCGTGCCGTATTGTCTACTGGTCTTTTTGAGGCAGCTCTCACCTATCATCCTTCTGCTTTGCTGGCGAGCTGATAGGCGTCTCAGCATGCTAGTCAATGAGAACCATTCTCAACATGTTGAGTCTATTTTTTAGGCGCCTGTAAAATAGGCGTCTCAGCACACATTTTAAAGGGAAATCATTCTCAACCAGTTGCACGTGAGGTCCCCCAAACTCAGAGCCCACACGATAGCACACGAGTCAACGAGAATATCTGTGTGCGTGCGTGTGTGCATGTGTGTGTGTGTGCGTGCGTGCGTGAGTGCGTGCGTGCGTGCGTGCGTGCGTGCGTGCGTGCGTGCGTGCGTGCGTGCGTGGGGGCGTGCGTGGGGGTGTGCGTGCGTGCGGGCACGAGTGCGTGAGTGTGTATGTCCACAAGCGTGCACAGATGTGTGCAGTGCAGGCGACAGGAACCCGTGCAGCGTGGGCAACTGTGTGAATGACGGATATGGCTCGTACACCTGCGTGTGCCCACCCAACTTCTACCTCGGAACCTCCGAATTTGGCGCCCCCTCCTGCGCTCCTGGTAAGTCGGCCCTGCTCCCCCTGCTTCTTCCTGCTTCCTACTCCTCCGTGTGGTGAGGCGATGTTTTTGGCGCCTCAAGAATCCCCTCCTTTGGCACCCTCTCCTGTGCCCCTGGTAAGTCCAACCTGCTGCTCCTGCTTCCTGCTCCCGTTGTCTCGTTCCCTTCTTCCTGCCTCACTCTCACCCTTGCTTCAACTCTTGAGGCACCTCAACTCAACCGCAGCCTATTCTCACTCCCTGTTCCCAGCTTTGCTCCCACTACCTTTCTCTCCTCCAGCCTCCTTCATCTCTGCTCGCCCTCCCTCTTTCGTCCCCCACCCAACCACCCATCCAGGAACGGGCAGGGACTTTTTGATTGTGAAAGTGGAGACGATGTGGTGTTACCACATCTACCCCATCTATGGCCTCACGCTCGACGATTTCCTGGACCAGAACGGGGTGAGCTGCCTGGGGTGAGCTGCCTGGTGTGAGGGCAGAGCAGATTGGAGTGCGCGTGAGTAGGATGTGCGTGAATGGCACACACTGGAATAGAGATGGAGATGGGGAGATGGAGACAGAGGGGGAGAAGGGGATAGCAAGTGCCCCCATCTGCCCTCATCTGCCCCCATCTGCCCCCATCTGCCCTCTATACCCCACCCTTCCCCCTCCACCCACCCACCGACCTCTTCAGGAGCTGCCATGCGACGCGCCGTTGCCGCTGGGCACGATGGTGAGTGTGAAACCTTCTTTGAGACGTCTCAACGTTTGTCCTCCATACCCCACCCTCCCCCCTCCGCCAACCCACCCCTCCAGGAGCTGCCATGCGATGCGCCCCTGCCGCTGGGCACGACGGTGAGTGTGAAGCCCAGCACGGACAGCACGCCCTGCTCCGCCTTCTACACCACTGTGCAGGTGGGCGCCGCTGCTTGGCTTTCAGTCCGCTGTAAGGCCGTCTAATGCACGACTGTGTAGCTCACTTTTGATGTTTCTCACTTTTAATGTTTTTGAGACAGGCTCGTCTCTGCTTCCCTCGCATTCCGCACCACTTCTCCTCCCTCGATCCCCCTCTGTCTCCTCTGCTGCCTCCCCTCCTCCCCTCCTCTGCTCCTCTGCTCCTCTCCTCCTCTCCTCCTCCCCACACCTCCTCTCTTCCCCTCGCCTCATCAACCTTTCCCACTTTCACTCTCACGCTGTTTTGCCCAGTCGACCCAGAAGTCTCTTTTGTTCATGCGCTGTTCTACATCCCCTCTCCTACCCCCCTACTCTTCCTCATTTGATACCTTCTCCTTTCCCACATTCACCCCCCTTACACACAACCACTTCCCCCTTACTTCATCTCCCTCTCCTCTCCTCTCCTTTCTTCCTTCCTCCCCTTCCCCCCTTCCCTAACCTCCCACACACCCCCCACCCCCCCCTCCAACCTCCCCATCCACCCCACCAGAACGACACGTGTGAATCCATCGCCGCCCTCTTCTCTCTCACGGCCTCCTGCCCGGACCCCTCCCAGCCCTGCACCACCGACCTCCTCCTCCTCAACCCAGGCCTCGACTGCACCACCACCACCGCAACCACAGCAACAACCACCACCAGCAAGCTCCCTACCGGCCTCTCCATCTGCCTCGAGCGAGCCACTGCACTGGTGCCCGTGTGCGGGGAGACGGTGACGGTGGAGAGCGCGGGGAAGGCGACGTGTGAGGCGGTGCTGGCGGGGATGAAGCCGCCGCTGAGTGCACTGGAGCTCTACCGCATGAACCCCGGCATCTACTGCCACCGCCTGCTGCCGCCCTCCCGGGACACGGGCTTCCCGGGGTCAGAGGTACATGGGGTGGGGTGGGGCCGGAGGTATGGTGGGGTGGAGCGGGAGGGGTGGTGCGGTGGAGAGCGAAGTGGGATGGGTGGAGTGGGAGGTGGGGTGTGGTGGGGGGTGTGATGGACTTGCATCTGGTAGGGTGTGGCGTTCGGCATGCATTGCAAATCAATACCCTGGAGGTGTGGTAAGCCTGTGGCCATGAAGGAACGGATAGATCTTGTAGTGTGGCCACCCATTGTTTCCTAATCGTGCACATCCCTCGGCCTTCTCTCCAGTCCCCGTCCCTTGCGATTCCCTTTCCGCCTGTGGTCTCTTGTTGCATTGCAGGTGTGCATTGATACGAGCATGGACATGTCTTTCGGCTCATGTCCCCGCTCTGAGGTCTACATTGTAACAGATAATGACAGATGCAGTGCCATTCAATTTAAGTTCTTCAAGGGCTTAAAAAACTGCTACAAAAGAATCAATGGTTATGACTGCCTTGATAGACTGACCAGGGGCACAAGGATTTGCTTACCAGACCCAGTCAAAATTAGACAAGGGAAGTGCTCCGTTTAGAATGTTAAGACGATGTGCTTTGTTGTTGTGTGCCTCACCTATGGTGTCTTATATGTATTCAATTGTTTTCCCTCAGAACGATGTTTCCTATGGAATCTTCAGGCCGGAAGGCGCTCCCTCGGGGCTAGAATCAGCTTGGCGAGGTAGAGATTTTTTAGCCGGATCCGACGTTACAGATCTAAAGTAGAAAAAAACAAATTTGTCCTGAAAATCCGTTGACATACTAATTGCTTTATAACGCGATTTTGATTCTCGTGCCGAAGGGAAAATCCCGTTTGCCACAATGAAGAATTCGGTCCGTGTCCATACGCGCCAAATTTGTGTCCGCGACTCGCAATTTCAAATTTCCTACACAGCTTTGCACGCAGCGCATCCATCAACTGCGTATTGCCGAAAAATCTCTCACCATCACCCAACGAGCAACTAGTTCAGCAGCATCCGCTCCTCCACAGCCGTCACGATTCCGTCGAAACTGCGCCACAAGTGCACTGCACTGCATTACACTACCGATCGAGACGACTACGCATGTCACAGCACAGTACGCCCATTCATCCCCTCTCCAGCGTTCAATTGGAGCAGTAGTGGCACAGCTGCCGGCGCGAATAACTCGTCTATTCTTGTCCGCCCTCCACTTCCACTCGGCTACACATTTCCAACATCGCCGTCGCTCTCTCAACGTCAGCTCACCTTTTCCAATGAGAGGACCTTCTCTTTTCATTCCCCTATTCACATCTCTCGCCCCATTAGGACCAGCTTAATCGTATCGCCGCTATTACCTTCTCGAGACAGAAGGGGTTCCCGCTATAGTATTTTGTTCCTGTTCGACGATAGTAACCAAGTCTGAGAGTGAACTCCCAGTTACAACAGCACTAGTTTCCTCCTGACATCCCCACGACCACCCGCCATTGTTATTTCTTTTGGTTATCCTTTCGTTTCTCCGCCCTTCTGCTACTACTAGCGACAGGAGCACTAGCACTAACTGCACTACCACCAGCACTACCAGCACAGCGCGAGCAGCGGCGCGTCACTTGACCTTCTCGGCTCGTCAGTCCCGGTTACAAAAGCACGCGCCCCTCCGAATGGGCTGGCCCGCCTGAATCCATTTCAGTAATGGCTCCAGGCGCAGCCACGCCCCGCCGCTATCGCCGCCATCGCCGCTGTGGCCATGCAGCTCGTTATCGAGCGGTTCCGCACGGCGCGGATGATATCCCACACCCGCCCATCGTTTCTCGCCACGTGCCACCTGTCGTACCCCACGTGACGCCACGCAATAGCATATGTGCAGAAAGAAGCTTCGATAGAGAAGAAACGGCTAGATTGCCTAGAGCGCACATGGCTAGATCGCCTAGACCCCACCGGATAAAGAGTAGTCGAGAGCGCGGCGCGCATCTGGGTCATGCGGCCATGGCGCCACGTGTCGTCTGGAGGCTTCTCCTCGTGAGCGGGCTCGTGAGCCTCTTGGGGTTCGCGTCGGCGCCATGTGCGGCGTCTGACGCGCCGGACGGCACGGCGGACGACGACACGGTGCGCGAGTGGGCCATGCCCGAGGGAAAGAACCTCACACTGCATGTGCTCGCCGACAATACCTATGGCGCCAAGTGCCTAGACGGCAGGTAAGGTGTCGGTACATCAAGGCGTCACACCCGGAGCGCGTGCCGATTTCGCGAACGCTATTGACCCGATCAACTATTGTATGCGGAGAAAACGGCCGGAAACCAGGTCTTTGACCTGCATCGTCCTCACCACCACATGTCCCGCCCCTCCTTCAACCTCCTCTATTTGCTTTATCCCCGAACCAGTCCACCCGGGTACTTTCTCCGGCGCGGCAGCGGTGCAGGGAAGGAAGCATGGCACATATTTCTGCCGGGCGGGGGGTGGTGCGCCACTGCGGAGGACTGCGCTGCGCGCGCCGCCACCGCCATGGGGTCCACGCGGCCCTGGACGCCTCGCCGCAAGGTGCTCCCCCCCCTCCCTCCCCCCACACACACACAGTCCGCCCTTGCCTTCGATGGATTCTCCTTTCTATGGTTCGATTCTATCATCTTGTTCGGTCTGCTTCGACCCTTTGCTGCCTCCTTCGCTTCTTTCTGGTTCTTCCCCACGCATCCTCTGGGCTCAGTTGCCTCTGCACTCTCCACCTCCCCTCGATTCCTTGCGCTGCCATTTGGGCTACCGGGTTGGTACTACCCTCAATCTCTCTCCCTCTCATCGTTCCTCTCGTATCCTTCTTCGCTTCCCCCTCACACCCCCTCCCATCCCGCATTCATTATCTACCCCTCTCTCTCACCCCCACTTTCCGCGTCAGAGCGCGCGGCGCCTGGCAGTGCTGTTCAAGGGCATCCTAAGCCTTGAGCGCCGTTGAGACGTCTCAAAACTCTCTTCCCATTCCCCCTTTCCCTCTCTCTCCCCTTTCCCTCCCTCTCCCTATCCGTATCAGAGCGCGCGGCGCCTGGCGGTGCTGTTCAAGGGCATCCTGAGCCCCGTGCGGCGGCGCAACCCCAACTTCTACGACTGGAACCTGGTGGTGCCGCTGTACTGCGATGGGGGCGGGTACGCGGGGCGCGCGGGTTGGAAGAAGGTGAACGAGAGCACGAGTATCTTCATGGACGGCTGGCGCATCATGAAGGCCGTGCTCTCCGGTGTGCTGTCTCTCTCTCTCTTACTCTCTTTCTCTCTTTCTCTCTCTCTCTCTCTCTCTCTCTCTCTCTCTCTCTCTCTCTCTCTCTCTCTCTATCTCTCTCTCTTTCTCCCTCCCAAAGGAACACAAAGGAACACCCGCACCATCTTAACATTCTCGCACATATCATCACAATCTCCCAACGACCGATCCCCTCTCCCGTCCTACCTGAACAACCACCTGCTGCAGACCTGATGGATCGGAGAGGCCTCAAGTCCGCGACGCAGGTGCTGCTGTCAGGGTGCTCTGCAGGGGGTCAAGCGGTGGTGATGCTGTGCGATCAGGTGGAGACTCTACTGCCGTCCGCCACCGTCAAGTGCCTCATGGATGGAGGCTTCTTTCTCGGTACACCCTCCTCCCCATCCTTTTCTCCTGGCATCAAGTTCATCAACTTCAAATATTATTTTATGAATGGTATCAGCTCTTTGCATGATAATGATCCTGTGGCTCCACCTTGTTGCGGTGGCTCGGCCTTTGTGCTGTTCAGAGATAATGATTGCCTTTCCTTGGTCATGCATGTCTGCGGGTTGCTGCATACTTTTCAGATGCCAGGGACAGGAATGATAACCTCCGTTTCCGCTCCTTAGTCAAACGTGTTACGACACTACACCAGGCCACTGGAAACGCCCGTTGCGGTAGAGGTACCCTCTTTTCCCTTCTCCCTCCATTGGTTTTTGTTTTCCCTTTATTACACCCCACACCCCCCTTCCCCTCCTGTGCACTAGCATTTCCTACTAACCTTATCTTTGCAGCAGATGACCACCACTCTAATGAGCAACCCCCACCCACCATGCGGGCGATTTCCCCTGCTTCTCGCCTACCTCATCTCCTTACCCCCAACCCTGCACTCCATACACCCCTTGGCTTGCAGCCCACGAGGATGAGGAGAAGTGGCGGTGTTTTTTCCCTCAATACGCTCTGGGCTACATCGCCTCCACCATCTACGTGGTGAACCCCCTCTTTGACTACGCTGCTCTGAGCATCGGCAACCAACTACCCAACAAGACAACCAGCATCGCACGGTGCCTGCACGACATAACGGTAGACATGCCATCCCTCACTGAATCCATCCGGAACAACTCATGGACGACAATGAAATACAAGGAGAACAGCCCGTGCACGGAAGACGAGCAGAAGGCCGTGGTGACTGTTGCCGGGACTATGTACAATGAGGTGAAGGCGATTGTGAAGAAAGAGCCCAGGGTGGGTGCATATTTGTCGGATACTGTGGCTCATTGCAGCACGGTTTACTCGTCTTGGTCGAAAGTTTCGGTCAATGGCGTCACTGTGCGAAAAGCTATAGGTAATTGGTACTTTGACTCAGACGATTCTGACGATTCTAGGTTTTTACATCCATGACAATGTGTTTGTATACATATAGATACTGCTAACTCGTTTGAAATAACGTCGCCCTAAATTGTGTGTTTCCATGTAGTTGTTTTGTATTCAAACAGAAAATGGTGACGTGGAAGAACCTTCCGTATTTTCCCCAAACCGCACTGAAAACTTCCCCTTCACGCACAGCACACTCACCTCACCGTCCCTGTATTCCGCTTCTTCCCTCTGTTCGTCATCCGCCCAACACGTGCGTCCCCTGTCTATCTCTGCTCCTCGATCGTTCCCTGCACTGCTGACAGGCCGCAAATCTACTAGTAGGCGGCTCAGGGGGAAGGAAACGGTCTCGGGTCTTGAGAGGAGATTTTGTTGTAGGCACCATTTTCAGCCACCATTTCCAGCCACTGGAACAGCAGCAGCAGGATACTCTATGGCAACGAGCCGCTGACACACTTGCCGCTTTTGGAGGGTTAGATTTCGATCAGGCCATTCTTATCCACTTTCCCGGTCCGCCTTTCGCGTATGCAGATCTGCGCGGCGTGCCGTGCGGGCTAGCCGCCTTGTAGTTGCTGTTTCTGAGCGCAGTGATTTCCACGCTGAGAATAAGAGGCGAATACTATTTTTCTTATTCTGTGGTTCTATCCTAGCTCTTTACCTACGAATCTGCCTCTGCGTTTCGTCTCAACGAGTGCCGTTCCAGCCAGTCGATTTTTCGCCGTTCGAAGGGGCCTCGCTGCTGTTAAATACGTCACGAGCCGTGTGACCTCTGAGGGGGTTTAACGAGGGTACAAGGAGCAGCCGTTCCGTTTCCCGTACGAGAGCGACGGAAAAAGCGGGACCCGTGTTGTGGGCGACATGGCGGCGGCTTTGATGACAGTCACGAAGGCGAAGGACGGGTCGCACGTGTCGCTGGACGGCGTGCGCGAAAAGAACGTGGGGCAGCTGCGAAAGCTGAACGCGGCGATGTTTCCGGTCAAGTATCAGGAGAAATACTACAGCGACGCCATGGCTGCTGGCGAATACACCAAACTAGGTAAGCACTCAGGTCAGGATTATGGATTGACCAGGCGTCGATCCATGGATGCGTGGTTTCGTGCAGGCGCGTGTTTCGTTGCTGGCAGTTTCGATCCATTGGATTCATTTCCCAATCGCTCCCTGCAGCCTCCGTCCTTCGTCGTCTCCCGCTGTCATTGACACTTCGTAGCCCCTCCCACATGTCGTTTCACATGGTCCTTTCTTGCTGTCTCATTCCAAACCCCTTTTGCGCCAACCCGAAACCGTCTTCCGGTCTTCTACCCCATTCCATCGCCCTCTCCGCTCCTCTTCCCCCCTCCTCCACCCCCCTCCCCCCCCCCCCCCCCCGCCGCCCCCCACCCCTCCTCGTTCCCCCAGCGTTCTACAGCGACGTGCACGTGGGCGCGGTGGCGTGTCGGCTAGAGCGCGAGGCGGGCGGCGGCGGCTGCACGAAGGTGTACATTATGACGCTCGGCGTTCTCGCGCCCTACCGCCGCCTCGGCATCGGTGCGCTTTGGGTTGCGTGCTGCTTACTCGCTGGGGGAGGGGGATGGGGATGTGGATGGGTATGGGGATGGGGATGGGGATGGGGATGGGGGTGGGGGTGGGGGTGGGGGTGGGGGTGGGGGTGGGGGTGGGGGTGGGGGTGGGAACGGGGATGGAGTTGGTTGGGGTTGGGAGGGTTGGGATGGGGTAGGGAATCCACAAGGGGGAAAGGGGAGAAGGGGGGGGGGGGGGGGGGGGGGGGGGGGGGGGGGTGGGGTGGTTACTGCCTCTGGATTTACCGCTGTGGAATCGCATGCAATGGACAAGCTGGATTCTCTGCCCTCCTTGCCCTCACTCCCTCCATTTTTCCTAACCCATAAACCTCTTCCATTCCACCTGCTTCATTAACCTTCCTTCAAACCCCCCCCCCCCCCACCCTCCCTCCCTGCCCCCTCCCCTTCCCTTCCGTGCTTCTGTCTTCCCCCCCCCCCCCCCCCCCGTGTTGCTGACCAGGCTCGTTGCTGCTACAGCACGTGTTGAGTCAGTGTGAGGCGGAGGGGTCGGGAGTGCGAGAGGTCTACCTGCACGTGCAGACCAACAACGAGGAGGCCATTGCCTTCTACGCGCGCTTTGGCTTCGCTATAACGGACACCATTAAGAACTACTACCGCCGCCTGCAACCCCCCGATTGCTACGTGCTCTCACGCTCCTTTGGCCCGGGGGCCACTGCCGCCCAGCAGAATGGCACTGCTGCTGCTCCAGGGCAATGAGACTGCTCGGACAGTGTTAGTGTTGTGTGTGTGTGTGTGTGTGTGTGTGTGTGTGTGTGCGCGTAACGGGGTTTTGTTCTTCTTCGGCTCCTAATGGGGTTGCCTTCCTCTTCCTGTAGGTGGTAGGTAGAGTGACTGTCAGGGCAATGTGACCAAGCACGTGCACACCTGCGTAGTTGGCCTGTGCGAGAAACAATCCAATAAAAGCATGCTGGACGGTATTACCGTACTGTAGGTAGGCAGGATATTGGGTTTATTCTTCAGCTCCACTCATCTCATACCAACGATTCCCTGGGAATGGCTGCAAGATTCTCCATGGTGAATCTGAGATGAGGCATTCCAAAAATGCTTGGATCAGATCAGACAGAAGTATTCGTGGGAGAATCACCTTACCGTATCTAATGTACCAGTAGCTACCCACACGCTGATCTCCCAGACCAAGCAAGCAGCATGAGATTTGCAGTTTATTTATACACAAATACCCGCTGTACCTTTGGCAAGAACACTCAAGAATGCACACTGTACCCCCCTGCATGTACAAAACAGACTGATGAAATGTACACATACACACTTACACATACACATGCGCAATTGCTCGTCCAACCAAGCATGCATATGAACAGATAAAGCTTCCAACCATCATTCCTCTACTATCACCTCCTCTGCTCTCCTCTCCTCTGCTCTCCTCTCCTCTGCTCTCCTCTCCTCTGCTCTCCTCTCCTCTGCTCTCCTCTCCCCTGCTCTCCTCTCCTCTCCTCTGCTCTCTCCTGCTCCCCTCCTCTCTCCTCTGCTCTCTCCTGCTCCCCTCCTCTCTCCTCTGCTCTCTCCTGCTCCCCTCCTCTCTCCTCTGCTCTCTCCTGCTCCCCTCCTCTCTCCTCTGCTCTCTCCTGCTCCCCTCCTCTCTCCTCTGCTCTCTCCTGCTCCCCTCCTCCCTCCTCTGCTCTCTCCTGCTCCCCTCCTCTCTCCTCTGCTCTCTCCTGCTCCCCTCCTCTCTCCTCTGCTCTCTCCTGCTCCCCTCCTCCCTCCTCTGCTCTCTCCTGCCCCTCCTCTCTCCTCTGATCTCTCCTGCTCCCCTCCTCTCTCCTCTGCTCTCTCCTGCTCCCCTCCTCTCTCCCCTGCTCTCTCCTGCTCCCCTCCTCTCTCCTCTGCTCTCTCCTGCTCCCCTCCTCTCTCCTCTGCTCTCTCCTGCTCCCCTCCTCTCTCCTCTGCTCTCTCCTGCTCCCCTCCTCTCTCCTCTGCTCTCTCCTGCTCCCCTCCTCTCTCCTCTGCTCTCTCCTGCTCCCCTCCTCTCTCCTCTGCTCTCTCCTGCTCCCCTCCTCTCTCCTCTGCTCTCTCCTGCTCCCCTCCTCTCTCCTCTGCTCTCTCCTGCTCCCCTCCTCTCTCCTCTGCTCTCTCCTGCTCCCCTCCTCTCTCCTCTGCTCTCTCCTGCTCCCCTCCTCTCTCCTCTGCTCTCTCCTGCTCCCCTCCTCTCTCCTCTGCTCTCTCCTGCTCCCCTCCTCTCTCCTCTGCTCTCTCCTGCTCCCCTCCTCTCTCCTCTGCTCTCTCCTGCTCCCCTCCTCTCTCCTCTGCTCTCTTCTGCTCCCCTCCTCTCTCCTCTGCTCTCTCCTGCTCCCCTCCTCTCTCCTCTGCTCTCTCCTGCTCCCCTCCTCTCTCCTCTGCTCTCTCCTGCTCCCCTCCTCTCTCCTCTGCTCTCGTCATCTCCTCTGCTCTTTTCTCTCCTCTCATCTCCTCCCCTCTCCCCCTCCCCTATCTTCCCCGCTACTCTCCTCTCCTTGCATAACATCACACACCAGACGAGCGGAGAGTTTCAAACAGCAGCCCCCTGGCAGCAAGGCCCGGCCACAGGCGGTCCCCCCCATGGAATGCGGCAGCAGGGGGCAGCACCCCCCCTGTGGGCAGGGTTGCGGGCGACCGGGTCAGGAGAAACACGGCGCTCTGCACTGCTATGCGTGGGGTTACCACGTAACCCATCTCCTGAAGGTGGATGGGATGGGAGCGGGGAGAGGAGGCGGCGACGAGGGGATGAGGGAGGTGAGGAAGTGACAGGAAATGAAGGGAAATGAAGAGCGCGCGTGCGAACGCGCGCACGTGTGTGTGTGTGGGTGTGTGGGTGTGTGCATGTGCATGTGGGGCATGCGTGAGTGCGAGCGTGCGCGTGTGTGAGGGAACAGTAAAGAAACGATATCCTTACAGGCCCACTGACGACGGTCGACACATGACAGTCCGGTATGGGCCGAATGCGCTTGCCCTTGCCCTTCCCACGCTCGCCGCGCTGCTGCTCGCCCCCTTGAAACGCATTGAGTGTGTCTTGGGAAAACCCTCGTGCCTCAAACAGCATGCGGAACCGCGTGCACGCCAGCTGCTCTGGCGATGGACCTGCGGTGATTCCCACAGGCGACAGGGGAGCCAAGGGAGCCAAGGGAGCCAAGCACACAAGGTTGGGGAAGGGACACGCTAGCAGCAAAAAGATAGGGATGGGAAATTCCAGGGTTGGAAATTTTCCAATGGACTTGAGGTGGTTTGATTTTGAAAAATCTCAATATCAACCCACATTTTTTTTTTCCAATGGACCTGCGGTGATTCCCACAGGCGAGAGGGGAGCCAAGGGAACCAAGGGAGCCAAGGGAGCCAAGGGAGCCAAGCAGAAAAGATTCAGAAAGAGAGACGTTCGAAGCAACACTTCCGGGATGGGGAATTCGGGGATGGAGAGGAAGAACGCTGCGGTGGGTGGGTGGACGCTGCGTTCTCTCTTTGCAATCCCTTTTCCAGATGTACTTTTCCACTTCCTTCCGACCGACCTGTGTTGCTAACGCAACTCCTGCCATGCTGACACAAACAGCGGATGAAAGCACTCGGATACCAGCAACAGAGCGGCTCACCTTGATGTGAGAAGACGCCAAAGGAGAAGACGCTAGGGTACTTAAGCAGCAGCTTGATGCCAAACGGCACAGCCGTGAGGGCCTTGAGCAGCGCGCCAAAGATGTTTTGAGTCGACTCAGATCGTGCTCACCTTGATGTGAGAAGACCCCAAAGGAGAAGAGACTGGGGTACTCAAGCAGCAGCTTGATGCCAAAGGGCACGGCCGTGAGGGCCTTGCGCAGCGCGCCAAAGGCGTTATGAGTCGACTCAAACGATGCTTCGGGAGCTCACCTTGATGTGAGAAGACGCCAAAGGAGAAGACGCTGGGGTACTTAAGCAGCAGCTTGATGCCAAACGGCATGGCCGTGAGGGCCTTGAGCAGTGCGCCAAAGGCGAGGAAGAGGCAGACGTGGAAGGAGGAGGACACGGTGAAGTAAGCCGAGTAATGCACCATGGCTGCTGCGTTGCTTGGCACTGGGAGGGCCTCTAACCCCGTGCCTTGCACTATGCTCACTGCTGCTCCTGACGCTGCTGCTCCTCCTGCTCCTGCTCCTCCTGCTGCTGCTGCTGAAGCCGAAGACGGCGGTGGTGACGACGGCGACGCAAGCAGAGCGTCAGTCTCCCCTTGACCTCCACTCGCGTCCTCTCCTCCCGCCGGTGCTCCCACATCTCCCTGCCCTCCAGCTCCTGCTCCTGCTCCTGCTGCAGCCTGTGCAGCAGCAGCGGCTTGGAAAGCAGCAAGGGAGCGGCGCACAACAGAGGCATCGGCTCCCATAAACGGCAGCACCCACGCGTTCACCTGCCCGCCCACCCACCGCGGCCACACCGGCAGCACCCACCGCCGCACCAGCGGCCATATGCCCTTCTCGCCCCCCTCTGGCTCTGCTGGCGCTCGCAGCAACGATGGTAGCTTGCCCTTGCTGCTGCTGCTGCTGCTGCTGCTAGAGGAAGGTTTTCTTGTGCCCCCTGCTGCTGACTTGGCTGCTTCCCTCCGGATAGCCCTGTGAAGTGGAGGGAAAGAAAGAGGTGGTGGTTTGGGTAGAGAGTGGGGAGGAGGACCGGAGGGGTAAAAAGGCGAGTGAGAGGAGACCGGTAACAGGTGAATGGCAGGAATTACGATTAACGAGATACGATAAGAGCAGCAGCATGCAGTAACAGCAGCACGAACAGCAGCTGAATGGCGCCATCATTCCCAAACCGAACCCCCTCCCTCTTCTGCTCCCTTACCATACACCCGCCGCTCTCTCCCCACCCAGCAAAGCTCTCCCTCTTAAGCCGACTAGTCTAAAAAAAAAAAAAAACCCTTTCGAGCAGACTCAACTCAAGAACCCCTAATCCCCCCTAATCCCCAGCCTCACCGGAGCTCCCCAGCAGAAGCAAGGCCATGCACGAGGGACTCCCACGTGGCGTAGTGGCCTGCCAGGCCCCTGGGCGCTGACACGGACAGGTACGAGTCCACTGCCACTGCTGCTGCTCGCTCTGGGGGCAGCTGGCGCAGCTGCGGACGGGAGAAGGAGCGTTCGCGGGAGACGTTGTGGTGGATGAAGGGAGGGGGGATGGAAGGGGAGGAATTGGAATGATTGGAGGAAAAGGGGCGATTGGAGTAGGAACGAACATACCAGGTAGCAACTAACGAGTACAGCATGGTAGAAGGAAGATATAGGTACCGGATCCAACACAGAAATATTCATGATGTTGAAATGACCAACGCAGAGTAACGCACACACAACGCTCCTCCCCCCTACGCTCCCCCACAATTCCCCCCATGTACCCTCCCATCCTTTCCCCACCCCGCCTCGTCATCCCCTGCGCCCACACATCCCCGCACCGTGTACTGCGCGCCGAGATCCGCGGGCACGGAGTCGAACCCGCACGCGGACACGACGAGGCAGCCCGCCTTGACCGCCGCGGCGTGGTGCGCGAACGCCATGCGCTCCATGAACTCCGGCTCCCCGCACACGTCCACGTAGTCCGTGCCGGCCGCCACGCACGCCTCCACCACCGGCGCGCCGTAGAAGCGGAACGGCCCCACGCAGTTGATCAGCACGCAGCAGCGCCGCGCCATCGCGCTCAGCGACGCGGAATCGCACACGTCCGCGACTACGATCGCTACCCCCACTGGGCCTGCTTCCCCCTGCTCCGCCGCTCCCGCAGATCCCGCGGATCCCGCGGATCTGCGATCTCCGCCCGCCTCCTTGCGCACACTCGCCTCCGCCGCCGCCACCGCCTGCTCCACCCGCGCGCGGCTGCGCCCCGCGGCCGCCACGCGGAGAGGCGCGTGGGGGGGCAGCGGAGTGCCTGGGCAGGAGCAAGCGGGGGACGGCGGGGCGAGGAGCGGGAGGTGAAAACAGTAGCAAGGCTTCTGAATCTAGGCGCCAAATTGAAATAACTTATGCGACGTGTCTGAATAATATTTAGTGTCAAGGGTGCGATGAGCATTCACGCACCAGAGACTATCGAGCGAGCCACTCGCATCGCCTCTATGAGAACGAACCGTCCCGTGAATCCCGACGCGCCGAACACAACGATGTCGAATTCTCGGCCCGCGCGGTTCGCCCATTTCGCGGGGCTTGGAGATTGAGGAGAAGCCATGACAGATCCCGATAAAAAATGGTATATTGGCAGGCCTTCAGTGGGCGGAATAGGCTACGCAGCCACGGAACTAGAGCATTTCGTGTGGTAGTGGTGGCGAAGGATGTCAGACTCAGAATCTCCCGAACGAAACCGTCGAAACACGCACAGCCTGCAGAAAACAGATCACCACCACCACCTGTAGGGCATGCATTTACATTACACGTTCGTTTGACGCGATTGAATGCGGTCGTCAGTGTTCGGGAACGGTTCTGGCTTTTCACCACTCTGCACCATTGGGCACCAGAGTGAACCTTTCAGTCTCAAATGTACACGAACGAGAATGACCCTCCCCTAGGGCGTGTAAGGGCGGAATATTTTCAAGTCGTATTTGCTCAGTACCCATCCCGACCAGTCTAGAAATTGATTTGACCGTTTTACAACGTGAAGACCCACATTCAAACGAACAAAAATGACCCGCCCTGAAGTTATGACGGGATTTCTGGAGTTCATGTTCCCATCCCATCCCACATGTGCAGGCGTGTGCCGTGCAGTGCCACTGTGCCATTGGCGGACGACAAGAAGAATGCCTTGGTTTGCAGGGAGGGAGGTCATCCCGACTTTCGAACCTCCATGTAAGGTTCGGAAAAGGTTCGACGGAAAAGGTTCGATGGAACAGGTTTGGTTGGGGGGAGAGGTGATTTTTCTGTGACGCATTTCTCCCCTCACAAGCACAGCAAGGACGCACCCATAGCCCTCAGGGTTGGTTGCCGTTTTCGGACCTGTCACAATCCAAGCCTTGACTGTGCATTGGGATTGGTCGGAAATTCGGGGACCGAAGACTGTAACCTCTAGGGTTTCCCAAAGGACACGAGAACTGTGTGACACTTAGTTGCTAACGGGGCCCTTTGGTTGTTGGGGAGAATCTCTCCACCCACGCAAGTCTTTTATCCACAATTGTTTTTCCACACGAGCCTACCTTCACCATCGAGATTTCCGTTCTCCCTTCTCCTTGGTGGATGTGGGTTGATTTGGTTCTGAGAGTAGAGATCTGAATAACGACGTTACATAAACAAAAGTGAAGAATACCTCGTCCTCGTCTTGTCTTCCATCCTCTTCCTCGCAACTCCTCCGTTGACGCTCGCTACGCAGGAGGAGGTGGGCGGAGGCACAGAAAGGCACGGCTGCGTTGGTGGAAGTCTCGTCGCAGGGGAAGTCGGTACAATGCGGGAGGGCGATGGGGATGGGCGAAGCCTGGGAGAAGGGTCTGGAGATATGGCGGATTTGGAAGGGGCCGTAGTCAGCTCATCGTGCAAGCGCATCAAGTACGGAGATAGGTAGGGGTCATTTATTACTTAAGAAGTATACCAAACATGCATTGGAAACCATTATGGCGTAAAAGTCGGAAGAATTTCAGGTGGGACTCTCAGGGCGGAATATACCTTTTTCTGCTGGCTTTGACTTTGTGTTGCATAGGAATATGCAGCTTTGCGTTGTACATAAGTAGGCCTTGCTTGTTTGCCCAGGCACATCAGCGTCCGTGCAAATCACCCATCTTATCCGAAGCATAGTTGTTCAAAAGCTCGCAATGCGTCGTCGTCCCTCTGTCCGTGGTAGCGTGCCATGCGCTATAGGACCTTGTCAGAGTTCGTGAATCGCTTCAAATGTCAACGTCAATCCGTTTTTTCCAACCGAAACTGTGCGTGTCAGCTGAGCTTAGTGCTTCATGATCTCTTTCGTTTCTGTATTTCTTTCTCTCTGTCTTTCTTTATTAGAAAAACTTTCGTGCAAAGCGCCGTACTAAGTTTCTAGTTGGCGGGTTGTAGTTTCGTTCAACCTTTTCCAAAATCTATCGACCTCCATATTTTTCCTCTTTAACCTCCGTATCCTTCCTCTTTACTCATGGCTCTTTCCCCCCCCCTTCTCACCCTCCGTTTCACTCTCCGCTAACCCTATTTTCCCCGTTACAGCGACAACGCCGTTTCGTCACCTCCGCTACCAGCAGCAGACTCGCACCAGTCCTCCTTCCCCGCGTTATCTCCGCGTTCCGCCCACAACCCGCCTGCCTCTTTCCCCGCGAGCTCCAACCGCAGCCGCGCTCCCCTCCCCCCGCCTGTTAGCGCGCCTGCGGCAGTCGGCGCAGCCATGGGCTGGCGCGGAGGCCCGCGATGGGCGGACGAAGCGGACGGGGGAGAGCGCCATCAGGGCTTGCGGGGGGGCGAGGGTGCGGGCCAGCAAGCAGACTGGAATGCGCGGCAAGGGGAACTGGTGGCGCAAGAAGGACTGGGCGGGCGGGCGGACTGGCTCAGGAGAAATCCCCGCGAGGCGGGTGAAGAGGAGGAGGGGGAGGACACTGAGGGAGAGGCGGGGCGAGCGGAAGGAGGAGTGGGGGAAGGTGTGGGTGCTGCAAGGAGCAGAGGGGACTGGAGCGGAAGGGAAGGCAGAGGCGTGGAGCAGCTGCGTTCGTATATCGAGAGCTCGCTCAGCGTTCCGTTCACCTCTCCTGAGTCTGGTGGTGGCTTCCCGTCGCGCGAAACGCGGCGGAATACTGGGAGGAGGTATGGGCCTCTGACAGGCAGGATGTGGTGGAGAGAAGGCACTGAGAGCACGATGAGGACTGCGATAAGCGGTGCTGCGGCTGCTGACCGGGGCGCGGGTGCGGCGCCAAGAGTGGGTGGATTTGCGGGAGAGGGAGGCTTGAGAGATGGTGATGTGGGAGGGAGTGAGGCGCGGGGAGTTGCAGGAGCAGTGGGAGAGGAGGAAGCGACGGAGGCAGTCCCCGGTTGTGTTGATAAAGCTGGAGATGGGATCGAGTTGGCAGGAAGAGGCCATGGTGCTCGTGCTTCTGCTTCTGCTTCTGCTTCTACTTCTGCTGCTCCTGCTGGTGCTGCTGGTGCTGCTGGTGCTGCTGGCAAGTCGGATGGTAACACTGGCGACGAGGAAGGTGGCAACGAGCATGCGAGTGGTAATGGCGCTCGCGGGCAGAGCTCTGTCCGCGGGTTGGCGCCATTAGGAAGACAGGGAAGATGGGGTGTAGGAGAAGGGGAGGGAGGAGGAGGGGAAGGAGGAGGGGTGGGAGGAGGAGGAGAAGGAGGAGGGGAAGGAGGAGGGGAGGGAGGAGGAGGGGAAGGAGAAAGGGAAGGCATTAGGGGAGAAGGAATGGGCTGCAGTGCAGGTGGTGGGAGAATTGCTGAACGGCTTGCCCGTAGGGAAGAATTGTCCCGTCGTTTGGAAAGGTTGAGAGCGGTAGATGGCCGGGAGAGGGCTGACGAAGGGGCTGGAGGCGCGAGGGCGGCTGGGGTTGGGGGAGGCGTCGGGTATAGGCGGGGGGGGATTGGGGGGACGGACGAGGGCGGTGGCGGAATGGAGGTTGGTGGGGGAATGGACATCGGGGGAGGGAGGGTGGTTGAGGGAGGATGGATATATGGGTATCCGGGAGAGGAGGAAGATGATGACGATGATGATGATGATGATGATGATGAGGAGGATGCTATGATGAGAAGGTATCATCTTGATCGGCCATGGGTTAGGTTTGGAGCGAGGGACCGAGCCGAGATGGGTAGGGATGGTGGTGGTGGCATGAGGGACAGGTGGTATGAGTGGGATAGGCGGGGGAGGGAGGAGTGGAGGAGGCGTGCTCGTGATGGGGGCCCGGCTGAGTGGCATAGGGTTGAGTGGAGGAGGGATGGGAGGGGTGAGTGGAGGATGAGTGAGTGGAGGAGAGAGGACGAGTGGAGGAGGTCGATGGGATGGGAAACGAGGGCAGAGAGAGAGTGGATGAGGGAGTGGGAGAGGCGGGACCGATGGAGGGGGGAGCGAGGAGGAGGGATGGGGGGTGGTGAAATGCAGGTGGGGGACGGGGGTGCAGGGGTAGTGGAGGACAGGGCGTTCATGGGTGGGAGATTCCGAAGGATGGAGTACCGTGAGTGGTATGAGAGGTTCAGAGCGAATGGTGCAGATGTGCTTGGTGGCGGCGCTCGCCCCACTGGCACCAGGCGCAATGATCCCCTGCCTGCTCCTGTGCCTGCTGCTGACGCTGTGCCTGATCGTGCTGCTGCTGCTGCTGCTGCTGCTGCTGCTTTTTCTTCTGCTGCTGCTGCTTCGTCTGCTGCTGCCGGTGGTGGTGGTGGTGGTAGTGCTGCTGCTGCTGCTGGTGCTGCTGCTGCTGCGGCGGCGGCGGCGACTGTGCTTCCCCCCACTCGCCCTGCTGTGCCGCCTCATGTTGCTGAGCTACCTGCTCCGCGGGTCACTTCGCCTCCCCCTCTCCGCGTGGGTGCCTTGCCCCAACACATTCCGGTGGTGACTCACATGGGTGACGTGCGTGGGGGCGACGCACAGGGAAGAGCAGGCGCAGTCACGCGTGCACGAGTGGCGGGCAGGGGTGTGGGCGGAGGGGAAGCAGGCGGCGGCGGCGGAGGAGGAGGAGGAGGAGCGGTGGGAGAAGAGAGGGGCGGAGGTGGGGCGAGCAGAGGAAGGGGCGTAGGCAGTTGGGCAGTTGGAAAGAGAGGAGGGAATGGGGGAGGAGGGGGAGGGGGAGGAGGAGGGGGAGGGGGAGGGGGGGGGGGAGGGGGAGGAGGAGATGGGGGAGGAGGGGGGGGAGGAGGGGGAGGAGGTGGGGGAGGAGGGGGAGGAGGGGGAGGGGATGGTGATGGAGGAAGTGGAGGTGGTGGCAGTGGGGGAGGAGAAGGGGAAGGTGAGCGGGCGAGCGGGGACAAGGGGGAGCAGAAAGGCAGTGGTAGCGCCAGGGACAACAACGGCAACAACAACAGCAACAACAATAGCAACAACAACGATAACAACAACAACCCCGACCCCACAGACCGCCCCTCAGGCGACCCATACCCCCACCACCCGGATCTAGTCCCAGACGTGCTGTACCACGTCTTCTCCTTCCTGGACCACCCCGCGCTCTGCCGCGCAGCCCTAGTCTGCCAGCGCTGGAGGGTAGTCAGTGAGCACCACGAGTTCTGGCGCCACCTCTCCTTCCAAGCCTTCCCCGCCGCGACTTTCTCGCACGTGCACCGCCTCGCTTGCAAGTACCCGCAGGCTCACTCCCTCAACGTCTGCGGCCTACGGTTCACCGAGCAGCAGCTCCAGAGGATTCTCACCCCGCTCTCGTCCCACCTCCGCTGCCTCTCCCTGGGGTTGCAGCGGCTCCCAGAAGATATATTCGTGTGTGTGGAGGCCACGTGCCCGTCTCTCACGCACCTGCGTGTGCTCGATGCCGTGGTGGGGAATCCCATGCTGCCAGAGCTCTTCCTCTCGCACTCGCACCTCGTCAGCCTAGACATGCTCTCCTGCTGTCTCCTCCGCGTGGTGCTAGATCTCCCTGAGCTCACCCACCTCTCCCTCGCTCGCACCTCTGTCACCCACGTCACCCTCTTCTGCCCCCGCTTGCGCTCCCTCAACCTCTCCGGCTGCCATAAGCTCTCCGATTCCAGTCTCCGCGTGGCAATCCTCGACTGCCCGACCATCACTGCTCTCAACATCTCCTCCTGCCCGTACACCAGCGACGAAACCCTCTCCCAGATCGCCTCGCGCTGCTCGCTTCTCACCTCGCTGGACATTTCCGGCTGCGCGAACGTGACCTTGGACCGGCTTCGCCTGCCCCAGGTGACACAGTTACGCTTGGTGGGGTGCGACAGCATCACAACCGGGTCCCTCGCGTCTCTCGCGCACTGTGTGCTGCTTGAGAGTCTTGTCATGGATGGCTGTCCGCTGCTGTCTGCAGTCAACCTGGACTTGCCGTTGCTGCGGCATATCTCCCTGCTGGGGTGCCGGCAGCTGAAGAAGGTGTGTGTGAGGAGCGAGAGGCTGGAGAGCATTGCACTTGCTCCCGACATGGGTGCTGCTCCCGACTGCCCTCTACTCCTGCTGGGGCAGCAGGGGCAGCCGCAGGGGGCGCAGCAGGGGCAGCCGCAGGGGCCGCAGCAGGGGCAGCAGCAAGAAGGGCAGGAACAGATTCAGGCACAGCGGAATGAGTGGGTAGAGCCGGAGGAAGGGGACGTTGGGAGGGTCGTGGAACAGGCGGATGAGATGGCAGATGTGGAGAGGCAGGCGCAGGGCGTGGGCGAGCGTGGTCGAGCAAGGCCGGGAAGGCCGGGACAGGCAGAGATTCAGGCCCAAAGAGCAAGACTGTGGTTCGCGCTGGGGCCTGGGGGGCCGCTCGGACAAAGGCAAGGGCAAGGACAGGGGCAGGCACAAGGGCAGGCACAGGGGCAGGGGCGGGCGCAGGGGCAGGGGCCGGCACAGAGGCAGGGTGAGGGTGAGGGTGAGGGTGAGGGTGAGGGTGAGGGTGAGGGGCAGGGGCAGGGTCAGGGGCAGGGACAGGGTGAGGGGCAGGGGCAGGCCCAGGGTGAGGGGCAGGGTGTTTCGCAGGGGCAGCGCGGGGTGCTGAGTAGCCTAGAAATCCGGTCGCCTGCCGTGCAGCGCTTGGACCTGCGGTCGCAGCTATACCTGGAGTCGCTCGTGCTGTGCTGCGGTAACCTGCTGCACCTGCACCTGTCTGCGTGCGACGGGCTCACGAATGAGGTGTTCCGTGCGCTGAGTGAGCCGGATGCGTGCCCCCGCCTGGCTGTGCTGCACGTGGACGACTGTGAGGTTAGCTTTGAAGGGCGGGGGGGGCTTGAAAGTGTTGAGGCACCTCACACGGTGTTTCACGCGCTGAGTGAGCGCCTGATGCGTGCCCCCGCCTGGCCGTGCTGCACGTGGACGACTGTGAGGTTAGCTTTGAGGCGTTTCTGAAGCTTTGAGGCGCCTCAGAATGTGTTTCAAGCGCTCAGTGAGCCAGATGCGTGCCCCCGGCTGACCGATAGAGTCTTGCCCCCCCTCTTTCTCTCCCCTTCGCTCTCCCTCTCCCTCCCTCGCCTTGCAGGGCCTGACCGACGTGCGCCTGACAGCCCGCTCCCTCCAGTACCTCTCTCTCACCGGCTGTCGCCGCATCACCTCCCTCTCCCTCGCCTGCCCCGCCCTCCACACTCTCCTCCTCGACTCCTGCGACAACCTCTCCTCCGCCTCCCTCGCCCCCGTCGCCCTCACCTCTCTCAACTTCGGCATCTTCCCGCACCTCACCTCCCTCCTCCTCCACGCACCCGCACTCACTTCCCTCGAGCTCTGCGGGTGCGGGGAGCTTCAATTCACGGATATCCGCTGCCCTGAGCTCACCTCTCTCGACGCATCTTACTGCAGTCTTCTCTCCGATGAGTGTCTCCTCGCTATCTCCCTCCACTGCCCCGCCATCCGCACGCTTGTGCTCGCAGCGTGCCCCGCGGTCGGCCCTGCAGGGTTAGCCGCGTTGATTCTCCTGCGGAGGCTCTCCTGTTTGGATCTGTCGTATACGTTTCTGACCTCCCTGCACGCTGTGTTCTCCACGTGTCATGGGCTTGTCACTCTGCGCCTCTCTGCCTGTAAGTATCTCACTGAAGGGGCGCTGGCACCGCTGGTGGAGCCGCAGGAGGGAGGGGAGGCGGGGCGGTGGGGAGATGGTGGGTCAGGAGCAACTGCAGTGGGAGCAACAGGAGGAGAAGCAAGCGTGATTGAGAAAGAAGCACCCGCAGCAGAGGCAGGCTCAGCAGATGCAGAAATGGAGGGCGAGAGAGATACCACAGAAGGCTCAGCAGATGCAGGGATGGAGGAGGGGAGTAATAGCACAGGTGGTTCAAGCAGTAGGGAGGGAGAGCAGGGTGGTAGTAGTAGGAAGGGTGGGCAGGGTAGTAGGGAGGGAGAGCAAGGGATACCGGCAGGTGCAGAGGGCAACATAGGGGTTGTAAGCGGTGCTCTGCCATACCTGGAGGAGCTGGACATATCGTATGGGAGTATTGGCAGGGCGGCGCTAGCTGCGCTGGTGGGCGGGTGTCCGCGCCTGCTGCACGTGTCCCTAAACGGGTGCACACAGGCAGACGACAGCATGTGGGATGCGCTCGCTGCTGCTTCGGCTGGGGACGGAGGAGACGCTGCACCGGTTGCTGTTGCTGTTGCTGGGAGAGTGAATGGGGAGGAGGGGATGGAATTGGTACCAGGCAGCATGACGGAATGCGAAGAGCAGCAGAAGCAGCAGCAGCAGCGCCAAGGGCAGCAGCAGCAGCAGCAGCAGCAGCAGCAGCAGCATGCGGTCCTCCCAGTGCAGCAGTACCGGCGCCTGCAGTCTCTCAGCTGTGTGGGCTGCCATGGCTTCACCTCCATCCGCCTGCCACACCCCTCCATCTTCCCGCGCCTCACAACACTCAACTTCACATTCGCCGTCAACATCACGCAAGCTCACATCGCGTGCCCGCACCTCACCTCCCTCAACCTCAGGTGAGTGCGATGATGTCTCTTTGCTGGACACCTTAACTCCTCCAGCGAGGATCCTTGCCTTTGGGAGCTTCCTATGGAGCAGCATGTCGCTTTGGGCATGTTGATCATGCTTTTATTACGTCCCCGTTGCCGCGAACTCACTAACTCACTATGCTCGAACCTGTATGCTTATTCTCTTTCGCGCACATGCCATGCCATGCCATGCCATGTCACCAAGGGGTGCTGTTCTGTGCCTCATAATTCCCTCTCCGTGCCTCGTCTGAATGCTCCCTCCCTCCCGTCCGCTCTTTGCCCAACCAGCAAGTGCAAGTCCCTGGTTACTCTGCACCTCGACTGCCCTCGCCTCACCACTCTCACCCTCCAGGTAGCCCCCACTCTGCTCACTCCAGCCCTCACTCCACTCCAACCCTCACTCCACGCCAGCCTTACTCCTACCCTCAACACCTGAGTCACCTGGTTCATTCCATATTCATCACCTTCTCCGATGCATCTCTGTTCCTGCCAAGCCACCCAGAAGGTTTCCCAATCCACAGCGTGTACTATCGTGGCACCTGAAGTACCAGCACAGTCGTTCTTGCCGTAGGCGCATAATCCCCTCCCCTCCCCTCCCCTCCCCTCCCCTCCCCTCCCCTCCCCTCCCCTCCCCTCCCCTCCCCTCCCCTCCCCTCCCCTGCCCTTCCCTCCCCTCCCCTGCCCTCCCCTGCCCTTCCCTCCCCTCCCCTCCCCTCCCCTCCCCTCCCCTGCCCTTCTCTCCCCTCCCCTCCCCTCCCCTGCCCTCCCCTCCCCTCCCCTCCCCTCCCCTCCCCTCCCCTCCCCTCCCCTCCCCTGCCCTTCCCTCCCCTCCCCTCCCTCCCCTGCCCTTCCCTCCCCTCCCCTCCCCTCCCCTCCCCTGCCTTCCCTCCCCTCCCCTCCCCTCCCCTGCCCTCCCCTCCCCTCCCCTCCCCTCCCCTCCCCTCCCCTCCCCTCCCCTCCCCTGCCCTTCCCTCCCCTCCCCTCCCCTCCCCTCCCCCTGCCCTTCCCTCCCCTCCCCTCCCCTCCCCTCCCCTCCCCTCCCCTGCCCTTCCCTCCCCTCCCCTCCCCTCCCCTCCCCTCCCCTGCCCTTCCCTCCCCTCCCCTCCCCTCCCCTGCCCTTCCCTCCCCTCCCCTGCCCTCACCTCCCCTCCCCTCCCCTGCCCTCCCCTCCCCTCCCCTCCCCTGCCCTCCCCTCCCCTCCCCTCCCCTCCCCTCCCCTCCCCTCCCCTCCCCTCCCCTCCCCTCCCCTGCCCTCCCCTGCCCTCCCCTCCCCTGCCCTCCCCTCCCCTCCCCTCCCCTGCCCTCCCCTCCCCTCCCCTGCCCTCCCCTCCCCTCCCCTGCCCTCCCCTCCCCTCCCCTCCCCTCCCCTCCCCTGCCCTTCCCTTCCCCCAGTACATCCTTCCTTCCATCTGATGCTTTTCTCTACAAGACCACCTTCACTCCCCCGACCCCCCACCCCCCACCCTGCCTCCGCTCCAACCCTTCAACTGTGCATGGCAGATGTGTGGGCTATCGTCATCGGTGCTGCTTGCAGCGGTGGCCGGCTGTCCCTCTCTTGAAACCCTTGACGTGCAGCATTCCCCCAATGTGTGTCCCCTCTTTCCTGCTCTAGTAGGACATACAGTAAGGCAGCTCTCAGTTTTCACACAAGCACAGTAGCACTGTCCCATTGCGATCCCATTGCGCCTTTGTTTCCCCCACTGTGTCGCTCTCTCGCTCTATCCTGCCCCTTGGCTTGCTTTAACTTACATGCTTTGTGCCAGGAAGGATTCGAACTGGCCGCTCTCGCAAGTGTGGTTTCATGCTACCTCGCAGCTCCTCCTGCAGTGCTTGCATGATGCATCCCATCCCATCCCATCCCATCCATCCCATCCCATCCCATCCCATCCCATCCCATCCCATCCCATCCCATCCCATCCCATCCCATCCCATCCCATCCCATCCCATCCCATCCCATCCCATCCCATCCCATCCCATTCCATACCATGCCATCCTTTTGAAAGCCATCAATTCCCATGCTCCCCATGTGCCAGCTTGACACGGACACACTATCTCGGCTCAGGGAGCAACACCCTAGCATCCACAGGGTGTACACTACACTGTGCACATGAGATTTACCTAAAGGATGTGGCGATTATGGAGCTGCGTGGTCGTTTATGCCAGCTTGTCGTGTTTTTAACGAGGTGGATCAGAGTCTGTTTATTGTGTGGTGTGTGAGCCATAAGCTGCTATGGATGGATAGAATTGAATGTCCTCATTTGTGTATGTACTGCTAAGTATGATTCCTGATGGTTGTATACGTTAGCATACGTGTCTCGCTGCATCTTGTAACGCATCCAAAATTCTCCACAACTCCCCCACCCACATGAAGAGATTTGCCTTTTTGACAGACGCAACCCACCACCTTTCCCTGCCTCCCATCTCCCCTTCATGCCACCCACCACCTTTCCCTACCTCTCTCCCCTTCATGCCTCCCACCGCGGTCCAACCTGGATGCCACAACCACCCACTCCCACGCCAAAGCAGGCTGGGAAGGGAGTCTGAATAGAGTGGTAGTTGATGAAAAGCAAGATTGGCTCTAAGCTGTAAGTAAAACTCTCGGCCGCTAGATGGCGCATCCGACGGCTCCCGTAAGCCGACGGGATTCGCACAGCATGCAGCGAATTCTGGCGGCGGCGCGTTGGCTAGCAGCGGCAGCGACGCTCGGCGCGCTGATATGGACCGTTTACGCGTGGACAGTCGCGCTGCCAGCTCCCGTCCCGGCTAACGTGGCACCACCGTGGTCGTTCTCGGAGGAGCGCGCCATGGAGCACGTGCGACGGCTGGCCGCCATTGGTCCGCACGAATTCGCGTCGCCTAGGCTGGAACAGGCGATGGAGGTGAGTGAGAGTAAGGCGGGAGGTTGGGGGATGGACCGAAAGTAGAGTTAAGAATACGGTTGATATTTCTTTTGTGTTCGTTTGTTTGTTTGATTTCTCGTCCTGCGTCGATTGAGGAAGCTTAGGCGTGGCGTTAATGTGATTGCGACTGGCATGAGAGCAACATGCGTTGAAATTTCATTGCATGAAAGTTGGAGACAGCATATCTTTGTGCTCTTCCCCTCTTCCTCTCTTCCTCTCTTGCTCTACTCCTCTCTTCCTCTTCCTCTTCCTCTTCCCCTCTTCCTCTCGTCCTCTCTCGCTCTCGCAGCGGCAGCAGCAGCAGCAGCAGCGGCAGCAGCGGCAGCGGCAGCAGCAGCAGCAGCAGCAGCGGCAGCAGCAGCGGCAGCAGCAGCAGCGGCAGCAGCAGCAGCAGCAGCAGCAGCAGCAGCAGCAGCAGCGGCAGCAGCAGCAGCAGCAGCGGCAGCAGCAGCAGCAGCAGCAGCAGCGGCAGCGGCAGCAGCGGCAGCAGCGGCAGCAGCAGCGGCAGCAGCAGCAGCAGCAGCAGCGGCAGCAGCAGCGGCAGCAGCAGCGGCAGCAGCAGCGGCAGCAGCAGCGGCAGCAGCAGCGGCAGCAGCAGCGGCAGCAGCAGCGGCAGCAGCAGCGGCAGCAGCAGCGGCAGCAGCAGCGGCAGCAGCAGCGGCAGCAGCAGCGGCAGCAGCAGCGGCAGCAGCAGCGGCAGCAGCAGCGGCAGCAGCAGCGGCAGCAGCAGCAGCAGCAGCAGCAGCAGCAGCAGCAGCAGCAGCAGCAGCAGCAGCAGCAGCAGCAGCAGCAGCAGCAGCAGCAGCAGCAGCAGCAGCAGCAGCAGCAGCAGCAGCAGCAGCAGCGCAGCAGCGGCGGCGCAGCAGCAGCAGCAGCAGCAGCAGCAGCAGCAGCAGCAGCAGCAGCAGCAGCAGCAGCAGCAGCAGCAGCAGCAGCAGCAGCAGCAGCAGCAGCAGCAGCAGCAGCAGCAGCAGCAGCAGCAGCAGCAGCAGCAGCAGCAGCAGCAGCAGCAGCAGCAGCAGCAGCAGCAGCAGCAGCAGCAGCAGCAGCAGCAGCAGCAGCAGCAGCAGCAGCGTGCATGGGCGTGGAGGTGCAGCATGCAGCAGCGGGGTGGCTGCCCATTGGCAAGGGCCTCACAGTGGGGGGGGGCACCATGACCATCGCGTACGAGCATGTGCGCAACGTGCTCGTGCGCGTGGGGGTGCGCGCGCACCTGGGCCATGCGGGGGGACGGGGGGAGGGGGGAGCGCGGGGGTCCTAGTGCTGCTGACGCCGCTGGTAGTTCTGGTGGTGCTTCTGATGCTGATGGTGGTGGTGATGGTGGTGCTGCTGCTGGGGCTGCTGCTGCTGGTTCTGCTGGTGCAGGAGAGTCATCTGCTGACGGGCGTTTGTTCCAGCGCCCATCCATGCTGCTGTCCGCTCACATTGACACTGTCTTCACTGGGTGAGACGAGACCTTCACCACCACACACCACCACATGCCTTGCGCCATTTGGGGCGTCTCAAAAAGGTTTGTTTCAGCGCTCATCCATGCTAGTGTCCGCTCACATTGACACTGTCTTTACTGGGTGAGGAACACACCTGCTGCACTCACACACCACCCGCCCCTTGCACCGCACACCGCTTTTGAGAATTCTCAAAAGCGATTGCATCCATTGCCTCCGCTGCCTCCTCTTCTTCTTCGTCTTCTTCTCTGGAACTCATCCGCACACCCACCCTCCCACTTCCCGTCTCTACTCCTCCGCTCCGCTTGCCTTCCTCCCTCAACCGCGCTTACCCCCCCTTTCCCCTTCTCCCTCTCCCTCTCCCTCTTCACCACTGCCTCTCCCATCCCCCACACTCCCCCCCTATCGCTCTCCCTTCCCCCACACTGCTGCTGCGCCCCACCAGCCCTGGAGTGGGCGACTGCAGCAGCAACGTGGCGGTGATGCTGGAGCTCATTCGCAACGTGCTGCATGCCCTCGCACGCTCCCCTGCCACCGGGGAGGAGGAGGGCGGTGCAGAACGACGTGGTGTTTGTGCTCAACAGCGGCGAGGAGGAGGGGCTTGTTGGCGCCCACGCCTTCATCGCTCAGGTGCTTGCCTTGCCTTGCCTTGGCTTGGGGTGGCATGCATGGAATGGAAGGACGGAGTGGGGGACGGATGGAGGCTGGGTTGGGTGGTTAGACGGGACAGACAAACAGGCAGTCTGGCATGGAAGCGGATCTGTGCCTGCTTCTCTTCCGCCTCTTCGCTCCCCACTCCGTCCATTTACTCCCTCACCACCCCCACCACCCCTGTCAGAATTCTGAGTTAAACACTTAAGAAATCCTGACAGGGGGGTGTAGTGAGGTTGCTGGGAGGAATCAGTGTACATTTGTAAATACGCGAAGGACTCTACAGCGAGGAACAGCAACGGCAGTGGCGAAGCAGGGCGGGCACTCGGCAGGGGGAGGGCACCGAGAGTTCAAGGGGTAATCTGGGCGGCGGGATGAGCTGGAGGAAGGCGTGCTGGCAGTATTGGCAACAGATGACGTGTGCGTGGGGGTGAGGGGATGGGGTGTGGTGTGCATGTGTGTGGTTTATTTCTTTTGCAGACACCGAGTCCAGGTGCAAGCTGGAAGGCAGTGACGCCAGCTGGAGGCAGGAAAGATTGCAAAGTGGTTGGCTAGCTAGGAGGTAGCGTAAGGTGTGATCCTGGGCCATGGGACTGCCACTGTGTGTATGTTTTCGTGAATACTGTAATTTCGTCCAAGATAAGCAGTTGTAGCGAAGCCATGACCACAGTCAGAATGGATAGGAAGGTTTTCCGACCACCCTCACCACCCCCACCACCCCCACCACCCCCACCACCCCCACCACCCTCACCACCCCCACCACCCCTACCATCCATCCGACCTCGCCCGCCCACACGCAGCACCCCTGGGCGCACTCAGTGCGGGCGTTTATTGACCTCGAGGCCATGGGGATTGGAGGGCCCTCCTCTGTCTTCCAGGTATCTACTCCCCATGCTCTCCTCCTCCTTCATTTTCTGGTTTTCTTCTCCGTCCTTTTAGCCTCTGTCTCCTTCCTCCTGCCTTTCATGCCCCTGCTTCTCGCATCCACATCCTGCGTGTGCTGCTCCCATCCTTCCCTCGCACCATCTCGTTCTCATCTTCCCGGCCCCACCAATATCCTCTTTACCTAATCCCTAACCCTAGTCTCCCTTCCCTTTCGCCGCCCTCCCTCCCCCTCCCTCCCCCTCCCGTTCGCCCCCCTTCCTTTTCCACCACTCATCGTTATCTCACCCCTCTCCACCCGTCTCCAACCCTCTCCACCCTGCATGCCTAACCCAGGCGGGTCCATCGGCATGGCTACTGCGCATGTTCCAAGCATCTGCCCCTCGCCCGCTCGCCATTGTGTTCGCTCAGGTGCCTCTTCCTGCTCTGATCCCTCACCCGCCTCTCTTGCACTGCTTGTGTTTCTTACCCGATTCTACTCTCGTTTCTCAGATAAACTCATCGCATCATTCCTTCCCACGCGCCTTCCAAATATGCGCTGTTGCAATCACCTCTTGTGCTCGCCGTGACTGTACCACCTTTATCCCTACTCCCTCGCCGTTTGCCCCTCCCACCCATACTGCCCCTCCATCCCTCCGTCCCTCCCCTCCTGCCGCTCCCACTTTCCTCCTTTGAATCCCCTCCGTACGTCTTACACGTCTACAAGCCCTCTTGCATTTCCTGCCCTTTCTTCTCCTCATCATCACTCCTCCTCCCTCCTCCCCTCCGCGCTCCTCCCTTCGCCCATCAGGACATCTTCCGCAGTGGGCTGTTGAACGCGGGCACTGACTTTGCGGTGTATCAGGCCAAGGGGGGGCTGTCTGGGCTCGACTTTGTGTTCATGAAGAACAGTGCCGTCTACCACACCAAGGTGAATGGGTTTTGGTAGAGACCTCCTTCTGAATTCTCAAAAGGAACAGCAAGGTGGATGGGTTCTTCTGAGCCGTCTCAAAACCGGGCCAAGGGGGGGCTGTCTGGGCTCGACTTTGTGTTCATGAAGAACAGTGCTGTCTACCACACCAAGGTGGGTGGACGCCGACGGTCTGCTTCTACACTCGCTCACCTGCCTTTTGTTTTCTCTCACCTGGCAAACCGTTTCTTCCACCTGCCTTTCGTTCTCTCAGCTGGCGGCACTTTTGTTTTACCTTCTTTTTTTACCCTTTTTTTTTGGGCGGGGGGAGAAGCTCAGTTTGCTTGCTCCTCCTATATCTTCCACCCATCTCGCAAACCCCTCCCCTCTTCCCACCTCCTCCTCCTCCCGCCACCAGTTTGACGCTCTCCCCCTGCTGGAACCGGGCTCCCTGCAGCATCTGGGCGACAACCTCCTGCCCTTCCTGCTTCTATCTCTCAAACCCCTCCCCTCTCCCCCTCACCTCCCCCCGTCCTCCCCCCTCCCACCAGTTCGACGCTCTCCCCCTGCTGGAACCGGGCTCCCTGCAGCATCTGGGCGACAACCTGCTGCCCTTCCTGCTTGCCATCGCCCGCTCCCCCCTGCTCGCCCTGCAGCCCTGCCACCCCGCTCCCTGGCACCAGGGGGGAGGGCGCGCAGACGGGCTTGGGGCTGCGAGAGATGGGGGGAAGGGAAGGGAGAGGGGCGAGAAAGGAGTGGAAGGAGGAGGTGGTGGAGGTGAAGGGGGGGCGGTGAAGTTCAAGCCGAGTGAGGCGATCTTCATGGATTTGATGGTGGGTGTTCTTGCTGCTCCTGCTGCTGCTGCTGCTGCTGGTGCTGGCTGTATGTGTGGTGGTTGTGTGGGTTAGTGTTTGGTGGGGTACAAGCATATTTGTTGCGATCCGACATACACCATGCCGTGTCTTCTTTAGTCTTTTCGCCCTCCAGTGAATCCTGTTCACGTCCCTCTCTTCCATTATTTACCCTTCACATATTTCCCCTTCCTCCCCTCCCTCTTCCTCCCCAATCCCGTTCTTCCTCCCCAACCCCATTCTTCCTCCCCAACCCCATTCTTCCTCCCCAACCCCATTCTTCCTCCCCAACCCCATTCTTCCTCCCCAACCCCATTCTTCCTCCCCAACCCCATTCTTCCTCCCCAACCCCATTCTTCCTCCCCAACCCCATTCTTCCTCCCCAAACCCATTCTTCCTCCCCAACCCCATTCTTCCTCCCCAACCCCATTCTTCCTCCCCAACCCCATTCTTCCTCCCCAACCCCATTCTTCCTCCCCAACCCCATTCTTCCTCCCCAACCCCATTCTTCCTCCCCAACCCCATTCTTCCTCCCCAACCCCATTCTTCCTCCCCAACCCCATTCTTCCTCCCCAACCCCATTCTTCCTCCCCAACCCCATTCTTCCTCCCCAACCCCATTCTTCCTCCCCAACCCCATTCTTCCTCCCCAACCCCATTCTTCCTCCCCAACCCCATTCTTCCTCCCCAACCCCATTCTTCCTCCCCAACCCCATTCTTCCTCCCCAACCTTGCTCCCCCTTGCACACATCCTCTCCCTCTCTCCCACTTTTCCTCTCCATTCCAGGCACGGCATCTGCTTGTCATCCCCACCACCACTGCAACCTTCGCCTACCGCATCCTCCTCTCCCTCACCTTCCTCCTCCTCGCCCCCTCCATCCTCTCCTCCCCTCTCACCTTCCTCGTCTCCCTCGTCTCCCTCCTCCTCACCCTCCTCCACTCCCTCCTCCTCCCGCTCTCCGTCGCATTCCTCCTCCCACTACTCTTCCCCTCCACCCCGACCCCCTTCCTCTCCCTCCCGCTCCTCCTCCTCCCGCTCTTCGCTGCACCAGCAGCAGCAGGCGCCCTTCTTGGCTCCTCCTTAGGCAGAATTCTCCTGCTGAACTGGCTAGGCCGGGCTAACACAGGCAGAAACAGCAGGGAGATGAGAGAGGGGGGAACGGAGGAGGCAGGGAGGAGGGAGAGGAATTTCATGCACTCTCTTGCACCTGACACCATCCCTTCCCACCCCTCTTCCTCCCCTCCCCACCCCCGCGCCCCCTCCCTCCACACCTCTTCTGCCTGCTTCTTTTGCTTGTCGCTCACCTCCTCTCCCTCTCCACTGCAACACTTCCTATTCCTCCTCTCCCGCCTCCCACTGGCTCTCTTCCTCCTCCCTGCAGGGGCGTCTCTCCTTCTGTGCCCTGCCCTTGTGCTCGTCTGCGGTGTCTCTATCGCATGCCTCTCCGCGTACCAACCACCTGCGTTCACCGCACACAACCCAAGGGCCGTACTGGTGAGCCTCTCTCCCACCGCTCCCTAACGCGTGCATACATTGAATCGGAACGCCTTGTTAAAATATATATTGTGTAGCATGCCAACACATGTGACTGTACACCAATTGTGGTGTACAGTTGGGTTGGGGCTACACCCAACTTTGGGTGTAGTCTTGCACTTTGGGGTGCCAATCCACCCAATTGTGGTGGAGCCCCCAAATGCAACCCTCTTGACTTGTGGGTACCTCACTTCCCACAATTGAGGTTACCCCAAGCCAAGTGGGCCTAGGGTTGCCTCACTTCTACAAAGTGTGGGCAACCCAACCCACTTGACCTATGGTTCCCTCACTTCCCCAAGTGAGGTCAACCCAACCTATGGTCACTTTCATCCTTCCCTTCCAACCTTCCCTTCCAACTATGTATGCTAGGTTGTTCCTCTAATCAAATTACTTGTTCAATTCACAATCTTCACATGGTATAGAGCTAGTTGTTCCTAAGCCTTTTCTCTCCCTCCCTCAAAGTTTTTTCTTCCCCATGGGCCCACCCCACAGCCACAAACCCCCTACGTGTGGCTCAACCTAGCATCTCCTTGGCACGACCTACGTCGTCGCCGCCCTCCCCTCCCACCGCCGCGAGTGCATCACCGCCCCCCGTCGCCGCGACACACCGTCGCTGCCCCCCCCCCCCCCCCTCCCCCTTTTTTCCGCCGCCGCGCCTTCTCTGGCGCCGCCTGCACATCCCGCCGCGACGCCTCGTCGCCGCCTCCTCCTCCCCCTGCCGCGACCCCCCGTCGCCGTCTCCCTCCCGCCGCCGCGCCTACTTCGGCGTCGCCCGCGCATCCCTCCGCCGCGACGCCCCGTCGTCGCCTGCCCCTCCCGCTGCCGCGACGTCGCGTCGCCGCCTCCCCCCACCGCCGCCGCGCCTTCCTCGGCGCCGCCTGCGCATCCCGCCCCGCGACGCCCCGTCGCCGCGACTTCGCGTCGCCGCCTGCACTCCCCATCGCCGCGACCCCCCGTCGCCGCCTACGCATCCCGCCGCCGCGACCCGCTCGTCGCCGCCTGCACGATCCGCCGCCGCGACTTCGCGTCGTCGCCTGCACGACCCGCCGCCGCGACTTCGCGTCGCAGCCTGCACGACCCGCCGCCGCGACTTCGCGTCGCCGCCTGCGCATCCCGCCGCCGCGACCTTCTCGTCGCCGCCTGCACCCCTTGCCGCCGCGACCTTCTCGTCGCCGCCTGCACCCCTTGCCGCCGCGACCTTCTCGTTGCCGCCTGCACCCCTTGCCCGCGCGACCTCCTGCCGCGACCTGCTCGTCGCCGCCCGCACATCCCGTCGCCGCGACCTAACAATCGCCGCCCCCGCATCCTACCGCCGCGACCTGCTCGTCGCCGCCCGCGCATCCCGCCGCCGCGCCTTCCTCGTCGCCGCCCGCGCATCCCACCGCCGCGCCTTCCCCGTCGCCGCCCGCGCATCCCTCCGCCGCGCCCTCCTCGTCGCCGCTCGCTCATTCCGCCGCCACGATTCCCTCGTCGCCACCCGCGCATCTCGCCGCCGAACGTTCCTCGTAGCAGCCGCCTCATCCCGCAGCAGCAGCGTCATTGGCAGCAACAGCTTCGCCCACAGCTACACCTGCGTTCTCCCTCCCCCTCCCCCTTTCCTCCTCCTCTCCTCCCACGCAGCAGCAGCCGGGACAGCTCAGCAGCCACAGCAGCAACAGCGGCAGCAGCGGCAGCATCAGGAGCAGCGATAGCAGCGGCAGCAGCTGCATCCACCATCTTCCTCCCCCTCCTCCCCTCCCCCCCCCCCCTCCTCCCTCTCAGCAGCAGCAGCGGCAGCAGCGGCAGCAGCGGCAGCAGCGGCAGCAGCGGCAGCAGCGGCAGCAGCGGCAGCAGCGGCAGCAGCAGCAGCAGCCGGAGAAGAACTCCACTCCCCGCAGCAGCACCCCCCCCCCCCCCCCTCCCCCCCCCCCCCCCCCCTCCCCCCTCCCCTCCTCCCTCTCGGCTGCCGCGGGTCCACCCGCCGTCGCCCTCCCACTTGACCGCCGCGGGTCCACCCGCCGCCGTCCACCTCGAGGCCGCCGCGGGTCCACCCGCCGTCGCCCCTCATGGCTACCACTCCTCCCCCTCTCCCCCCTCCCATTGACGCCTCCTCCGTCGACAAGCTTCAGCTTGCCGCGGACCGCTCGGCGATCAACTGGCATTCCTTCGTCGGGAGCATCCGCCGTGTTCTCCAAGATGCATTCGTCGGACCCTACTGCGTCCTTGACGTCCTCCTCCGCCGCCCGCAAGCCCTCCAGCCCACGGCACCCAATCACCCCGGCGAACCCCCTCCACCCCCCATTCCTCCTGGTCCTCCTCCTCCTGAACCCACCTTGGAGATCGCCACTTCCCCAGCGCTCCAAGATGCCGCCGATGCCGCATTTCTCCAAAATCGCCGCGAATACCTCATCCGCAAGGCGGAGCATGAGGTTGCGGTACATAACCACGACTTCGCGGTAGCGGAACGCGCCAATCGCCTGGCGCTCCTTGATGAGTACAATACGGCCATGGCGGACTACCTCCCTCGGAGCATCGCATGGGCCACTGCTGACAACCGCGCCTGCACCATCCTCCTCGGCGCACTCCCTGATACCCTCATGCGCCGTTTCCAAGCTCGCGAGATGCGCGCCTCCCTCATCTGGGCCGAGCTCCAGGCCATGTTCGAGCGTCGCGACATCAGCTCCGTCGGCGCCCTGTTCCAGGAGTACTTCTCCATCACCCTCGCCACTTGTGATGGCGCAGTTGACTACGTGGGGCGCATGCAGGAGGTCGCTGATCGCCTTGCGGCACGCCAAGCTGCCCTCCCCGAGCCCCTGCAAATCCACCGCCTCCTCTACAACCTCACCCCGGACTACGAGTCCCGCCTCCATGCCTTCACTGAGGCCAACCCCATGGCCGGCCTCGACGACGAGGTCCAGTGGATCATTGACACGGAGGTCAAGCTCCGCACCCCCGTTGTCAACCTTACCACCCCTCAGTCCTCCTCCTCCACCTCCCTCAACGCTACGCAGCCGTGCAACCAGGGTGGTCGCAGCGGCGGCGGCGGAGGCCGTGGAGCGGGTGGCGGTGGTGGTGGTGGAGGCCGTGGTGGTGGCGGTGGTGGTAGTGGTGGCCGTGGTGGCCGTGGTGGCGGTGGTGGTGGTGCTGGCAGCGCCCCTGCTGGAGGTGCTGTGACTCGAGGCGGACGCCCTGGCACTCTCCCCCCATGCACATATGTGCGTCGCCATGGTCCCCATGCAGGTACCCCTTGCGGCCAGACCAACCATCCCCCCACCACATGCTTTAAGGCACTCGACGACGCCTGGTTTGATCGCGGCAACACTGGCACCCCTCCTCGCTGGAACTCAGTCACACCTCGCCCCTCCTTAGTGGACATTCAAACCCTCCCCTCTTTCCTTCCTGCTCACCTCCGCATGGTTACCCCCTCCCCACCCTCACAGCTGCAGCAGTTTCAGCAGCACCAGCAGCAGCAGCACCTGTACTTCCACCAGCAGCAGCAGCAGCCGCAGTTTCTCCAGCCCCAGCAGCCGCCGCCGCCGCAGTTCTTCCAGCCACCGCCGCAGCAGCAGCAGCAGTTCCTTCCCCCACCCTGGCAGCAGCAGCCACTCACCTTCGGCACAGCGGCCATGGCCGCTCATACCTCCCTTCCTCCTCCTCCCCCCTGGGGTTCCCTCCCCTCTGCCCCCCCCAGTGTTCCCGACACTTCTGGTAGTTTCCTTGGTAATATCAGTGTTGCACCGTCCGTCGCTGCCATGTATCCCTCTGCTATCAATGAGACTTCGTTTCAGTACCCCGTCCCACCCCCTCCTCCCTCTTCTCCCACCCTGGACTTTGTCCTTGACAGTGGAGCCACTGAAACCGCACTGAAAGACGCTGGCACTCTCACCCCACTACCACTTCCCACTCAGGTTCATGGGGCTGATTCCAGCTTTTCCATTCCATGCACTCACCTCTCCACCCTCCCTTGCACTGCCTTCCCCTCCGGTAAGGTCACAGGTCTCCACATCCCCACTCTCCGCAACAACCTCCTCTCCCACCGTGAGCTCCAAGGTGTTGGTATCACTGCCATTTACCCCGGTTATGCCAATTACTGTGATCTCTACCAAACCTCCTCCGGTCGCTTCCTTCTCCGCATTCCGCTTTGCCCCCGCACTCGCCTCTACACACTCCGCACGCCTCGCCCATCCTTCTGCCACGTCACCACTCGTTCCGGTGCTTCCACCGGTCCACCTCCTCCTCCTTTACTTCCCCCTTCCCCTCCCCCTCAAGTATCCTCTTCTCCCTCCCCACCATCCTCCTCCTCCCCTCCCGTTCCTTCCATCACCCCATCTCCCTCCTCCTCCACTACCCTCTCCCACCCTGCTGTCCTCTTACACCACAGACTCGGCCATCCCAACTTCACCGCCCTTCGCACCACAGTCACCTCTCGCCTCCTCCGCAGCCTTCCTCCTGTTTTACCTCCCCTCCCCTCCTCCCCCTCTCCCCCATGCCCTTCATGCATTCACGGCAAGCTCAAACAGTCCCCCCACCACAGTCATCCCACCTTCGCCGCCGCCCCCATTGACCTTGTGCACATGGACCTCTGGGGCCCCTATCCCATCCGCTCCCGCCAGGGGCATCGGTACATGCTCGTCCTCGTTGACGACCACAGCCAGTACTCCACCACCTTCTTCCTTCACACGAAAGACCAGGTGCCGGCAGTGGTCATCAACTGGGCCGAACAGTGCCGCAATCACTTCAAACGCCCCATCGGCCGCCTTCACTCTGACGGTGGGGGTGAGTTCATCAATAACACCCTTGCCACATACTGCAACACCTACGGCATCCACCAGACCTCCACCCTTCCCCACTCCCCTCAGCAGAACGGCATTGCTGAGAGCCGCATTCGTGAGATCACCAAGATAGCTCGCTGTCTCATTGCTCATGCCTCCACCCCTCCTTCCCTCTGGAGCTATGCCCTCCTCCACGCCGCTCTTCTCCTTAATCTCCGCTCCCACCCTCAGCATCCTTCCTCCTCCCCTACAGAGCTTTGGTCCAACGCCAAACCCGACGCTGCCGGCCTTCGCGTTTGGGGCTGCAAGGCCTTCGTTCTCATCCCACCCGCCGATCGCTCCCGCGCCGCTGGCAAGCTTGCTCCTCGCGTTTACCTTGGGCACAATCGCGACTCCTCAGGCTACCTCTTCCTCCACCCTCCCACCAATCGCCTCATCCGCAGCGGCGACGTCGTCTTCGACGAATCCGTCCCCTATTACTCCACTCCTCCCCCTGATCCTTTCCCTCCTCCCACTCGTCCCCTTGCTTGGACCGACACCGTCCTCCCGCCCCTTCTCCCTCCAGCCCCTCTCCTCCCACCCGTCGCAGCTCCGCTCCCGCCCTCCTCCTCCGCCGATGTCTACGACCCTGCCGCACCCGCTTCCCCCGCTCACTCGGCCGCACCCCCTCCCCCCCCTCCCTCCTCCTCTCCCTCTCCCTCCTTCCAGCAGCCGGATCAGCAGCAGCAGCAGCAGCCGCAGCAGCAACAGCAGCAGCAGCAGCAGCCGGGACAGCAGCCGGGGCAGCAGCAGCAGCAGCAGCCGGGCCAGCAGCAGCAGCAGCAGCCGGGCCAGCAGCAGCAGCAGCAGCGGCAGCCGGGACAGCAGCAGCAGCAGCAGCAGCAGCAGCGGCAGCAGCAGCAGCAGCAGCCTCAGCAGCCTCAGCAGCCGCAGCACCAGCACGGTCAGCCGCAGCCGCAGCAACAAGGGCAGCAGCTTCCGCAGCACCAGCAGCAGCAGCGGCGTCGTGCCACTTCCCGTTCCTCCCCCTTCCTCCTCCCTTACATCCATACCCGCTCTGTGGACAAAATCCTTGGGGCTCCTCCTCCTGCCTCCATTCAGCTCCTTGAGGACTCCCATGAGGAGTTTCTTAACATTCGGGAGCACACTCCATTCCTTGCCGCCCTCTACCTTGACTTCCTGGGCTTTCCTGTCCTTGGCGCCACTACTACCCCCACCATCTTCACTCCCTCCACCTTCCAGGAAGCCATCACCTGCCCTGATGCGGATAAATGGATAGCAGCGATCTTCCTGGAGTGTGAGGCTTTCATTCGCAACGACTCCTTTGTCGATGTCCCCCTCCCTGCTGGCGCTAATCTCGTTGACGGCAAATGGGTCTTTCGGGTGAAGCAGCTGCCGGGCGAGGAACCAGTGTACAAGGCCCGCTACTGCGCCAAGGGGTTCACGCAGACTTGGGCTGAGGACTACTGGTTCACCTACGCCCCCACCGCCAAACCACCCACCCTTCGCGCCGCCATGGACATTGGTGCACGTGACGACATGGAAATCGACTCCATGGACGTCTCCAATGCGTTCCTGCAGGGCGACCTGCATGAGCGCATTTTCCTCCGGCGACCCCCCGGGTTCCACGCAGCCTTTCCTGAGAACACTGTCTGGCAGCTGCGTCGCCCCGTCTACGGCTTGAAGCAGGCACCGCGTGAGTGGCATGCGAAGCTGGCTGCCACCTTGGGGTCCCTCGGCTTCTCTGCTTCCCACTCCGACGCCAGCCTCTTCATCCGCTCCTCCCCCCGCCGCTTCTTCATTCTGGTATATGTCGACGACATGATCCTGCTCTCTGACACCAAGGCCGACATGGGGCAGGTGAAGCTGTCCCTGCAGCAGCGGCTCAAGTGCAAAGACCTTGGCGCCCTCACTCACTACCTCGGCATGACCATCACGCGCAACCGCCCTGCTCGCACAATCACCCTCTCCCAGTCCCATTACATCGGCCAGGTCTTGGAGAAGTTCGACATGGCGCAAGCCAAGCCTGTTTCCACCCCGCTCCCCTTCGGTCACCAACTCGCTCCACCCACCTCCCCCACCTCCTCCCCCCACCCCTATGCCGAGCTCGTTGGGTCCTTGATGTACGCAATGATGTGCACCCGCCCCGACCTCGCCTACCCCATCAGCGTGCTCGCTCGCTTTGTCGGCACCGGTCGTCACTCTGAGGAGCACTGGAAAGCTGCCAAGCGGGTCCTCCGCTACCTTCGCGGGACCAGGGACCTTGCCCTCACCCTCGGCGGCCCTTCCCGTCCCCTTCTCTCGGGCTTCAGTGACTCCTCATGGGCTGACACGCAGCCGGACCGCCGCTCCTCCCAGGGCTACGGCTTCACCCTTGGCAGCGGCCTCATCAGCTGGCGCTCCACCCGCTCCTCCGCCATCTCTCTCTCCACCTGCGAAGCCGAGCTCTACGCTGGCACCATGGCCGCCCAGGAGTCGCGCTGGCTCTGCTTCCTTCTTGCGGAGCTTGGCGCCCCCCAGACGTGCCCCACTCTCTGGTGCGACAACGCCAGCACCATCCATCTCACTCAGGACCCCGTCTATCACGCCCGCTCCAAGCACATCGAACTCCGCTACTTCTTCGTTCGCGAGCTCGTCCAGAAGGGCCTCATTGCCGTTCGCAAGATTGCAACCGAGGCCAACTTGGCCGACATCTTCACTAAGGCCCTCCTTCGCCCCGCGCACTCTGCCTTCCTCCGCCTCATTGGCCTTGCTCGCCCGGGCGCCCCTTGATTCAGGGGTTGTTCTCTTCTTGTGTTAGCATGCTAAGGGTTTGTGTTAAAATATATATTGTGTAGCATGCCAACACATGTGACTGTACACCAATTGTGGTGTACAGTTGGGTTGGGACTACACCCAACTTTGGGTGTAGTCTTGCACTTTGGGGTGCCAATCCACCCAATTGTGGTGGAGCCCCCAAATGCAACCCTCTTGACTTGTGGGTACCTCACTTCCCACAATTGAGGTTACCCCAAGCCAAGTGGGCCTAGGGTTGCCTCACTTCTACAAAGTGTGGGCAACCCAACCCACTTGACCTATGGTTCCCTCACTTCCCCAAGTGGGGTCAACCCAACCTATGGTCACTTTCATCCTTCCCTTCCAACCTTCCCTTCCAACTATGTATGCTAGGTTGTTCCTCTAATCTAATTACTTGTTCAATTCACAATCTTCACACGCCTCACATCTCCTCCTGTTGCATCATATCTCATTACATCACACGCTTGTCATGTCAAATCACATGCCATGACACCACATCACGTCATTTCGCATGAGCTGCCATCGCATTGCATCCCATTGCATGCATCCCTGACCCTTTTCATCTCCGCACTGCGATGCATCGCACTGCACTGCACTGCACTGCACTGCACTCCTTCCATGCCCCTTCCTTGGACACCCCAGCTTCTGGACACGTGTCAGGCTGCCACTCGCTGCACCAGCAACAACTCCCATAACAGTGACAGCAGCAGCAGCAGCGGCGGCGGCGGCGCCGGCAGCAGCAGCAGTATCAACGGCGGCGGCGGCGGCATTGGCACTGGCACCAGCACTGACAGTGTCAGCAGCAGTGCGAGTGGCAGCGTGTGGCAGTGGCTGGACTTCGGCGGTGTTTTCAGAGTGAAGTCTGGGTGCTATGGCGACAGGCGAGGTGTGGGAAGGGGGCTTGGGAAGGGGCGTGGAAAGGAGCAAGAGAAGGACCACCACCCTGCCTCCATTGCTCTCAGTCTCCCTCTTTCTGGCTCTATCACCAACGCCATGTGCAGCGGCAGCAGTGCAGAGTCTGGGTGTCGTTGCCAAGAGACGGCTGACATGCATGGAGCAACCACTATCAGTGCCAGCACTGGTAAGGTGGGGACGGGAGGTGAGGGGGAGAGAGGGGTGCATTTGGAACCAGAGCAGCAGGGCGGACAAAGGAAGCAGGGCGGGCAGCAGGATCAGGAGCAGGAGCAGCTACGGTGCCTGGCTGTGTGTGCAGTTTGCAGCGACTCCGGGTGGTTGGAGCAGAAGGGGGGAAAGGGACACAGGGCAGCCCAAGGTGATGCGAGGCGATGGAGGAAGAAGGGGACCGGCCTGGCAGCTCTATCGGCAGCGATGGCAGCAGCGGTGCGAGGGAGGGAGTGGATGTGCAGTCTGACACATCTCAGCTGGCCTCTCCTGCAAGTCCGCATCCCTCGGTGCATGTGGTGCTGCTTTCCGCGCGCCCCATCGTGCGCCGCTTCCATGTGGCCATCAACCACTCGCGTGTAGCTGCTTTCTCCCTCTGGCGCCCCACGTCTCCTCAGAACCATGGTACGCGGTTCCGGCTCCTGTTTCTCCCCGTGGCCTCTTTCGCACACCAACAGTCTGTTCTTGAGGCTCGTCTCGCGTATTCATGCCTCGTAAGAACCACGAAACGGTTCATCTGCATAGTTTTTTCTGAATGCGAGCAGCGTGTTTTGTGAGGCACCTCAGATATCTATGATGCTTCAGGATTCTGGTATGGTTGCTCTTGATGTCTCCTTTAGATCCAGAGCAGTGTTGGTGGTTGTTTCCAGTCACCAGGGAGGGACACAGCTGCGTACCTGGGAGAGACGTGATATTCACCACTTTCTTATTGCATTCCAATGCTTCGCTTTGCTTCAATGGCTGTCCCAGTCTTGCTGTGTTGCACGTGTACTCATCCCACCAATTGTCAGTCCTGCTCCTCGTAATCCCCCTCACTGCAACTCTGTTCCCTCACTTTCTTCCTTTGTTTGAAACCCTTTCTCCACCCTAAGCAGCACTGCTTCCTCTTGTGCCCACACGGCACCTCTCGCTTTCAACCAATTCCACCCCTCTTCACCACCTCACATGGAAAGCCGGCTTGCCTCTGCAGCAGCAGCAGCAGCAGCCTGGAAAGAGCCATGATGCTGGCCACACAGTTCCTGCAAGCGGCGGTGCTAGCGGTGGTGAGGGAGTTAGTCATTCGAAGCTACAACCCACTGCCCTGCTTGTGCTCCACATGCGGGAGAGAATTGTGGAAAAGACACGAGGCCAGGAGGATGAGGATTCCAGGAGGCCGCTGGTGACCGTGAGAGGGGACGTGAGCCTTGACGATGGGGATGCCCACGAAATGGAGAGCTTTGACGAGGGAGTTGAATTGAGCTTGAAAAGGGTTGTCGAATCTTTGCCGCCGTACGTGAGCGTGTTTGCCAAGAGCTCCTTTCCGTTCCCCTTCACATTTGTGCATAGGCTGTTCATTGACTAGTTCTAGTTTTGATATATTTTGACTTGTATCCAACACCAATTTTGGTGCATTAGTAATGAGGATGTACATTTTGCAGATACCGAATTCATGTCAGCCATCCTATTGTGTCACGTTCTGACGACCCTCCCTACAGCACCATCCCAAATTTCGATTCACAATTTCGCCCCTCCCTGTGGTTCACTGGGCACCACCCTGCTCTGATTTCCGGCATTCTCGAGGATACTCTTGCGACTTTCTTGGTGTCTTGGAACAACACAATCGCAGGGCGCAAGAAATCCTGTCATCAGACGGTGCTTCTATCTTCGAGTAGTAGCTCAAACATTCACCCTTGTGCATTAATCTACACGTGGGTGACTCCTGGGGCCATGGCTGCTGGAAACTCGTTGGTGACTCCTGTGTTGGAGAAGTTTGCGAAGCTGAAAGACGATGAAGGGGAATATATCACCATCAATTTCCTCGACATTTGTCGTCTGATCCTGCCTATCGTAGGTAATGCCATTTTTTTAATCGAATCTCGCACCCAGTCGCTCAAGCTGGTTGTGTTTTTTCGTTATGCTTCACCTTTCGTTCCACGTACTTCTCGGAGCTGTTCGTGCCAATTTGCTTAGGTCAGTCTTCGCTTACGTTGTTGCTTGACTGCAGATAAATTCGGGACTGCTATGTCTATCATCAAGACCGACATAAGTGGAAACATCACGGTTAGTGAGTTGTACATTGTAGAGGAGATGTTTTTTTGGAAATCTTGTTGACTTGTGTGCTGTCTGTTGTGGAGGTGGGCCCAAACACCACCGATGAGCTGACGCTAGCACTCCCTACTTGCAAGCCGTTGTCACCTTATGCACCGTGGACAGCCTTTGTGCAATCTATGCATTCCACATGTTGCAAAGTCTCCTTAGCCCACGTGCTTTTGTTTACATTCCACCTTATTTCGTTGTCAATCAATATATCCAGCACTCGTTATAACGACATTGTCATTTTGTTTGTTTTTTTCGTCCTATGCAGCGGTTGCAAAAGGCCTATGATGGTGATAAGGAGAGCTACATCAGGTTGTACGAGTTGGTTCGGAAGGAGGTCGCCACAGGCAAGCCCTTGGACCCAAACGGGAATACAAGTGGACTTTTTTGGCTTACACGGTAAAGATATTATCTCATGCACCATGCATACGTCATGTGAAAGTCAACCTGGGCTCGCATGTTCAAGCACTCGTTTGCTGGCTCTATGTCCTACCCTGTGCAGTGCTCTTGACTTCGTGATACACATGGTGGATGGGCTGGAGCAACATACAGACTGGTCTGTGTCGCACGCTGCTACTGTTGCATATGAGACACGTTTAAAGAAGTATCATGGCTGGATAACTCAACAGGCTTTTGCAGTAAGTCCTCTCGATGACACCAAGTCGTTATTTCTGGGTTTGCCCTCTTCAGGTTTACTCACGACCAGCATATGTTTTCTTCGAATAGCAGATAATGCGTAATTGCTAATATTTCCTGCACTGTTGCCCATCCAGGTTGTGTTGAAGTTCTGCCCCGAGCGCTCGTACTTCTATAAACAGCTGGGTGATGACAGTGTCCATGGGGAGCTTCAGGAGCTAGTAGCCAAGTTCGAGCCCATCTGCACAGAGCTCGACGAGTTTCTGGTACGTGGCTGTCTGAACGATCTACTACACACTCTCCTTGTGCAGGGCCTGCGGCTGGTACTTCTCGCTTCAAAAGTTCTCACCACCTTGTTGTGAACCTCCTCCATTGTCTGGGGCCCTTTGCCTTATCTGTGTCCTTGCAGGCAGCAAATGGAGCAGGCTCTCTTGTGGCCAAATAATTGCTATATTTGTCCGTGCACTTCCCAGAATGGCTACTTTGTGAGATTTGATGGCTCTACAATGAGTCTACGTTGAAACTAGTGGTTGGAGGAGAGACTGTTCTTGTTAAAGTTTATTGTACATTGTCTTCCGCTGTCAGCGCAGTTATACTCGTTAGGGTGAAAAAGGGACGGACTGTCACACTACAGTCATCCTCCTTTGCGGGGTGCAGCTGGATTGGTGCTTGCTGGCGCCACGCCACACACACCACCAATGCCGCGGCGGCCTCCAGCTCAGCCGGTCACAGGGGAGGGGGACCAGTGTTGCGAATTTCCTTCTGCCACTTCTGTCCTGTGCTTTGGTTGGGGGGGATCTTGGAGGGAAACAGTGCTGGAGCCTGGTGGAGGCTGACCCAGCTTCGTCGTTTCTTTTTATTGGTCCGAAGGTGGAGGTTCCGAGCGATGTGGAAGCGCATCCAATCCAAACACTGGGAAGCGAGGCTGTGGGAAGGGTGCGGGGAGGGGAGTTGGTGGGTGATTGGGGATGGGAGGTGGGGGGCGCACGCTGTCCGCCCGCCACCATTGTCCCGCCCACCGGCCCAACTCACTCACCCCATCCGTACGAACAGGGAAATAGGAGATGGCGCAAAGTTCCGATCCGAAGCACCAACATTCCCCTCCCCTCACATCACATCCCACCTACTCAATACATGTACAACTCGTGTTCATCGAAAGGTTTAGCCCACGGTTTCCATCCATCTGTTATGCAACTCGGTTGACCAATCAGCGCGCCGAGATTGTTCTCCCAAAGCCGAACCAACCACGTCACATGTGGCGCGCCAGCCAGCACCACCATTGGAAACAGAAGTTGCGGCATGGAAGGGCAGAGAGACGAGAGAGTCTTGAATATTGATTCGTTGTCACAGAGACAGCACACGCTTTCACGTGGTGATTCGTTGTGAGCATAGGCTGAAGCTGGACTTGAATCAGCTGCTCCCACGTTTTGCGTTCATTCACCCTTCCACAAACTCCGCGAGTCCTTCCGCTTATCACGCAAGTACTTCTTTGCGATAAGACAGAATTATTTCACCTCAATGGCGAAAGCTCAGCTTCTCGAGGCGCAGAACGCAGGAAGCAGCGCGATGGAAGCCGCGGCGCGCCCTGTGCAGTCGCATGCCGACTGCACATTCCGCTGCGCGCAATCCACGGAAACGCTCTGTCCTCGACATAACCACAGTAGGCAAACGGCAGCGCAGCATGGTCCCGAGGAGAGCGGCAATCGCGGCGAACACAGTGATTTCGATGATCGCGTGGACGACGACGATCGCGATGGTGGTGCCGAGGATGGATGCCCCGTCGCTCCGTGGGAAACGGAGCTGCGGCGGAATAGGGACGTTGAATACACCACGAATCTCTCGCAGTGGCTGCGCGAACGAGCTGATGTGGCAGAATCGTGGAAATGGAAGCACGTTTCCATGGTGCGACGCCTTCCCATGCCGTGTGAAGCCTAATACTAAATGGTAGTGCTGTCCATAAGGGCGGGTACGGGATCGGTGATTGTGATTCGCTGATTCAGCGTGATGCCCGCAGGCACGGTGATTGCAACTACCCTATGTTGTCCCACCTTATCTCCGCCCCCTGCTCTTTCCGTTTTCCTCCCCGCGCCTCCCCATTCGCCACATTCACCTCATTCCTCCCACTCATCCCACTCTTCTTATCGCGATTCTCCTACGCCGCCTGTTCCGCGCATCCACCATCGCGTGTGCAGCGAGACGCCTTGGAGTCGTCTGGTGCGGTGCGGCCAGTGCGCTTCTACCTCTCGCCTTCTCGAAACGAGCTGCACTGCACGTGGAGCTTCAGCCAGTGAGTCGCGCACACGTGGACTCTAAATTCCCTCCATGGGTCAACTGCCCCCGCGTTGTATCTCCCTCTCCCTCCTTCTGTCCCTCTGGCTTCTCTACCAACTCGCGTCTGATTCCTCTGTCCTTCCACTCCCTCCCCACCCTCTCACCTCGCTCTCCCTCCTTTTTCTCTCTCGCTCCTGCTACTCTGCTTGCCAGCTCATCTCTCGCCCTCACCTCCCAACCGCCTTCCCGTCTCCGCTCCCCTTCCTTTTCCCCGCGCGCGGGCGTGTGACGGGTATCGCGGGCGGCATGGCGGTGTCCTTGGCGGGGTGCGCGCGCGCGCGTGACTGCCTTGCGCAGGGTGATGGTGGGGCATCCGCAGGTCGTGCATGGCGGCGCCACTGCCTTCGCCTTTGACGAGACCTTTGGCGTGCTCTTCGGTCCGTGCTCCCTTGCCCGCTCTCGCTGCACTCGCCTGATCGTGCCTTCTCATACATACCATATGCACAACTTCTCGCCTCTCTTTTGCCTTTGTATCTTCGTTGTTTTCTTCTCGTCCTTGTCTTCCACCTCCCCTGGTCACGCCCCCTCCGCCCTCATAGACCTTTGTTCGTGTCCCCTTGTCTCCTTCGCACCCTTACCTCACTCCTGCTCTTTATCCTCTGATGGTTCTTGAAATGTCTCAAGCGCCTCCTCTGAAATACTCGCCACTCCCACCTGCTCCTTGTACCTTTCCCTCCTCTCCTCCCCTCCTCCCCTCCTCTCCTCCTCTCCTCTCCTCCTCGCCACCTCGTATCTCCGGCTCGTCTTCCTTCCCTCCTCGCCTCCTCTCCTCTTCTCCTCTCCCTCCCTCGCGTGACCTCGAATTCCTCCGCCCTTGCTTGCATGCTGCCATTCGGGGGAACTTGATTCTTGAGACATGTCAAAAATCCTCCGCCCGTGCATGCAGCCATTCGGGGGGACGTGGTCCGTGGCTTCACTTCCGGGTGCTGTTGAGAATTCTCAGAACCGCTTTGCGTGTTCCTCCGTGTGTGCGTGCAGCCATGCTAGGCGTGGGCCATGGCTTCACTGCCGGGTGTTGTTGATATCTTGAACAGCCGCTTTGCCTTCCTCCGAGTGTGCGTGCAATTTTCAGTCCACTCAAAGATATCTTTCCTCTGTGTGTGCGCGCAGCCATGCTGGGCGTGGGCCATGGCTTCACTGCCAACATCAGCGTCAACTACCGCAAGGTGAGGGCGATCGCTGGGGGGATGAGGGGGCGATGAGGGGGCGATAAGGAGGAGTTGGGGGGGAGATGAGCGGGAGATGAGGGGGGAGATGAGGGGGAGATGAGCGGAAGATGAGGGGGAGATGAAGGGGAGATGAGGGGGTAGATTAGGGGGGAGATGAGGGGGAGTTGGGGAGAAGATGAGGGAGGGTGGCGTCAAGAGAGAAGAGAACATGGGGGAAAGGAGGGAGATTCTTGGGCAAAGTAGGTAGAGAGGGAGAGCCCTGGATATTTTGTGTCAGTCCTCGGGTATTCGTCATCACCACACTTGTGTGCTGTGTTGCTGCTGCACCACCGCGTCGTGCGATAAGCTCTGCGTTCCTCTCCACCCCCCCACCCCTTCCGCCCCCCCTCTATTTCCTCTCCTCGCCCCCCTCCCACCTCCCCCTTCCTTTGTCTCTCTATCTTTCTCTCCATCCCTCCCCCCCAACCCCCCCACCTTCTCTCCCTCTCGTTGCACCAAGCCTCAACTGCCCTTTCGTTTGTTCTCGCGACTTCCCGTTTCCTTGCCTACCACAGCCTCTGCCAGCAGCGTTCAGTGCATGCATGCACGTGGCTCTAGACCGAGTGGAGGGAAGAAAGGTACGTGTGCAGGTGTAATTACATCACAACACAATCCTACCTCCCAGTTTCCGTGCCTTCTTTCCTCCACTCTTGGACCAATAATTATTGTCAAACACCATCCTCTCCCCCATTACCCCCGGCCTTATTCCAAAATCAACAAACCCCACCCCACCCCACCAACTCCCCCTCCCTGGACCTTCCCCCTCTGCCTTTCCCCTCTTCCACTCTCCCCATCTGCCAGTATTTCCTGTGTGGCTCCATTCGCAGCGACCCGAGTGAGGATGCGGAGATATTTTCCGAAGCCTCGGCTCTCTTTATCATTCCGCGCCCCCCTAGCTCTGATTTCCCTGCCACTGAGTAAAGTCAGAAGGTCGATGAAGAGCTCTAGGCCGGACAATAGCTTTCTGCTGCTGACCAATTTGCGACATGCATGAGACGTCTGAAAACTTCAGATGATGTTGATGCAGGTCCTTTGCTATTATTGCTACTATTACTACTGTTTAGGGTTTAGCAATTCGAACATAAAGCATTTGTGATGTACCATCTGGAGGGCTAAAAAGAGTCGAAAGGTTGTTCACACTGTTAAGGCTAGTGGGTAAGGATAAAAAAAGGTGTAGCGCTAGCTGCCCTGATAATCTTAGTCTTCTGAACGGTAAGGGTCGGTTCTCTGCCGGTGTCTTGTTGGCTGACATGAAACCGTGAAGGGTTCGGTCGGACTGGTGTGATGATTACATGGAGAGATCGGAGCTGTTGATAGTTTGTCAGAAGCACTTTCAGCCCCACCCCATATACTGTAGATCAAATCGTTTCAGACCAGGGCTTTCCTTTTGTTCTGGCAACCCTGTATTTTGCCGGGTGAATTTCGAGCGAACATTGATTTCAATGCATTTTGGCCCTGAAACCCGAAATCTGGCAGTGTGAGGCCAAGGAAACTCGTTTTTCGCAAAGTATTCCCTGACTACCTGTATTTTCGGGGTAATATAACTTGACAACGGAAGCCTTCAGGGTAATATATCCCGAAACATTGTCAGACAGCCTTTTGGCCGACCCCTCCTTCGAGCATTGATTTCGCAAGCGGTCGCTGGGAAACAAGGACTATGGGTAAGGTAACCCGTTTGAATGTTACTAGTATTGGCGCGAGTGGCAACCCTTGTTGCATATGTGTAGCAGCGGCAATCTGGTTAGCGGGTGATAGTCTCTGGCGACATGGACGAAAACGAAACTCTAATCGCGAAACGAATTAACGATGTGAAATCTACAGAAGCGGGCGAAAGTTACTGAATTTCGCACTGTACGAAATTCTTCCCCACACAGCACCCACACACATCGCACCCACACACAAAGAACCCCCTGGGGCACACAACCCTCATCTTGAACCTAAACCTTTCCCAAATAACTAACTTGTATTGGACTTGATTGACTTGGTTCGTCACATCTCCGCGGCGAGAAAATGGGGACCTACGCCGGAGACCAGACCGACGAACGCTCACAAAACTCTTGTCGAGGACAATGCTAACAACAGTCGTAGGTTGCGGGACCACCACCATATTGAGCAGCAGATTATTACAGCTCACGTGTAATTGGTGTTAGTGAGGTCATGTGGCATCGCCTGGCTTTCGTCGCGTGGTGTCTCGGTTGGCTGACGATCGCGGTGTGGACGGCGTGGTTCACGTGGCAAGCCGCAGAAAACCCGCGAAAGGAGGAATTATCCACGTGGTGCGCGGCTCGAACTCGATACGTGCACCAGCAATTCGTATCAAGCTCGAATCAAGTCGAGGTGGGTCGCCTTCTCGGCACGCGATTATGGCGGACGTCAACCAAAGCGTCGGGAACGACGAGTGCCTAGTACAAACTGCTAATGTTGTACAAGTCTCTCCCCTACCCTCTGTCTCCTTTCTCCCTCTCTCTCTCTCCTCTTTCCCTCTCTCACCTCTGTCTCCCTGTCTCCCCTCTCTCTCCCCTCTCTACCCTCTCTCCGCTCCCTCCCATCGCTCCATCTCCCTCCAACGCCATGAGCGGCAGGTCCTGGCAGGGCTAGTGAAGGTGTTCAACGGCTTGTCCACCAGCCGTGACAGCCTCACCTACTGGGGTCTGCAGGGCGTCGTGACGTCCGCCACGTGGATTGCGTTCAGCGAGCAGTGGATTCAGCGCATCCAGCCATGGTCCCTCACTGCGTGGACTGTCTTCATCAGCCATGATGAGCGGTGTGTGTGTGTGTGTGTGTGTGTGTGTGTGTGTGTGTGTGTGTATGTGTCTGTCTGTGTGTGTGTGTGTGTGTGTGTGTGCATATGTGTGTGCGCGTGTGTGTGTATGTGTGTGTGTGTATGTGTGTGTGCGCGCGCGCGCGCGCGCGCGCGTGTGTGTGTGTGTGTGTGTGTGTGTGTATGTCGTCGTCGTCCCGTCCCCTGCCCTCTTATTTCTCTTCCATCAGTCCATTCCATGGTATATTCACATTTCGCCTTCGCATCATCTCGCACCCCCCCCATCATGTCGCATTCACATAATCTACATTCACATCGTTTCGCATTCACATTGTTTTGCGTTCACATCATTTCGCATTCACATCACTTCGCCTGACTGTTTTCACAGCCTTTCATAGCACTGGCATCCTCCACGCATCCAGCTTACCTCCCTCCCTCCCTCCCTCCCTCCCTCCCTCCCTCCCTCCCTCCCTCCCTCCCTCCCTCCCTCCCTCCACGCCTTCCTCCCCCCTTCCCGCACGTGCAACCTCCAGCGCTGCGTTTGAGAGAATGTTCAACTGCACGATCAAGACGGTGCTGGGAACCCGGGCCCCGCCCGCTCCGTACTATCTCATCACGGCCTTCCGCTTCCCAGCGCCCTACATTTGGCCCGCGTGCACGGACCTCTATCTGGCTCATCCTGACATCGTAGACAGCTTGCTAATTTCAGGCGACCGCACCTCGGTGCCCCCCCTCATGTTCCCCAATCTGCACATCGGGCTAGGTCTGTTCTTCTCTGTTCCGTAACCTGTTCACACTTCTCCCGCGCCTTTCCCATCCTTTGCATCTGTAGCCCTCTGTCCGGTTTGTACAGCCTCTCCCTTTTATCGCCACCTCTTTTTACGGAATGTCCCGCACTTGTTCCTCCCTCCAACCCCTCTCTCTCTCTAACACCCCCCCCCCGCTCGCTCTCCCCATGACTTGAGACGTCGCCAAAGTCTTGTCCACAATCGCCAGTCTGGAGTCCATCCGCATGTGTCTGTCTTTGCACATGCAGATGGTCTCCTCCTTGCTGCAGTGTATTGTGTCGCCATGTTTTGAGGCGCCTCAAATCCAATTCTATTTCTGAGGCGCCTCAAATATAGAATCACACCTCCTGGCCTGTGTCTGTCTCTTCTCTGCACGCCGCTTTCCCCGCTGCAGTGTAGGCCATCGCCGCCACGTTTTCGCTCTGGAGCACACTCTTATCAAATGTCTGTGCATGCATGCATGCATGAACGCACGCCCTCATACTCATTGCTCTGCTCTGCTCTGCTACACTGCAGTGTACGCCATCGCCATGTTCCGCGCGCCGCTCCCACCACACCGCTCCCTTGAACAAGGCCTGGCAAGCATAGCTGGCGCTATAGCCGGGGCCATCGACACAGACGCCCTCATCTCGCACACCCTCATGGACGTGCTCAACCAGAGTGAGTGAGCCCAGGAGCCGGGGGGAGAGGCGAGGGGCGAGGGGCGAGGGAGAGGGGCTAGGGGCGAGGGGCGAGGGGCGAGGGGCGAGGGGCGAGGGGCGAGTGGCGAGGGACGAGGGGCTAGGGGCGAGGGACGAGGGGCTAGGGGCTAGGGGCGAGGGGCTAGGGGCGATGGGTGAGGTGAGGGGTGAGGGGCGAGGGAGAGGGGAAATGAGGAAGAGGGAAAAGGGAAAAGGAGGAAGAGGGGAGATGGGAATGGAGGAAGCGGTGGTGAGTACAGCAAAGATCGAGGAGAATCACAGGCTCCTGTGCACTCACATGTAGGCCCAAGTTCCGACCCATCCGTTGCGCTTGTAGGGAAAACCCATCCACTGCAGCGGCTATGCTCTGATTGACCCCCATTGATGCAGTACGGCAGGACTTTGCAGTCGACGCAAAAGTCATATTTTATAATATGCAAGTTCAGTGCTCACATGCGCACCCACTTGACTCTCACCATTGTGCTTCTTTTGCATACCGTGAGCGAGCCCTTTCAAACCCTTTTCTCCCTACGGTTTCACGTGGCGGCACCATCTCACAGCAAGGCAAGCATAGCAATATCATTCCAAGCCAGAAGCCCCTTACTATGTTCCTTCTTCTTGTCTGTCTATCGTCCCATTGCCTGCGTTCCAATCTCCCCCATCCCATTCCATTCCTTCCCATGTGTGCACTGCACTGCACTGCACTGCACTGCACTGCAGTGGCGAACAAGTTCTCGTTTGACCTGTACGACATGTCGGATCCAACGACACCGGTGCTCATGTTTGGCACCAACCTCAACAAGCAAGACACTAGCATGCTGATCAATTGGGTGCTTCCCACACCAATCCAGCCAGGCTTCAAGGTTGTCCAGCCCTTTCCCGAGCCCTTCTTCTCGCGAGATTTCGAAGCCCATTGCAGGTACTTTCTCTCTTGGTTCTTGGCTCGCACTAAGTAGATATACTGACTAGGTCAAAGACCTCAAGAAGCATACATAATGCGATGAACAAGGGAAGAGCATGAGAAGGTTGGAAGGCAAGGGCCACCCCAACACCATTGGTCTCAAATGTGGAATAGGGAGTGGGTGGGCCACAATTGGTGCCTGTTGTGGTGTGGCTGGGTTGAGCCAAGCATAAAAGGAGCGTCCAACTTGCTACGCTTGGGGGCGCTCCACTCCAGGACACAAGGGTTTGACTGGAACCACTCTGGCACCAGTGTATACCTGAATTCGTCTAGTCTATCCAGCACACTAGTCTATCCCAAGCTACACGCTCAGTCACCAGTCACCAATCACGGTGCACACTGTGTCACCGCAAGTGCCCACTCCCTTGCAATCTCCCATTGCTTCCAATCCAGCCTTTTGCGTTCACCTCACCTTCAAAACCGCCATAGCTGTTTATTTCGTTGCACTTGCGACCCTCTTCCCTGTCAGCACTTGCTCTTGCACGTGCACTCTCCTCAGGTCCTTGCTTCGGCACCTCTCATCATCAGAGCCCCCTCTTGCTGCGGATTCACTCTTGGTTGTTGCTCCAGGTTCCTGAAAAGCGGCATGGTCGTTCTCAGTACCCTCCCCTCCCCTGTGTCGTCAAACTGCTAATGTTGGTTGATCTCCAGGTTCCTGGACAGTGGCAGCGCGTGGCGGCTGGTGTGGGCGCCGGTGCTGGTGGCGGTGCTGGTGGCGGTGGTGGCGGTGCTGCTGACGCTGATCCTGGTGTTCCTGGCGCGCAAGCAGGCGGCCATCAGCCGCGCCGTGAGGGAGGTGGAGCTCTGCACCGCCGTGCTCGAGCGCGCCCAGCGCTCCAAGAGCGAGACCGTGGCCAACCTCTCGCACGAGCTGCGCACTCCCATCGTGGGCATGCTAGGTTGGTGCACTCCCATCGTGGGCATGCTAGGTTGGTGCACTCCCATCGTGAGTATGCTAGGTTGGTGCACTCCCATCGTGGGCATGCTAGGTTGGTGCACTCCCATCGTGGGCATGCTAGGTTGGTGCACTCCCATCGTGGGCATGCTAGGTTGGTGCACTCCCATCGTGGGCATGCTAGGTTGGTGCACTCCCATCGTGGGCATGCTAGGTTGGTGCACTCCCATCGAGGGCATGCTAGGTTGGTGCACTCCCATCGTGGGCATGCTAGGTTGGTGCACTCCCATCGTGGGCATGCTAGGTTGGTACCCATGATGGGAATAAAAGGTTGGTTGGTGGGCGCACGAGCTGTTGCACACATTCATCGTGGGCGCATGCTTGGTGCACGCACCCCCAGGCATGTAGCTCTGCACCATTTTCAAAATCATGTCCTGGTGTCTTAATCACGCCCTCAATCTCATCATGACTTACTGTTAGTGTTAGCCCTCAATCTCAACTTTTGTACTTGTACTTTCAATCTCTACTGTTAGTGTTTGGTTGGGTGTACACCCACATCCCAACCAAACCCAAATGTGATCACCATGCAATCTCCAACCCACCAATTGTAGATTGCCTTGGGATTACCCTCAATTCCCTAGGGATTGCCCCCGATTCCCTCCCCATCCATAACTTGCTCATTTTGGATGTACTTCAGTAGCTTTGAGCTCATTACTAATGTATCGATTCAAAGCTCATGTTCTAACACTTACCTCGCCGTCTCTTGTCACAACCACCCTTTCGTCCTCCTCTCCCCAAGGCATGATGGAGGCGTTACTAGGGAGCGATCTGCAAGGGGGGACAGTGCCAGGTGGATTTTGACTTCTCTTGAACGTATCCTTTGTCTGTCCTTGTCCCGACCACTCTCTCCTTCTCTTCCTCCCATCAACTGCCAGGCATGATGGAGGCGCTACTGGAGAGCGAGCTGCAGGGGGCGCAACAGCTATCAGATATGTCCTCTGTCTGCCCCTCCTTTTTCCCATCCGCCCCCACCTCGCCTCCTCCTCTCCCCGCCAGGCATGATGGAGGCGCTACTGGAGAGCGAGCTGGAGGGCGGGCAGCACCGGGACCTGGCAACAGCCAAGGAGTGTGCAGCAGCCATCGTGGGGCAACTCAACTCCGTGCTCGACCTCGCCAAGCTGCACGCCGGCCGCCTCTCCCTCGAGACTCTCCCGCTCTCCCTGCGCCACTGCGTCGACATGGTCGCCCGTGACCTGCTGGCGGAGGCCTGCAAGAGGGGCGTCCACTGTGAGTTGACTTGACTGTTGAGAGGTCTCAAACGAGGCCTGCAAGAGGGGCTTGCACTGTGGGTGCCATGCGCACTTTGCCCTGCCACTCTGAGCTGCAAGAAATATCGGGGCTGGACGGGGAGGTAAGGTACGCACTAGCAGGTGGGTGAGCCCGCAGCACGGCTCATTTGGATGAAGCGGAAGCTTGTGGGCATGGTCGCCCTGGGCTTACCACTTTAGTGTCTTTGATCAGTAGTGCACTGATGACAGCCAATGCGGGACGAAGCTCCTTCGCACGTGAAAACTAGAAGTCTGTCTATCAGTCTGACAAAATTCCACGTTTTTTCTACCAATCCTCTACTTCCGCTTAGCTTTAGTATCAGATATACTGCTAGGAGGCTTGCTGCGGTTCGAATTCAACGTCTCTTGGCCTTTCCTGAAGCTCTGTGAATGTAGTTGCAAACGCTGATACAAAAGTTGATAAGAACGGAGGGGAGGGAGCTTTGAAAGGTGAGGACAGGGTAGGTTCATTTAGCGCCAGGGTGGCTCGGAGCCATCATTGAAGGCTGAAAAAAATATCACATTATTCAATGAAAAAATCCTTTCCTGTGTATCTCGTCGCGCCTGTGGCCATGCCCGGCAGTGGTGTGTCAGGTGGACTGCAATGTGCCCGAGGTGCTGCTGGGGGATCCACTGCGCCTCGCTCAAGTCGTCAGGGAGCTCATCAGTGAGTGCCGCCTCACAGCAGCGCACCTCTCAACCATGTGCTCAAGTCGACAGAGAGCTCATCAATTAACACTGCCACAGGGCATATCGCCTTGTTCGTCTCCTCATGTCGTGCACGTTGTCCTTCTCCCTTTTTCCTCGTCGTTGTTGCTGTTGTTGATGTTGTTGCTGCGGCTGTGACTATCGCTTTTGATGTTGCTGTTGCTGATGCTGTTAAAGGTCGCTGTGCTTGCTCAAAATTTTTACTCCCGCTCGCATCCCTCTCTGCTCTGCCCTGCCCTGTGTTGTGCTCACCCACCCATCCCTGCCATCAGGCCATGCCATCCGCACCACCGTATCGGGCCACGTGGCCTTCAGGGTGTGCTGCGTCCCCATGCCCCCTCCCACCACTACCCAGGGGGGCTTGACCCTTAGTACGAACCATACAGGTAAGTAACGCACTTTCTCTTAGTACCAACCATATGGGTAAATAACGCACTTATCCTTAAGACAAACCATACTGGTAAATTACGCACTTACTCTAAGTATCGATCACATGCGTAAGTAACGCACTTACACTTAATACCAATCATAACTGGAACTACACACTTACGCTTTGTACTAACCCTTTTGATAAGTAACGCACTTTCTTTTTGTACAACCATACGGGTAAGTAACGCACCTACAATAGTCCCAACCATAGCGGTAAGCCTCTCACTGCTCCTCTCACTGCTCCTCTCACTGTGACTCTCACCACACCTCTCACCACACCTCTCACCACACCTCTCACCACACCTGCGTCTGCTGATGTTGTCGCGGCAGCATGTGCTGCTGAACCATTGGATTCAGCTGCGGCATCGGGGTCAGCAAGTGGGGAAGCGGGTGCGCAGTGCCGGGAGTGGCTTGCCTCGTGGCTGGATGAGGCATATCACCAATGCAGTGGGGGCAGTGGCACCATTCCACCAGCCACAGCGACAGCAGCCGGTGCTGCAGGATCAAAGGAAGAAAGAGATGGGGAGGGAGGTGGGGCAGGGGTAGACGACAGCGAAGCTGGGGGAGGGGGAGGCGGGGGGAAGGCGGAGAGGGAGGTGGGGCAAATGCGAGCGCTGCTGCGAGAACTGGAGGGGTGTGTGAGTCGCTTCTGCGATGGCTCTGTCGTGTGTGCGGCCGTCGACACTGCTGCTGCCGCTGATGCTGGCGCTGATGCTGGCGCTGAGGAGGAGTGTGGGAACGAGCGGAATGGAGGGGCGGAACAGATTGAAGGAGAGGAGGGGTCAGCAGTGCCGTCCGCATGGTGGGTTTGGAGGCAGTCGGAGTTTTGGGGGCGTGTGAAGAACCGACTGCTTGGGTCGAGGGGGGCTGAGTCCCGGTCGCAAAGCCCTGGTGGTGATGCTGGTGTAGCTGCTGCCTCTGCTCCCTCTGCTGCCTCTCTTCCATCTCGTCCCTCTGCCCCATCGCCTCCCTCTGCTTCCTCTGCATGCGCTCATCCTCTTTCCCATGAACGCAATCAAGGGGAGGCATGCGGAGAGGAAGGGGAGAGCAAGCAGGGAGGGGAGGGAGGAGAGGGAGGGGCGGGCAGAGGGGGAGTGGTGGTGGTGATGGTGTGTGAGGACACGGGTGGTGGTATACCACCGGAGGAGCTGCAGTGGGTGCTGGACCCGGAGGGGCAGGCAGCAGTGGAAGGCAAGGGGCGTGTGCTGCTGCAGCGAGGGGGCTCCATTAAAGATCACAAGGTGAGAGGTGCAGCGAGGGGGCTCCATTAAAGATCACAAGGTGAGAGGTGCAGCGAGGGGGCTCCATTAAAAAGCAGGCAGCAGTGCAGGGCAAGGGGGACTTGCTGCTGCCGCGAGGGTGCTCGATTGGAGATCACAAGGTGAGTGCAGTGCTGCAGAGGGGGGGCTCTATTGAGGGGAGCATGGTGCGTGGTGCGACCCATGCCATGCCCTCCATGCCATGCCATGCCCTTCACGCCATGCCATGCCCTCCATGCCATGCCATGCCCTTCACGCCATGCCATGCCCTCCATGCCATGCCATGCCCTTCACGCCATGCCATGCCCTCCATGCCATGCCATGCCATGCCCTTCACGCCATGACGTGCCCTTCACGCCATGCCATGCCCTTCACGCCATGCCATGCCCGCCATGCCAAGCCATACCCCCTGTCATGCCATGCCGTGGCATCTGGTGTGATGCAACAACCATTTTTTGCTTTCAGCTGCGATGCGTACACACGCACTAACGCCCAGTCATGGGTCTCCAGTTGTCACTCATCCCGTCCGTTCTTCACCCATTGCTGCACTGCACTCTTCAACGCTGTAATTCTGCAACTTTGCAACGCTGTAACAGTGCCGCACTGCAACGCTGCAACACTGCTGTCCGTGTACCGCTCTTCCCCTTGTCTCACTTTCCTCATATGACCATTGCACCGCATCGCAGAGCTCCTCACCCTTGCTCATCTCAAATCGCTACGCATTCCACCTTCTATGCGTCTATCTTGCTCCCCTTCACCTCCCTCCACCAGCAGGCTCCACTTTCTTCGCCCATGTCTCCCCTGCATGGCTCCTTGGACATCTGGCCTGGCTCGGCTGCACCTCCTTCTCAGTCCCCCTCTGCGCCTGCCTGGGAGCCCTACCCCGTTCGCTTCCTGCTCTCCACAGGCCTGGTCAGTTCGCTTCCTGCTCTCCACAGGCCTGGTCAGTTCGCTTCCTGCTCTCCACAGGCCTGGTCAGTTCGCTTCCTGCTCTCCACAGGCCTGGTCAGTTCGCTTCCTGCTCTCCACAGGCCTGGTCAGTTCGCTTCCTGCTCTCCACAGGCCTGGTCAGTTCGCTTCCTGCTCTCCACAGGCCTGGTCAGTTCGCTTCCTGCTCTCCACAGGCCTGGTCAGTTCGCTTCCTGCTCTCCACAGGCCTGGTCAGTTCGCTTCCTGCTCTCCACAGGCCTGGTCAGGCCTGCCAGGCCAGGCCCTTGCATCAATGCACACCTTGCGTGCCCCCCTTGCTGTGGCCATTGCATCGCACGTCGGCCCTGCACTCTTCTCCACACTTCACATTGCGTCGCACGTCGGCCCTGCCCGCACATACATGTGTGTGTGTGCATGTGGGTATGGTTTTGTGTGTGTGCGCGCAAGGGCGGCAGGTGAAGCTAATGAGGGGGACCATGGGAATAGCAACGCAGCACCACGTGGGTACCTCCATCCTCGTCAGCCTTCCAATGGCCGACTGCCACCTGTCAGAAGCTGATGATGTTGCTTCTGGTGGAGGTGGTGGTGTGGTGGCGAGCGGAGGTGCGAGTGTGGAGGTGCAGGAGTGGGTGGATCATCGCAAGGCCATCTGCTCGCTTGTGGCGGGCAAGACAGCGCTGCTGCTCGATGCCATGCCGCTCAGAGCACAGGTGAGTTGATGCCATGCCGCTCAGAGCACACGTGAGTTGATGCCATGCCGCTCAGAGCACACGTGAGTTGATGCCATGCCGCTCAGAGCACACGTGAGTTGATGCCATGCCGCTCAGAGCACACGTGAGTTGATGCCATGCCGCTCAGAGCACACGTGAGTTGATGCCATGCCGCTCAGAGCACACGTGAGTTGATGCCATGCCGCTCAGAGCACACGTGAGTTGATGCCATGCCGCTCAGAGCACACGTGAGTTGATGCCATGCCGCTCAGCTCAGAGCACACGTGAGTTGATGCCATGCCGCTCAGAGCACACGTGAGTTGATGCCATGCCGCTCAGAGCACACGTGAGTTGATGCCATGCCGCTCAGAGCACACGTGAGTTGATGCCATGCCGCTCAGAGCACACGTGAGTTGATGCCATGCCGCTCAGAGTACACGTGAGTTGATGCCATGCCGCTCAGAGCACACGTGAGTTGATGCCATGCCGCTCAGAGCACACGTGAGTTGATGCCATGCCGCTCAGAGCACACGTGAGTTGATGCCATGCCGCTCAGAGCACACGTGAGTTGATGCCATGCCGCTCAGAGCACACGTGAGTTGATGCCATGCCGCTCAGAGCACACGTGAGTTGATGCCATGCCGCTCAGAGCACACGTGAATTGATGCCATGCCGCTCAGAGCACATGTATCAAGCCATCAGCCATTGGCCCGTTCTTCACTTGGTATCCTTTCCTGCGCCTGGTCCCTGGATTGTCTCTGCTCTTCCTTACATATTTCTTTCACCTTACTGTGTGGCTGCTGTGTGAGCTGGCACCAGGCAACGGAGGCGTGTCTGCGCTACCTGGGAATGGACGTCACTCTGGCAGCCTCGCCCGCACAGGCCATGCGCCTCATGCACCACCCACCCACCAGTGGCGGCAGCAGCACCACCAGCAGCAGCAACAGCGGCGGCACCAGTAGCAGCAGCGGCAGCGGCGGTGGTGGAGGAGGAGGGTGGGACGTGGTGCTTGTAGAGGTGGACGTTGCTGGCCCGCGCACAGGCCTCCACGTGGGCGAAAAGATTCTGCGCCACGCGGCTGATGCAGCTGCTGCTGCTTCTGCTGCTGCTTCTGCTGCTGCTTCCGATGCTGCCACGAGCTCCCAGGGTCGGCAGAGTGGGGGCAAGGCAGGGCGGGCAGCCGGGCGGACAGAGGTGGTGCTGACGGGGGCGAGGGCAGACAGTGTGGAGAGCGAGCAGGCGGAGAGGATGGGGTTTGCGGCTGTGCTGCCCCACCCATGGCTCGTCACTCACACCGCTCACTGCCTGCAGCATGTGAGTGCCGGGAGAGGGTGGTGGTGTCAGCAGCCCTTTACATGAAGCCCCCTACCGTTATCTCTTGCTCTCCATTCCAATCTGCATGCCCTAGCGGTTTCACCTCCCCTCCCTTCCCCTCCTCCATCTCTCCCACGCAGCTCTTCTTCAGCGCTGCAGAGCGGCCGACTGCCATTCCGGAAGGCAGCACCCAAAGTGCCACTCCAACCACACCCATCGCGACGCCTTCCTCCGCCATTCCCGCTGCCTCTGCCGCTCCCGCCAGTCGCCCCCCCAGACCCCCACTCCCCAGCGCCACAGCCGTGTTGTCTGCAGCTGCCTCCTCTGCTGCCCGCGTGCCTCGGCCCAGCAGCACCGGCCTTCTGCGCTCCGCCACCGTACCGGCCGCGTTGCTCAGTCCGTTGGCGGTGCCGCGCTTGGCGCCGGAGGAGGAGCTGAGGGCGCTGGTGGGGCAGCAGGCGGTGGTGGTGGTGGATGACAACGCTGTCAACCGCGCCGTCGCCAGACGCACGCTGCTCGCACTCGGGGCCCTCGTGCACTTGGCACCGGGGGGCGCACAGGCGCTCGACTGGCTGCGCGATAAAATTACTGCTGCCACCTGCGGCGGGAAGGGGGGGCTGGGGCAGCAGCAGCAGCAGCAGCAGTGGCAGGCGGAGGGGCAAGAGGCAGAGTGCGCTGTGCCGCTTGTGCTGCTGGACCTTCAAATGCCCGACATGGACGGGTGCGTGTGGTACACATGGGCTGCTTCGTATGTTTCTTTGCGTATGTGCCTAGTTCATCTGTCTGCTGCTCGTTTGCTGTTAGCAGCTTCATCTTCGTCTCTAAACCACACATTATTAGAAGAAAAAACAACAACAACAAAACACAATCCACCATGCGCACCCCCCCGGCCCACCCCCGTGCAGCTACGAGACGGCGCGGCGCATCCGAGCCATGGAGGCGGAAGCGGCTGCAAGTGACGCCCCGGCGGGTGAAGCTCAAGCGGGTGGCAGCAGGGGGGAGCGGCGGCGGTGGTGTGTGGTGGCGCTGACAGCGGATGTGGACGGCGATGTGCGGCGGGCGTGTGCTCAGGCCGGCATGGATGGCGTCGTCGCCAAACCCATTGTGCCGCGCGACCTCCTCGCTGCTCTCAAGAATGCGGGCTACCGCAGTTACTAGACAGGTGCTTAGATATGTCTCACCTCCCGCCTGTCTCACTCGCTTTCCACACCATCTGATGGTACAATCTCATCTCATCACCTTGGTACAGTACCATGTACCCCTTTATGCCTGCGTTTTGACAATTCACAGATTTGAAAACACTATGCACACTTATACGCGTGTAGGTGTACATTGTTATGCTAGGTTTGGTTGTATTGTAGAGGGTATGGGTTGCTACTTGTGCCCTCCTAAATGCCCCCGAAGTCATTCTTTCACTCGTTGACATGCTACCAGCTTAAGTTGCGGTAGGTTCTCGCTTCCGCCCACTTACCTCCGTAGCTCCCTAGTGCCATCAAGCATGCCCTCCCCCCTCTAGCACCCTCTAGCAGCCCCCTTCTAGTGCCCCGTCGCGGCCCCCACCTGCGCCCTACCGTCGCACCCCGCAGCGCCCCACTGCCGCGCCCCACCATCACGCCCAGCCGTCGCGCCCCGCCGTGCCCTGCTGCCGCGTGCCCCTGCGCCTTGCGGCGCCCTGCTGAGCGCCCTGTCACGCACTCCTTCGCCATGCCGCGCCCTGACGTGCCCTGCTGCCACGCACCAGTGCGCCCCGCCACATCTACTGTGCTTGACACGCCCGCACCTGCCGAACCTGCTGCGACTGCCATGCCCGCGCATGCTGCTGCGCGCATGCTTGTCGCCGTTCGCGCCAGATGCGCACGCGCCGCCTCCGCCCGCGCCTGTCGTGTTTGTCGCCCGACGCGCCCGCACCTGCGCCTGCGCCTGTTACCACGCCTGCCGTCGCAGCGCCCGCACCTGCTACGTCTGCGCCGCCGTCTTTTGCGCCGCGGCCTGCCGCCCCCACGCACGCGCCTGTGCCCGTGCATGCGCCTTCCACACCTGTCGCCATGCCTGTTGCAGCCGCGCCTGCTACTACTCGACGTCCCTGAGCCTGTTGCGGCCTGCCCCGGCTTTCTCCTCCTCCGCTTGTGGCTGTCCCCTCTCATCTGATTCGGCTATGCCCTTGCTCACTCCTGCCATGGCGCCCAAGTTTGTGCTACGGCTCGATGCGGGAGGGCGCGCGATCGACTTTACGCCCCCGAACGTGTTGGGTGAGCTACCAGCCCCCGAGCGTCCTCCTGCCCTTACTGTTGCTTCCACTTCGGTGGGGCGGGAGGCTTACCGCATGGCCCAGCTTGCGTATCCGGTTTGGGTATCGTATGGCACTTCTGCTCGTCTGGCTCTTCGCCTCGTGCCTTCAGTCGAGCGAGTGCACTTTCGCCAAGGCGCGACAGCGAAGGAGCGTCTGGATGATATTGCTGCTCTCTACTCCACCCCCTCCTTTGCTACTCTATAACCCCTAGTCATGCCTTTCCTCTTCCCTGATCTCCTTGCGTTCTAGAATGTCACTGACCTCATTACCCACCTTTGCTCGCTTGACGCTAGCTTCCATGCTACTTGCGCTACTGACGACCTTGCTGAGCCCCCCCATGTTTCTCACCCTGCACCTCCTCGCGACCCGCCTCCCTGGCCGACATCTGCCAGCGATGCCCTCACTCACTAGCGATCTCTTTGAGACCAGTCTCACTGAGATCGAAACGCGACTTCGTACCATCGCATCCACCACCGGTGCAGTAGTCCCCCTATCTTTGAGGGGTGCGCACGCCCTAGCTCCCTACCTCAGCTGCCTTTGCTACTGTTGCTGAGCCTACTACTACGGCGGAGGTCGCAGCCGTCGCTGCCCCTTCTGGTGGGCGGGGCTGGCGCAGGGGTGGTCATAGTCGTGGAGGAGGTGGAAGTGCTGGTACGTCGAGGGGTGCGGACGATGGGAGTGTTAGTCCCGGGGATGCTGCCACAGGAGGTGCTGGTGTGCGGCGGTGATTCCGCAGCAGTAGCAGCCGTAACACCAGCCGTAGCACCAGCAGCAGTAGCAGCAGCACTAGTAATCGGAACAGTAGCAAATCCAACAGCTTGTCTCCCAGCTGTAATGGGGACCTACTGGCTCGGAGAGCACTGGCCAAGGTGGGGGGTATGTCAGCTGGGTTTAGCGTGACCCCCCACCAGGCCCTACCAAAACCAGATCCAGTCTGGTCCTCTACGCGGCACCGTCTCCAAGCGCACTGGCCACTCCACTGTGCGATGCTTCCACAGGCTCGACGATCTCTTCCGTGCCCACTTCGAGCAAAACGGCGCTTGTCCTGAACTGGCATGCGTTATGCAGGGGTTTGGCTATGTTTGATCTTAACAAGTCTCCGATAGAGTTTTTTTTTTTTTTTTTTTTTTTGTCAGAGTTGTGTTTAACGGTAAATGCGGGAGAAGTGCATGCCATGTATGTTAAGGACTAGGGTGTGTTGCCATGTGTTACTATTCAACTGTTCCTAGACTATGCTCTATAGCTGTCTTTAATGTAGGATCCTCTGCTGTTTCCTGCTTAGGTGCGTTGACTTCCGACACGTCATCTTCTTCACGGTGGATTACGTCGTTGCTTCCATCTCCTGTCGCAGTCTCCGCTGGGCCGCTCGTCGCACGCAACGCCATTGCACTCCCGTGTCCGGCTGTCCCCTTTGGCTCCCTAACATGTTTGTTCATCCCCTCGTTCTCCAGAAACTTGGTGGGTGTCGGTCGTTTTCAGGACCTTGGTGTCACAAAGACGTTTCCTCCAGCCCCGCATGCGCCTCACCCGTCGTCACTTGCTGTCTCTTCTCCTCCGTTATCTGACTTTCTCTTGGCCGCTCGTGTCGGAAGACTAGGCAAGAATCAGAAACAGAAAAGAGAGGTTTTCACTAGCAGGCAGCTGAGTACATATAGCAAACCCTAATTCGGGCTGTACTTGCTATAGAGTACCCCACTGCAGGCTAGACAAACATCACATTCTCACACACCCCCATAGTCAAAGTGGGGTATAATCAGTACAGCAAGCAGTCAGAGCAGTAGTTCACAAGTACAAGCAAAACTAGAGGCAGTCACAGAGGGCAAGTGAGGAGGAGGAGAAACTGTGGCGAGAAGATGGGAGGCGACGGCTGAAGCTGCAGACACACGGGCAACAGGAGCGCGCAGCACTGTGGCTACCAGGCGCAGAGCCCCGGACTACACGGCCACACTGTGGCTACCAGGCGCAGAGCCCCGGACTACACGGCGACAGGCGCAGCTGGCTCTCTGTGCTCCCAGGAGTGCGCAGCACTGTCGCTACCAGGCGCAGAGCCCCGGACTACACGGCGACAGGCGCAGCTGGCTCTCTGGGCTACCAGGCTAGACCCCGGACTACAGGCGCTGCGGACGACAAGACGGCTGCCTCCACTCAACTTCCCCCAGCTGTCCCACACCCCTTTCACACACCCCCTGCTGTACCTCCAGCACTGCTCACAAGCCACCCCCCTCGTACCACGCCGACGGCTCCAACACATCCACCCCCCTCAGCGGCAGCTGCAGCAGTGGGAGACGGAGGAGGAGGAGGAGGAGCAGGGGACGGCGCACACACCCGTCACCCCCATACTAGCCACCCCCACACTCGTCACCCCCAAACCCTAACACAAGCAGCAGCGGGGGGCGGTGCGCGGGCAGCAGCTCGGGGGATGGCGCGCGGCTCCCAGGGCGCCGCGACGGGGCAGCGGGGGGGCGCGCGCGGCTCCCCAGGGCGCCGCGACGGGGCAGCGGGGGCCGCGCGCGGCTCCCTAGGGCGCCGCGACGGAACGGGGGGTCGCGCGCGGCTCCTCAGGGCGTCGCGACGAGGCAGCGGGGGCCGCGCGCGGCTCCCCAGGGCGCCACGACGGGGCAGCGGGGGGCCGCGAGCGGCTCCCCAGGGCGTCGCGACGAGGCTGCGGGGGCCGCGCGCGGCTCCCCAGGGCGCCACGACGTAGCAGCGGGGGCGACGCGACGGGCTCCCGGGGGGCGACGCGACCGTCGACGGAGGGCGACGCGCGGGTCGACGGGGCAGGAAACCGCCGCGCGCTCGGGCCCCCGCGCCGCGGGAAGAAAAAACGCCGCGCGCCCTGAGCGCGCGGCAGGCAGGAAACATCGCGCGCCCAGGGCGTGCGATAGGCAGGACAGCAGCGGAAGCATCGGGTGGGACCACCCACAGGATCGACCCAGGAGGGTCGACGTGCTCTGATAGCATGTCGGAAGACTAGGCAAGAATCAGAAACAGAAAAGAGAGGTTTTCACTAGCAGGCAGTTGAGTACATATAGCAAACCCTTATTCGGGCTGTACTCGCTATAGAGTACCCCACTGTAGGCTAGACAAACATCACATTCTCACAGCTCGCCCTACGATCTCTCTCTCAAGAATGGAGCACAACGGAAATGAGTGGAATTAGGGTTTGCAAGGGTACAAATAGGAATCCTACAAAAGCTATACTCTCTAGGGAGTACCTCACTGCAGCCTATCATAACATTAACATTTGACACACCCCCATAGGCTAAGTGAGGGACATCAGAGCAAGCAAGGTGAAACAAACGGTCACAAGACCAGTCAAGGCAAGAAGCAAGGCAAGCTCAGGGTGGATCTCAAGGACACCACACAAATTCCGAGCACAAGCAAGCGGCCACAAGGCCAGTTCAAGAGTTCACTAGGATATAAATAAGAAAACACAACAAGCAGAGCAAGCAACAAGACTACAGCAACCGAGGGCCTACCTCAACAAGCCCCAACTGCACACAGAACCTGTGGTGGTCACCAAGCGCTAAGGCCTTGGTGAAGACGTCTGCAGTGTTGGCCTCTGAGGCCACAAAGTCCAGGCGTGCCTGGCCGTGTCGCTGCAGCTCTCGCAGGAGGAAGTACCTCACGTCAATATGCTTCACTCTGCTCTCCAGTCGAGGCTCTCGACACAGGAGGATCATGGCCTTGTTGTCAGCGTACAAGGTCGGTGCAGAGCGAGGCCGCTCACCAAGGTCGGCGAGCAAGAAGGTCAGCCAGCGAAGCTCCTGCGCCGCCATGGCACCAGTGTAGATCTCTGCCTCTGCACTGGAAGTAGCCACAGACGACGACCGTGTAGACCTCCACGACACAGCACCAGCTCCCAGACTGAAGCAGTAACCCTGAGTCGAGCGCTGAGTCTCCACGTCGTCAGCGTAGGAAGAGTCACAGTGACTAGTCAACGCCACTGGCTGAGTCCCTCCAAGCACAAGCCCCATGCCTGATGTAGTCGCCAGGTACTTCGCCACCCTCACAGCAGCTGTCCAGTGGACAGGACGGTGTCTCCCAGTCGCAACAAAGCGAGAAAGGATGCTGAGGGGAAAGGCGACGTCCGGCCGAGTACAAGTCATCAGGTACATGAGGCAGCCCACCAGCTCTGCGTAGGGGCCACTGGACTCAAAGGGCTCGTCAGGAAAGGGGCCCGTGAGTCTGTGGTCAACAGCAAGAGGAGTGGGCTGTGTGGTGGAGAACTGGAAGTCGAACCGCCGAAGAACCTGCTGCACCATGTGTGACTGCGTCAGTGTGATGGTGCGAGCGGCTCTGTCCCGGGTGATCTGCAGGCCAAGGTAGCGCTGCAGCTCACCCAGGTCAGTGCACTTGTGTCTCTTCTGCAGTTCGGACTTCACCTGAGCCAGAGCTGCCCTGTCTGCTGTAGCAAAGACAAAGTCGTTGACGTAGACAAGGATAAAGAAAGGAGTAGAACCCGCTCGAACAAACAGCGACGGGTCGGCGGAGGACGGGCTGAACCCAAGGTCACGAAGCGTGGAGCGAAGAGTGCCGTGCCACTCACGGGGCGACTGGCGGAGACCGTAGACTGGTCGCCTCAGGCTCCACTGGGTCCCAGGTGGGAAGGTCTTAGTGAAGCCTGGAGGACGGCGCAGCCAGATCTCCTCGTGTAGCCGGCCCTGGAGAAACGCAGTGGAGAAGTCGAGGGAGTGCAGCTCGTAGTCTCGCTGCGCTGCTATGTGGAGTAACACCCGAAGAGTAGTCATCTTCGGGGTCGGGGCGAAGGTCTGGAAGAAGTCAACTCCCTCACGCTGACTGAAGCCCCTAGACACATAGCGCGCCTTGAACACCGGCGGTGCTCCAGGCGGCCGCT